ATACACTGGTGAAGATGATGCAGAACAGTGGAGTCTTCATAGGTCAGAGAGCCCTCCAGGTTGAAGGTCTGTGTTTTGACACAGGCTGTCGAGGTTGTGGTTCTTGTGACTAGGAATGAGCTCACAGTACTGGGGCAACTGGATCAACACCTCACTGAGCTGATATCCATCACCACCACTGCCCTTGATCATAGCAACCACTATCTTCTGGGTGTATTGGGGAAGAGCTAGGCAGACAGCCCCTATGCTGCTTTTGCTTCTTGCTCTCATTGTCCTTGCTGCTGCTGTGGGTGCCGGGGGTGGGGGGGGGCCCTCTGGATCCCCAGACCCCTCAGTTTGGCTGTAAGGGAGATAATATGGCATATGTGCTCCTGATTTAAAGCATACACCGGTTTAAGACATCACCTCAAACTTGTGAGGTGTGACTTCCAAGCTGGTGCTAAAGAGAGCCTTCAGCAGGCCACTCCACTCTTTTGTCAGGGCAGTTGCTTCCAGCTGATGGGATATATCATGTTGGTTCATAAATGGGCTTCTGTAGATAGAAGGCAAGGTGGGATGGAAGAAAGACTGGAAGGTGGCAGGTTTAATAAACAAGGGAACTTAGGGCCCTGGCTGGATAACCCTATTGGTTAGAGTGTCATCCTGAAATGCCAAGGTCGCAGGTTTGATACCTGGTCAGGGGCACATACAAGAATCAACCAATGAATGCATAACTAAGTGGGACAGCAACAAAAACTTGATTCTCTCTCCCATTTGCTCTCTCTATAAAAATCAATAATAATATAATTTAAAAATGTCCAGCTGGCGTTGCTCAGTGACTGTCAACCTATTAACCAGGAGGTCACAGTTGGATCCCCGGGCAGGGCATGTACCCGGTTGCAGCTTGATCCCTAGGAGGCAGCTGACCAATGATTCTCTCTCATCACTGTTTCGATTTCTGTCCCCCTCTCTCTTCCTCTCTGAAATCAATAAAAATACATTTAAAAAACAAAAACAAGGTCAACCAGCAATCATATCCCTTCCAGGACATCTTCCAACGTGTGCTAATACCACTTAATTCCACTAGTGTGAGCTCATTCCTGCAATTTCACTGCTTTAACATATGCCCACCACTAAGAAGCAGTGTTGTGCAGAGCTACAGCAAAGGAGAAGACATTCTAAGTCCCTGGATGGTGGTTTTGGCAGATGCACTGTGGACGGGGAAGCCAAATTCACATTTGGAATATGGGTCTATTCCTGGGAGAAGAAATCATTATTCTTTTATAACAGAAGGACCCAGGTCACCACATCAACGTCTCAGCACTAGCCTCTACTGCTGGCAGTTTAGTCACAGACGTGTCAGAAGCCAGGGAAGCCTTGGTGAAAGGAAGTTTATACTGCTGAACCAATGTTAAGACTCCTTTATGACACTGGCCACTTTCTAGGTTCGTTCAGAAAGCACCATGTTGGCTAAAGAGGTTGAGTGACATCCACAGATATCATCTTATCTACCAGATTCCATTTGCACAGTGGATGTCCTCTGGTAGGCAGAGGTCTGTTTACATACCTGTGCTGTAGACTTCCTTGATACCAATCTTTCAAATCTTTCCTCTGACAACCTATCAATCAGCTGGACATTGATTACCCATTGTACATGAATGCTTATAGATCAGTAACTCAGGTCAACTTTTTCCACATGAAATGGACCACCAGACATACCATCCAAAGGTTTGCCAAGTGGAAAATTCCAGAATCCACCATAAGCTGGGTTGTAGTGCAGCAGCTGTCTACTTCTGAGTGATGCCAGCATACAATGCAGAGCCCTCTGCAGAACAAACCTGTTTTCCTCTGTTGTCAACTGGTCATTGGGAACTTCCCGTGAGACCAGAGATGTGGACTATGAAGACCACTCACTTTGGTCATTTACTTGTGCCTCTCGGATTTGTTCAGGCCCAGTTTTGAATACACTTGTTATGGACTGAATATCCGTGTGCACCTAACCCCCCAACCCCACTCCCCAATTCATATGCTGAAATCCTATCCCCAGTGTAATGGTGTTAGAAGGTAGGAGCTTTGGGACGTTAATGGGGATTAGATGAGGTATGTGCCCATCTAAGAGTCATGAGAGAACTTGCTTGCCCTCTCTCTTCTCCATGTGAATATAGTTTGCAACCCAAAAAAGGGATCTCACCAAAACCCTTCCAGCCCCCAGAACTGCTAAAAATAAATTTCTGTTGTTTACAGCACCCAAGGTTTGTAGTATTTTGTTACAGCAGGCTGAATGAAGACATACTGCCTCAGTTTTCAATGGAATGCTGTTTACATAGTTTTAGGACTTGTTGTATAGGCTATCTATCTCCTCCCACAGCAGACCTTGTACTTGATATGGATCCAGAAGCAACAGTGTCCGTCCCAGGTGCAATCATAAGAGGTTTCTATTCAGGTTCCCTTATCACGTTTTTCTCAGTACCAATTAGGAAAGGTGATTAATACAATCAGATATCAGAGACAGGATTATACTTTCACTACCTTATCTTAGGGCCTTTATTTAGACATTGTGATATCATTTTGGTCCATTACTTTATAGACATAGTAACTGGTCCTAGTGAGCAGGAAATGGTAAGTAACTTTAAGCCTTAGCAAGATGAGTGCTGGATGGTAAGAGAAATCCATGAAAAATCAGGGGCCTGACATTTTGGCAAAGTTTCTAGGGGTTGAGTCGTCTGTGGGATATCACAGTATCCCTTCCATAAAATAAAAGACACTGCCTACAACTAAGCACAAGGCTTAGATCGTTTGGATTTTTGTATACAACCATATTTGGGGGTGCTGCTCCAGTCTATTTACTGAGGAAGTCATAGGCTGTTAGTTTCAAGTAAGATCTGGATAGTAAGTTTCAATGATGCTTAAAGTGCCTTTGCAATTAAGAATAATGGCTGGTGCCTCACTATAAAGCCCCATTAAGGCAGACTTCCAGGACCTTAACACACAGCCTTGACTTCTAATTCATTCTCCATTTGAGAAACCTACTGGCAGAGACCAAACTCCTACCTATGGGAAACCAAGTACTATACAACTCAAACTGTCAACATGTACTGGGTGCTGTCTGATCACTATAAGCCACAAGGAGCACACCTAATAGTGGAAAGCCAACCTACTTGTAGTGCCATTTCTCCCACAGCCACAGTATATCAGCCTGGAAATCCAAAGGGTAGAATGGCCCTTTTTAAAGGAATTTTTGCTTCCCATCCTATGACTTTGACCTCTGCTATCCTAAAATATAATTGTTTCTTTAAACAAGTGAGACTCATCTGAACCAGCAAGTAACTACAGGGTTACTGTACTGGTTGGTGCAGTGGATCCCAATTACCGAGGGGAAACTGGGTGGCTGGCACTCCATGAGGATAGGAAAATCTGTACCAGTAACCTGTTGCATGGGCACTTCTTGGTGCTTACTTCATTCAGTTGTAAAATAGAAAGTTCTCCAAAAACAAGATTAAGGTTTCAAATCTTTCAGAAAGAAAAAGTTTAGGTCACCCACCCAGCCAATGTGTTTGCTCCTTGCGAGTCAGAAACAAGGACCAGGTGATGGAAGGAGAAGGTGATGAACACCAAATGGAGCCTTATGCTCACTTATGAAAGCAGGGACGGAGCACTTTTTACTTTAATTCCTGCCTTGCACACCCCCCTTCAGTTGCCTATTTTGTATGACAAGCTGGGGTGTATGAATTGTACAAATCAGTCCTGAAGGAGTAGTTTGCACCACTGAGATAGGACATCCGGGAGGCCTTGGAGAGAGGGTGAAGAGTGTTTGCCTCACATCGGGCAGGTACAATACATTACATTCTGGTAAATAAATTTGGGTGAGAACAAATGCTTAGTAGTCCAGGGGTGGCTATGCTGGCTACCTGCCTGTGTGTTTCCAGTTCAACTCAGCCTGTCTGCTCTACCCAAGCTGCCAACTGTTGCAGGATTTCAGCTTCAGCAAATCAGGTAAAAGAACATAGGAGAGAAGGTGGGAAGGTTCTAAACAGTAAGCTTAGCCCTAGGCAGTTTGACTCAGTAGATAGTCAGTCCACTGACTGAAGGATCTTGGGTTCAATTCTGGTCAAGGGCACATACCTCAGCTGTATGCTTGATCCCCTGCATACAGGGGAGGTAACCAATTGATGTGTCTCTCTCACTTAGATGCTTCTGTCTCTCTCCTTCCTTCTACTCTCTCTAAACAATATCCTCAGATGAGGATTAACCATAATATAAAAAACAGTGATCTTCTAGCACTGTCAGCTAATATAACAGAAAATGCAGACATGGACCAGTGTTACAGACTGCCACTCTGTACTATCACCAAAATAGTGATTTAGGAAAAAAAAATTAGATATATTTTTATTGATTTTAGAGAGGAAGGGAAAGAGAAAGAAACATCAACAATGAGAGAGAATCATTGATTGGTTGTCTCCTGTATGCCCCCTACTGGGGATCAAGCCCATAACCAGGGCGTTTGGAATAGAACCCAGGACTCTTCAGTCTGCAGGCTGAGCCAAACCAGCCAGGGCTAGAGAAAGGTTTTGTATTAAAATCTAAGCCCAGCAGAATAAATGTCATGTTCAAAGGTACTAAAAACTCCCTGAGATGCTTGTAAATATACCTGTGTAGATTTCTGGATAAAGGATAATTGTCTGGATTTCACACGGTACAAGAGAGCATCAGTAAAAGGCAAAAAGATCATAGTCATGAGAAGTAGTACAGAGTGGCTGCCTCGGACAGAAGTAAATGAGAGACCAATAAGATGAAGCAACAGGCAGGTGTCTTACTGGGTGAAGAGTACTTTGAGTTCCATTGAAAATTTCTGACTTAAAGCAATTTAACATAAATTCTAAGTCTATGTTTTTAGTTTTTCCACCCCCTCAGTAATAAAAGCAAATGGGGTAACCTAAAAAACAACGCAAGGGCTATTCACAAATAAAATAGTATTTTAATTATATTCTCTTTTTTGTTGTTCTTTTGTATTTTTATTTTTAAAACCAAGTTTCTATCTGTACACTTTAAGAAAATAAAACACCAGGGAGCCATTCTCTGCTCACCCTTTCTGGAGGCAGGTAGGGTGGCTCTGCCAACATGCAAAGAAACGGACCACACACATTACCACATGAAGGTAAGGGGCTAAAAGGTATTGAAATTACATAAAAAATATTCCATTTGGCTTTGCAGCAATGCACAAAAGTGAGAACACTTAGTTAATGGCACTCTGAGGCTGGCATCTCAGGCACGTGAGGAGACTGGCACTGCTCCGTATGCCATGCCACACCACACCACAAGCTTTCCTTAGAAAAAGGAAAAAAAAGATTCTTTTCCTCAAGCAGAACTGCCACTGGTAAGAGCCACAAGGACTTTATTCATTGTTTATTCTTCTGACGGCAAGATCTCTTTGAGGAGGAATCTAAATAAAAATAAAAATGATGTAGCAATTTGTTAGAAGGCTTCACATGTCTTTTGAGAACAATTCTGAAACAAGAACGCTGAATTAATATCTTATTTTTGGTAAAAATATGAATAATTCAAATATATAGTGGTTTAAATTACAATGATTACAAAACACTGGAAAAAGTATATCCAGTGAAACAATCTATGCGTTTTCTAGAAGTGTAAGAGGGAGGATCACAAGGCCCAGTTAGTAGTGATTAAGTCAAACTGATCTGGACACTTCTTGATTAAATACACTGTTCACTTACAGTCATTCTTCTGATACTATTAATGACAGCTTATTATTAGGACTAAAATCAACAATTACAAAGCTGAATGCTAACAACCTTCCTCACATTATTTTACATTCTTAGGGTACAGTTACATTATAAAAAATAAACAGAGAAGGACTTTTACCTGGTGGTAGCCCCACTAGTCTTTGCTGGATCATTTCTAAATGATGAATATATTCTGTCAAAGAATGTTCCTGATCTTGAGAAGCAGTCAGGGATCTTTCTGACCTTGAATTTGGAGATGGATTGGACCTTCAGACAAACAAACCCAGAAACAAACAAAACAAGAGTTGATGACAATAGGATGGTGAATGCAGTAAGCATATAGATAAGAAGTGGCGCTGGGTCCTGTGACTGGACACGTGGGAAATGAGGTAAACTAGATGGCTATTTCCTTTGTATCTTTTCTTTGGTGCAAAAGAAAAAGGGACTTCTAAAAAGTGGTACATAGGGCTTTAAAAATAAACTTCTATATAATGTCTCAGAGCTACAATGAGGAAAAGCTACCGCATATTATTTTATTCACTAAATCTTCATAGATATGTATCCGAATCCCTCAGACCCATCTTTGTGTCAATATGGGTATGTCAGCTGCCCTTCTTCCTGGCCTCCCGCTGGGACCAGGGAGCTTCATGTGTCACTCCTAGCATACTCTTCAAGGGAGGCACATGTCTGTCTTATCCTTGTCATCCATGCAGAAGCCCTTGGCCACCATTTATTCTCTCAGTAAATATTACCAACCCAGGCAGCCCCCCTGGGGGAAAAAAAGAGGGGGGGGGGGTCCCCACGCCCTCAGGGACTCACAGTGGTGCGCTCCCAGTCTTGCTCTGGGGCCCATCTAAAGGCAAACTTTCAAAATACGTTTCTTAGAGGAACCACATACACTGGTGGAGCATGGTTAGCAGAGGTGATCAGAATTAGATGCACAGTGGTGTCTTACGTTTTTGTGTATTGTTTCTCCTGTCAGGGAAACCTTTTCATTTTAATTTTAAACTAAATTACATTCTATAAAGTTGAAAAGGTTTTTCCCAAATAACTGATCTTTAACATTGTCACTGTAACATCTCAATTGTCACCTGAGTAATAACTATAAAAGTACATTATGGGTGCAATAAACCCAAATTCTACAGGAAAAAGATTGAGTTAAGCCAACCAAGGCCTTGCATGTGTGCGCGTGTGCGAGTTTGTGTGTGTAGGGGGGTTTCCCAGGTACATGTAAACTCCCTTACACACACACACATACACACACACATACACACACGCATGCATGCACACACGCATACCCCTGAGTACCCACATAATCTGCCCAAAGACCCTGCCATGCATGGCCACTTGTCTCTGCACATGGGGCTTCTACTGATGGTTAGGTCTGGCCTAACCCTTACAATGAAAGAACAGTCTGAAAGCACCACATCTCACCTGTCCCTCCTGCGTGGGGAGGCTTTTGGCACAGAGTCCCTGGTGTGGCTGAAAGACACGTCCCGGGTTGGTGGGGATTCCCTTGTTTCGGGTGGGGACTGGCTGGTTTCCGGCAGGGATTCAGTGGTTTCTGGTGGAATCAGCTGTTGCCGTGACACCAGGAATCCTTCTCCCAGAATTATTCAACAACAAAAGGATTTAGAAAAATGACAAGTGCATTTTAGTAGGAAAGCCCATCTACCAAAATTTAAAATACATAACCTTTAAGAGTTTGCATGGCAATTTCAAAACATTTTTAGAGTACTCAACTTATAAAAATCATATTTTAAGAAGCTCTGGAAGAAATCTAAGTGTTGACCACCTTATAACCTGACCCCTGGCATCCATATGAGCAGCACCCTGGAAAGATGCTCAGTGCCTGATGGAGGTTACTGGGCAATGGGGAGCTTGGGGTGGGGGTTCTCCTCCACTCAAATGAGGAGTGGGCGCAGGAGGCAGGGGCAGAAAGCCTGGAGAATACCAGCCGTGGAGAGAGGCAAACTTTTCTGAAGGCTGAAGAGCATTTTGATTTCAAGAAGTTAACGACTGACAGGTGAAAATCAGAGCTAACCGGCACCAATTCCCGCCACCCCGCCAAGCGGCCACATCCCTGTGCTGCGGGGGAGGAGGCTGTCCGCCAATGTTTCCCCAGGGCAGTGACCTGTCAAAGGCCTGCACTTGGTGGCCAGTGTGCATCCTTCAGACTGGGGGCAACAGAAGAACCTTAAACACAAGACCTAACTGAGAAAGTAAGCATGTGTCTCAGAGCAAAGATGCAGCAGTCTGAAGAACTTCATTTTAGAGAAGAAAAGTGACCTTTTCATTCAAAACTAGAGGCCCGGTGCATGAAATTCATGCATGGGTAGGGTCCCTTGGCCTGGCTGGTGATCAGGGCTGATTGAGGCCTTCCAACTGTGGCTGGCCGGGGTCGCCCTTCATTCCACACCACCCCCCTGGTGGTCAGTGCATATCATAGCCAGTGATTGAATTCCTCATCTCCCAGTTGAACGCCCATGGGGATAATTTGCATACTGAACCCTCTTCAATCTGGGACCCTTCAAAGGATGTCCTACTGCCCATTTAGGGTCAATCCCAGTAGGATTGGGCCTAAACAGGCACTTGGACATCCCTTTCACAATCCAGGACTGCTGGCTCCCAACTACTCACCTACCTGCCTTCCTGATTGCCCCTAACCACTTCTGCCTGCCAGCCTGATCACCCTCTAACCACTCCCATGCCAGCCTGATTGATGCCTAAGTGCTCTCTTGCCAGCCTGTTTGCCCCTAACTGCCCCCCCCTTCAGGCCTGGTCCCCCACAACTGCTCTCCCTTTCAATCCTGGGCCCCCCCCCAACTACTCTTCCCTGCAGGCCTGGTCGCCCCCAACTTTCCTCCTCTGCCAGCCTGGTCACCCCCAACTTCCCTCCCTTACAGGCCTGAGCCTCCCCAACTGCCCTCCCCTGCTAGCCATCTTGTGTCCACATGGGGGCAGTCATCTTGTGCATTGGAGGGATGCTCAATTTGCATATTACTCTTTTATTAGATAGGATAAGTAATTAGGTCCAGCTGGGGTGGCTCAGTGGTTGAATGTCAACCCATGAACCAAGAGATCACCAGTTCAATTCCTGATCGGGGCAAATGTCCAGGTTGCGGGCTCCATCCCAGAAAGTGGGCAAGAGGCAGCTGATCAATGATGCTTCTCATTGATGTTTCTCTCTCTCTATCCCTCACTCTGTTTTTAAAAATATATATATATTTTATTGATTTTCTTTTACAGAGTGGAAGAGAGAGGAATAGAGAGTTAGAAACATCAATGAGAGAGAAACATTGATCATCTGCATCTTGCACACCCCCTACTGGGGATGTGCCCACAACCAAGCTACATGCCCTTGATCAGAATCGAACCTGGGACCTTTCAGTCTGCAGGCCAACGCTCTATCCACTGAGCCAAACTAGTTTCAGCCCCTCTCCTTCTTCAAATCAATAAATACATGTTTAAAAAGATAAGTTATTAGTCAACATATTTATCACTTCTATATTTCTCAATCATTATTCTCCTCTGACCCACTTTTACTCATTAATATTAACTATATGAACATAAACACTACTTTCCTTCAAAACCACTTTGCCTCTGCCAGCTGCACTGACTGAATTTACCCATTTATTACTGTGTTTCATTACATCCCCATCAAGCCCAGAAAATGATCAGTTATTAATGAAATGTTACAGCAAGTGGAAGACAAGTTTGCAAAGGTGAGGTTAAGGAGTCCCTGCAGACTCACCTGAGTGAGGGGCTCTGCTTTGCGCCAAAGCTCCTCTCCGATCTACTTCTTGCCATTTCTTAACCAAAAAACGTAATCTACAAAAAAAGGTACGAAACACTGGAAACTAGAGCATAACAGCAGTGACAAAAGCAATGAAAATCCAGATGTGACCAACAGCTGAAAGGGTTTTGGCTGCCAACTTCCCCAAGGCAGCAGATACTGCACATCAACAGGGTAGCTACCTCCAATCCTGTGCACAGGGCTCCTTCCCCGCCCACTCCCAGTCCCGCCCACTCCCAGTCCCGCCCAGTGCCAGTGGAGGTCCTGCCCTGTCCTGCCCTGCCCACTCAAAGATACCCAGCTTGGGGTCTCCCAAACTCCAGTTCCTAATCAATCTGCAACACCCTGCTCCTTCCACTACCAAGGCCCCAAGCCAGTGGGTGGGGTGTTGGGGTGACTGGAGGACAGTGGTGTGGGCATTAAAAATGCTGCTGCTCGCCCTGGCCAGTGTACTTCAGTGGTTGGTGCAATGTCCTCTATACTGAAAGGATGCAGATTGGAGTCCCTGTCAAGATACACGCGTAGGTGGCAGGTTGGATCCCCAGTTGTGGCACACAGGGAAGGCAACTTTTCGATGTTCTCTCTCACATCCTTCTCTCTCTCCCTTCTCTTCTCTCTAAAATCAATAAGCATATCCTCGGGTGAGGATTAAAAAAAAAAAAAAATTTGCTGTTGCACTTAGATGATCCTCCCTCCTGGACAGGAAAGCTGGAGGCGGGGTTTGGATCTGTTTACCTGCCTCCATCCAGGTCTAACCCGCTACCTGGCATGGCTGTGGTCAGAACTCAGAGGTGAGGGCACTAAATGCCCTGAGGCTGGAGGAAGCCTCCCTCCCCACCCTGTGTGGGACTTCCACCCATTCTGTAGCACAGTCTGGACAAAGCCAAGGGAACCAAACAGCCTGTCTTACAGACAAAGACCAGCATGGACTGGCGAGGGCCCCTCTGCAGGAGACAAAGAGCTGCACAGTTCTTAGTGGGATAACCATCTTTAGAAATTCAGCAAAATTAAAAATTATAAAATAAAATGGATCTCATCACTATTAATTTTGAAATGATCAAAATCACGAATCACACTAGGGAGTCACATCCCTGCTCTAACAATGACACCTGTGCACACAGTGCGGGGAAAGTGAGCGATACCTCTGGCTAGGGGTTGGACAGAGCTGGGCTGAGCAGACATACAGTGGAGGATGAAGATGGAGGGCCCCTTTACACCCTGAAGTAGGCTCTTCCTCCCCTCTCCAATCCATAGGCAAAGACTGGAGAGTGCCTGTGCCATAAATGGCCACCTCCCTGGGTGGATCACAGATGTATTCTTACGCTCTTGGCCCCTATTATGTAACACATTCATTTTGACTAAAATATAAGAAAAAATGTGAAGAACTGAAATGCAGTTTTAAACCTGATCAGGCATGCCAGTCATCAGAAGCAATCCTGGCAAGAGACCCATTGAGGGGCAAGGCATTGTTTTATTATAAAAAGGCACCCTCAAATCTTTTCTTTTTAGAAAGTAAGTTTTGTGCATGATGATTTCCTGAAGACAAGTATCATCTGTATTTTCCTTAAGAGAATTCATCTAGAAAGAGAATATACTTGTAGAGTGTCAGAGACCAAGCCCACTGAAACGTGCCTCCCGCTGTGAAGACAGCAGTGGCACCCGCCTCCTATTACCTGGAAATTGCAATCACCACCCTGACAGCTGTTCGGAACCTGGTGAAAGGCCGGGATGTGGTGATCTTCCTATCTGCTTTGGAAGGAAACACTCCTAAGTGAGCGATCATGGAGAGCGTCTCTTGTTCAGAGTCCTGGAATCCGCCGATCAAAAGTAAAAGATACTTCTTTTGATAAATCAGAGCTTTCCTAAAGCTCTCTGCTCTCAAGTAATGCAGGTACAATTTTTCCATCTAGAAAAAAATTGGAAAATTTAATCAGAGAACAGCCGTCTTGCTGACAAATCTATAAAACATATTGGCACTGTTTGCTTTAGAAAGAACCAGACCACTTTTCCCTCAGCAAATCATTACACAAGTCAGCCTAGCACATCTGTAATCGGAAACAACTTGCTGTTTGAAGTTCAATTTTGTTTATTAGACAAAACGTAGACCACAAGTCCTTTCCACAGCATCAAAGCAGCCCGCTGGAAGGCACCGTGAATCTGATCACTAAGTCAGGTCCAAACTGGGGCCTGGTGGGGCGTTTCATCGTGGGTTTATGGACGTTGCCGGTGGGGGGAACCCCTCAAAGTGTTGGTGCCCATATCCTAATTTCTCCTTCAGGAGAGGGCCCATGGCTTGTTCTACCATTGTCAAAAACGATGACAAGTGAATTTTTTCAGGTTGCAGAGACTTTACCTAATGACTTAAAACATCATACGTTTTGCCCCTACTCACGAGCACAGAAACGTGATGTCTACACAAAAGTAGGCCAAATTTCAAATGAAAGTTCATTGTCTTTAGCTTCCTTTGTCATGACTTGCCACTAGAACCAGCATGTGGTCTTCTTACTGTGAACACACACACTTGCTGGCGACGATGCCCAGGCAGAGGACCTCCAAGGCGAGAACCATTTTTACTAGTTAAAAGTATCCCGTGAAAGGGTGGAGGATGAAGAGGCAGAGCACAAAGGGTGTTTAAAACAGTGAAATTAATCTGTATGATACTGTAATGGTGAACACATGTCATTACACATTTGTCCAGACCCAGAGAATGCACACCACTAGGTGTGCCTAATGTAAACTGTGGACTGTGGGCGAGGATGACTTATCAATGCAGTCTCACGGATTTTAACAGATGTACCATCTAGTGGGACACTGACAGTGGGAAAGACTGAGTGTGTGGGGCAAGGGGTATATGAGAACTCTCTCCCCTCTCCCCTCAACTTTGCCGTGAAGCTAAACTGCTCTAAAGATATAAAGTCTTAAAAACAAACCAAGAGCTGCATCCCCCCTCAATGCCCCCATGCTGCCAAAGGTATGGTCTTACCTTGACATTGCGGGTATTTGCTTCCTCCCTGAAAGCTGGAGCCGACAGTCCTGGGTCTGCAAGTCCTGGTGAGCTCTGCAGGACGGTCCTGTCCCTCCTCCTGTCTGACCTCTGCAACAACCACAGAAAGTGCATCTACAGAGCTGTTCCCATAAAAACATCATGAGAAGATTGACCCCACCCTACCCCAACTCCAGAAAGAAGGTCACATCCAAACACTTCATTCCTTCCCCAGCTGTCCCCCAGGACCTCTGCAGGATGAGGCCGGCCTTGGGCAGAGAAGAGCTGGGCCCCCGGGAGGCTGAGTACAGCTGTTCGCAACGCTAGGACATAGGCCAAACACTATCTCCCTTTAGTATCTTTTCAGCGGTGCTCAAGTTGTTATGTGACATTATTAACCAGTTAATTAACACTTATGGGATAATTATTATGCGCCATTTACTGAAGTGTGATTCCATTAAAAAAATTAAATATTTGTAAAATAATCCCAAATTCGAAGCTTTAAGCATATTGAAAACTCTCTGGTCCTAGAAATGCTAACGGAAGGAAGATACAACATCTAGTTCTGCTATAATAGCATCAGATTACAGGCCTGGAAACCTCTGCAAGCAACTCACACAGAAGCCATGTACACAAGGGATGGGCATCCCAGAGTTCCAACAGGGAATATGTTAATACAAGACGGAGTCCACAGTGAGGGGAACAAAGGGCCACCCACAACAGACATCGAAGCAAAAGAGAACTTAACTCCCAGGGCCATATGGTCAGCAGCCTCCGCCTAGCAGTTGGAAGAGGAATCAAAGGCAGCCTGGTCATGCTATCTCACTATTGCAGGGCAGGGCTAAGAGGAGGGCAGGCCTTAAGAGTGGAAAGCCTGAGGGGAGTCCCACATACCCTACAATGCAGAGAACACCAGTGGTTTTCCTGGTTCTAAAGCACAGCTGGTTCCTAGAAAAGACGCTCTTGGAACACGTCATCTTGGACATGAAGGAGAATACTCCACTATTCGCTTTCTGTCTACCTTTGGTTTCCTCATCAAGAATGTTCATTTCCGCCAAAACCGGTTTGGCTCAGTGGATAGAGCGTCGGCCTGCGGACTGAAAGGTCCCAGGTTCTATTCCAGTCAAGGGCATGTACCTTGGTTGCAGGCACATTCCAGTGGGGGGGGGGGGGTGCAAGAGGCAGCTGATCAATGATTCTCTCTCATTGATGTTTCTAACTCTATCCCTCTCTCTTCCTCTATAAAAAATCAATAAAATATATATTTTTTTTAAAAAGAAAAAATTAGAATATTCATTTCCACCATATCCAGTTTGGCTCAGTGGATAGAGCATTAGGCTGTGTACTGAAGGGTCCCAGGTTTGATTCTGGTCAGGGACATGTACCTCAGTTGTAGGTTCCTCCCTGGCTCAGGCACTGGTCATGATGCATGTAGGAGGCAACCAATCCATGTGCTTCTCTCTGTCTTTCCCTCTCTCTTCCATTCTCTAAAAGATCAATGGAAAAATATCTTCAAGTGAGGATTAATAACAACAACAACAACAAAAAAGAATGTTCATGTCCTAGTTTCTATGTTAACTTTCATAAAAGATAAAAGCATTCTGCTATTGACTGCATTTTAGTCCACATAGGCCTTTAGTCCGCAATGGGGTGCCCTAAACAAGGAACCTTGAAACATTTCCTGAGTTAAGTCCCAGAGAAGCAGTTGGGGCAGCCATCCTGGACAAGACCATGGCATGGTTAATATAGAAGGTAAACACAAACTCACCGGAAGACGCAGGAATCTCACCCTGGGCCCTTATACAGATAACAAAACTTATGTCCACACACAACCCTGAACACAGAGTTTACAGGAAATTTATTTTTAACAGTCAGAAACTGCAAAACAACCCATATATTCTTCACTAGGTGAATGGTTAGAGGCACATCCATGCCTCAAAAGCAGTTTGGCAATGAGGAAGAATAAGCTATTGAGATCAACACCCAGGCAGACCACAAAGAAGTGAAGAGCCTTCAGAAACAATAGTTCCAACTTACAAGACATCCAGGGAAAGAAAACCATAAGGAAGGGGGCAGAGCACAAGTGAAAACTCAGGTGACATCACACTAGTATGGGGCAGATTTTAACATATGTAAATTACAAAATAATTTGCATGAACTTTTGTCAAAAAAGTGAAGAAAATCTCACACACACACACACACACACACACACCAACTAAAATAGAAAAGAAAAAAAAAGTAGGCATTCCAAAAATTAACTACACAAATCAGGAAAATTTTTAATTCTTTTCCTTAGTTACAAATCAAATAAAATTCTAATTTCATCAGATATATTACATTGTTAAGTCAAAATTTTGGTTCGTTGACATGTATCAAACACCATCTTGTGGCAAGTGTGTGTGCATGTGTCTGCCCTGTGAACAAGGCAGATAATCCGCTAAAATGTTAAATAAGATCTCTGGCCATTAGAAAGGAAAGAGCCCAGAGCAGCTAACTATAAAGAAATGACACTGCCCCTCCTGCCTGCCAGCCATAAGGAAGCCCCGCTCCCTTCACCCCCAAACCCCTGCAGGAGTGAGTGACATACACTGAGCGCACAGCCCTTCAGCAGGTGGTGCTTGAGAGTCTTCTCCAGCCGGGACGCTGCTCTGCACAGCTCTGCCTTCTCCTGGGTCACAGTGCTGAGAGCGTTAGTAAGAGAATCATTTTCTTTCAGCAACACATCCACCAGCTGGACCTGGACCTCTGCTGTCATTTTTTTCTTGAAAAGAAGGAAGAAAAATAAATATATTGTTAAAAGGCATGGACACTATTTGTGTGTTTTTAAAAAATTTTCACCAGAGGGTATTTTCTCCATTGACTTCTAGAGAAAGTAGAAGGGGGAGAAGAAACATTGACATGAGAGAGACACATCGATTGTTTGCCTCCCGAAAGTGCCCCTACTTGGGCTGGGGAACCTGCAACCAAGGTATATGCCCTTTACCAGAAATTTCTGATCAAGATTTCATAATCATCAGAGAACATTGATCAGAAATTTGTTAACAACAACTTTAAATTCTTCAGATGCAGCTGATGGGGAGTGCAGTGCTCCCCCAGGCAGTCTTAGAGACCCATATTGCTCTGGCTCTTAACACAAATGCTCAAGGAGCAGGCTGGGCTGCAGCATGACAGACCACCAGGCTGGGAGGCACCAGAGAAAGCGCAAGTGAGCGCCTGGTCCCTCCCAGACACAGGAGGAGACACATGCTCACTCACCCAGACTGCACACTTGAAAAACAAGAAGGAGGCAATGAGGGAGGCACAGCCAGTCACAATAAAAAAGAAACCAGGCCCCAGGTGGCCAGAGGAGGCCATGGAAGCTGTCTCTCACCTAGAGGAGCTGGGTTCTCACCTGGGGAGAGCCAGATGTGCTCAGCTGGGACTTGAGGTCCTCTAACGTCCGCAATAAAGATGCCACTGCTTTCTCATTTGATGATGTCCAATCATTAACTGTCCTATAAAAATAAACATTTAAAAAGTTCATATGGATTCCAACCAACTATCAACCAACACCATACAGGGCACTGTGCTAAAGATGAGCTTGTGAACCCCACATAGACCACTTGTAGCATGCTTTCCAAGCATTTCATCAAGCCATGTTCCGTCCACAAAGGTGGCTGCTGGGAGCCCCTCTTGTGATGGTGGCAGCTATGAGACGGTGCAACCCTGAAGTGGACAGTCTGTAAAACTCAAAAACCGCCGGCCACTGACCACTGGGGCTTCCTCAGCACTTCTGCACCTTTTGCTGCTTTCTGCCGGGATCTGGTCTATTATTAGAATAGTGTCCTAAACAAATATTTGGTGCTCTATAAATTAAACCCAACTATAGACAGGAGAACGGTGTTTGTTTGGTTTCTGTGCATAGAGAGAAGGGCAAATGTCAACATTAATTGTTCTGTTCTCAAACAAAAACACCTCAGTCACGGCTCGTCAACCATGAAACAAATTTTGGCAGCATGAATGGCAGCCCCAGAACCTCAGGTAAGGCAGACACAACAGACACTGGCTCTGCCCAGTTCCGTGGGCACAGGTGGGAGCTGTCATCAGGTGTGGGCCCTCCGGGTGGTGAATAATTATAAAGGGGTGTGGGGCGAGCCGATCTAAAAGAAACCAGGATTTTCTGTCATATTAGAATGCAGGAGAGTGCTGCCCATGACTCATTCAGGCATATGGGACGAGAAATACAAGTCAGTTTCATTAGAACATGGACCTAAAATTGGAGGCACACCTAAAGCTCAGAACTGTTCACGGTGAAGGCGCAGGGGCACATAGGACTTGCTGGCTCTCCGGGACTGACCTGTTGATGGTCTGGTTGATGAAGCTGGCCAACATCCCTGCCGCACAAAGCAGCTGCTGCCGAATGGAATCCAGACCCTGCTGCTGCTCTTGGAGATGCTCCAACTCCGGGGACAAGTGTGCTGCCTCCCTGGCCTCCAGCTCCCTCATCTTTCTCTGAAGCTGCTTGATCTTGTGCTCATGGCGCTGGCGCTGCAATTCTAACTCTCTCTGTTGTCAATGCAGAGCAGAAAAGACCTTTAGACAGAGTCCGGAAACCTAGCTCCACCCAGTGTCAAACCCAGGGGCTGGGCTGCTCTGCCCTGCACACCACCCACAATGGGACATCCACACTGGCGCTCCACGTGTCACATGGGTCAGGACAGCTCCTGCCTCAGACAGCACAGTCCCACTGCAGTCTCAGGACAGAGGTTTTGTGCTTATTTCTGAGAATGGCCAAGCTTTACAGGCCCAAGGTAAGCATGAGATACAAAGGAGAAGGGCCAGGACGCTGACACAAAAACTAAAATTATAATTCCATTACAGCAGCAATAAAGGATGAAGCCTCACAGGCCTGAGTTCTAGTTCCCCACATCAACAAATATGAAGTGTACACATGAACACACAACATGCACAGACACACACCATGAATATGGGGGTGTCCTGGGGTCTCACTAAGTGGAAAAAAACAACACTAATACGAAGCTCTCCACCAAGGAGGTGCTGAGAAAAGTCAGCAAGGACGTGTTCACTGCCAAGCACGCAGGACCTGCGTCTCCACTGGGAGTGACCAGAGAAGGCAAAGACAGTGTGGTGAGCAGAGAGCAGGGTGGAAGGGCCTCCTCATGGGGAAGAGAGGTCTGTGTAACTGAAATGCACAGGCAAGAGCTTAATTCCACCTGCCTCCACAAAATAAGTGGGGACACCTCCTGGACACACACTGCCCACTCTCTGTCACACCCCCAAACTACTCCACTTTTCAAGATGTCTGGTGATAAAATACTACAACTACTGTAAAGGTTCCTCAGTGGTATGTGACTTGTAGCTCAGTGGCTAGAGCATCAGCTTGCGGACTGAGGGTCCCAGGTTCAATTCTGGTCAAGGGCATGTACCTTGGTTGCAGGCACATCCCCAGTGGGGAGTGTGCAGGAGACAACTGATCAATGTTTCTAACTCTCTCTCTCTCTCCCTTTCTCTCCGTAAAAAGCCAATAAAATATATTTCAAAAATAAACTATTAAAAAAATTTAAAAAAAGACTGTCTGCTTATCCTACAATCAGGAACAAGGCACCATGTCCCCTCACCACCTCCATCAACGCTGTACTATAAGCTTTGGTCAGGGCGTCAGGCAGCAAGAAGAAATAAAGACACCATATAGAAAAGAAGGCAATAAAACTATGCTTATGTTAAGAGAACATGATTGGGTACATGGAAAATCCCATATTATCCATTAAGAAACACTGGAACTAATGAACAAGTGCAGCTAGGTTGAGGGACACAAGATCAACGAACAAAAAATCAACTGGACAGCTGTACACCAGTGGACAGTCTAAAGTAAAACTAAAATTATAATTCCATTACAGCAGCTACAAAAATAAGAACATATTTAGGAATAAGTTTAACAAAAGAAGTGCAAAGCTTATCATCTGAAAGTTATAAAACATTGTTGAAAGAAGTAAAAGACCTAAATAAATTGAGAGACCTAATTTCACGGGTGCGAAGACTGAACATGGTTAAGGTGACAATACTTCTCAAAGCGATCTACAGAGTTGGTGCAATGCCGATTGGGATCCCAATAGTCTTTCTTACAGAAATGAAAAGCCCAGTCCTTGAATGTGTGTAGAACTGTCAGGATCCCCAACATCTAACCCGTGAAAAAAGAACAAGGTAAAAGGCTGTGCGCTTTCTGACTTCCAGCCTTCTAGTAGTAGTAGTTACTGCTTCCAGCATAGGACTGTACAGACCAGCCGAACAGAGTGACCAAAACAAGCTCCAGTCCTGTGGGTCATCCTAACCCTACTAACTTAGCTGCTACGTGCTATCATTGGCCAAGGGCGGCTCTCACCAGTTTCTCCTTGTCTCTCTGCCACTTCTTCCACTTGTCCGTGTCTGCCCGGCTCTGCCTTGTCTCCACTCTTCTTCTCATGTCCTTGAGTCCTTCTTGCTCTGCCAGCCTCCTGTGTAACTGCTCTAACTCTGCCTGCAGCTGTGTGGGCATCTCCCTCTCCCTGTCCCAATCACAGCTCAGCTCTGGTTTGGAGGTCCGCAGGGCCTGCACAGTGGACCTCAGCCTGGCACTCACCTCCTTCTCTTTCTCGAGCTCTGCACAGCGCCTCTGCACCTCAGCCTCCAGCTGCTGCTGGGCGCACATGGCGTGCTGCTGCACTTTCTCCAGTGCTGCCTGCAGCTCCACCACCCGGGCCGTCTCCTCCTTCAGCTTCCGCAGCAGAGCCCGGTGGGCCTGTGTCTCCTGGTGAGCGCAGGCCTCCTGTGCCCGCCGGCTCAGCTGCTCCGTCAGGACTCGCTCGTGCTGCAAGGCCTCAGACAGCTCCTGGGAACGGCCCTGTGCAGCCTCCAGGTTCCGGTGTAGCTTGGAGAGCCGGCTCCGCTCCTGCGCCAGCAGCGCCTCACAGCGCGAGGACTCAATTTGCAGCTCCTTCTGAAGGTTGTCCTTTGCTGTCTGCTCGTGTTTTAACGCTACAGACAGTCGATTATTCTGAGCAAATTGCTTCTCCAAAGATATTCTTAACTCCTGGATCAGGGAAATATAAGATGGAAAAATTAAAACTGGAGAAAAGTATCTAAAATACTTCCACCCAAGTTTCTGTTTCTATCTTTCGACCAGTAATTACACCTTTTGAAATTTACCCTGTGGCTAAAAAAGTATGTATAGCTGACCCTCTAACCACGTGGGTATTAGGAGCACAGACCTCTCTCAAAGACAGAAATCTGTATGCAACAACAGTTAGCCCTCTGCATATGCCAATTCCCAACTACGAAATTGACCCTTAGAACAGCGGTCAACTGAAACAATCCATATATAAATGGATGCTCATAGTTCAGAAGACAAACCACACAGATGCAGTTTGAGCTGAACCAAGGTCTGTGTTGTTGAAAGACAGCTTTGCCTAATGGGAACTGATGGTCAGCTTGCCCAGACTTATGGAACACCTGCTGGACACATGGTCATCAAGCTGCCAAACAAAACACGATTCACACGCATGCTGTACATCTCACACAGGAGCTGGGTCATGCAGTTTATCTGGTTGACACAGGCTTCTAAGGCTGCGCCTTGTGTGGAAGGAGGCGGTGTCCACTCTGCAGAACCAAGCTCACAGAGATGATGGGGACCATGTGTGTTACAGCACTGCATCATATGGTCATCACACACTCTGTCACTGCAAAACTGCTGTGTATTTTACCTGAAGACGTAGCCCTACCTCACTGCCCCAAAACCCGGTCACCTGAGCTCACCATCACAAAAAGAATCAGAGGCAGCATCAAAGAGAACGGCCTCCCAGCTCCCAGCTCCCATCTCTGGCCGGTGTGGTGACTAGGCCATCCTTGGTCCCCTTACCTCCAGGGCCTTGGAGTCCTGGCCCTCCCTCTGCAGGTGCTCCTGCTGCTCCTGCTCCAGCTGGCTCTGCAGGGCGCGCTCCTTAATGCGCTCGCTCTCCAGCTCCTGAAGCGCGGCCTTCAGGTCGTTCTCCTTGCTGTCTAGTACAGACCTGTGTGCGGAGAGAGGTAGTCACTCCACATTGCAAATGCTCTGAAGGGACGCGTTACCGTCAGGGGCCGGGAGCTCCCAGGACGAGGCAGGTAGGCCCTGTTGCTTCCTATCTGCACACATGCTCAGTCCCGCCTTCTCGCTCTAAACACACGGGAGCAGGCACTTCTGTCTAATACCCACTGAGCATGCAGCACAAGTCATGGCACCGAGGCTCCATTACTTCACTGCCAAGAGTGATGTGGTGAGAATTATGTAACTTCCATTTATTCTTCCAAAGTTCTGATGACAGCCTGGGGGCTAGCGGGCAGTGTATCACGAAGGCAGTGCCATACGTACCTCAGCTGGAGAACCTCTCTCTGCACGTCATTGAGGGACTTCAGCAGCCTCTCATTGTCCTGTTTACACTCACAAAGCTCTGACTTCAAAGCTTTGACGGCGTTCTGCTCCACCACCAGCAGCTTTCGGGCGTTGTTTGCTTTCTGTTGCTCTTCATTGAGGGTTTTCTGTAGATCACTCGCTATAGATTTTTCCTGTTCAACCTTATATGCCAGTAATTCAACTGAGGAAAAGATTAGAAAACATAAAATAGCATTATTCATGAGTTCAAAGGGAGTTAAACGGATGATTTAACTGCAGACAAGTCAGTTAAGGAGACAGGGAGAATGAAGTTTCTGCAACCAAAAAGGCAGTGCTTCTGACGGCGCCAGGGCACATTCCTTCTGCCTGTTGCTGGTTCCTACAACACGCACAGCACCAGGCCTCAATGCAACATCGTTCCCCAGGTTGAGCTATACCCCGACTCACCCCTGCAGCAGTTCAGACCTGGGGTCTCCCTGGAAGCTGAGCTTCGAGCTAAGCCAAAATGGACCTGCATGTTGAAGGCTGCTCAGAGCCCTCCCTGCTGGGGGCAGGAAGGCCAGGTGTGACCATCCTGTGGTCTAAAATCCTATCCCATCTGTCACTCCTATACTAAACCTCCCAATCGAGACAACTCCAGCTCAGATGGCTTCACAGGAGAACTCTCCTAAAAGTTAAGAAATACACTAGTCCTATAAAAAGTCCTCTGGAAAACTGAAGAGGAATAGACAGATGTCAGTCCTCCATGAGGCTGGCGCTACTCCAATGCCAAAACCAGAAGAAAGAGAAGCAGTCCAAAAATGGAAGACGCTGAGGACGCCTTGCCATAATCGCAGTCAGCAGCTGTGTCTCACTGCAGGTTGCCCAGGACCAAACCAGAGAGGGTCGGACCTGCATTACCACCATTTGTCCACCATCCAGAACTGAAATATCATTGCTGACATATACACATAAGGAACTGTTTGACATTGAAATTGGGTCTCAAAAGAACTGTTGGCCCAGAAAGAAACTCACTACAGATTGATTCATTTGCTTTTCAGCATAATCATTTTCTATTCTTATATTTCCAATAGGACATGATCTCACTCATCTAGGGGAAATGGTGAACAACATAGACTGATGAACAAGAACAGACCCAGAGATAAGGAGCCATGGGTCAGACTGTTGGACCTCAGAGGGAGGGTGGGGATAAAAGGGAGAGATCAACCAAAGGACTTGAGTGCATACATATGAGCCTAACCAGTGGTCAAGGACAACAGGGGGATGGGGGCATGAGTAGGGAGGAGTGGGAGATTGGAATGGGGGGTTGAGGACAAATATGTGATACCTTAATCAATAAAGAAATCTAAAAAAACAAACAAACAAAAAAAAACAACAGAAGATTTCTACAGACTAGTATCCCTCATGAATGTAGATGTCAAATAAGCACAAACCCAGCCCAGAAATGTACAAAGGATAATGCACCATGACAAGGGGTCACAGCCAAAATGAAAGACTGCTCCTACTAGACAGACTTAGTTGGCCATCATTCAGCTTCCAAAACTAAGGAGAGAAGGGACCTGCCAGAGAGAACAGAAGGCATCTGTGAGGAGCAGTTACCATCCTATTTAAGGGTAAGACATGGAGTGCTTCCCCTGCAGCCAGGAGCAGGGCCAGACACTCCACTCACCACATGCTTCAGGGCCTGACCAGTGGTCAGTGAGAGAAGAGGGTAGATAGAAAAGAAAAAAATTTTTTTTTTTATTCACAGGTTACATGAGTATCTCTGTGCTGACTGGTCTCTGAGTCATTTTGACTCAGAGTTCTATGAACCAAGAAATATTTCAGCCACAGTATTCTGATGACGAGGCTGACATTGCCTGCACTCAGGGACCTGAAGAAACCAGGACGTCATTGCTGCCACCAGATCCAGCTCTGGGCAGTCCAGAGGAGCTTTGCTAACCTGTGTGCCACCTTACCCACCAGGTGAACCTCAGGGGGGCACATTTCTCAGGGGTGCACCCACCCTGCCTGCGCAGCTGGTGTTCTTGCTGGCTCCCACGGGCCTCCGCACTGGTCAGCGCCGCGCACAACTGCTGCAGCTTCTCCTGGTTCTGCAAGTGCGTCAGCCGCAGCTGGGCTCGCAGAGCCTGGATCTCGGACAGCAGGCTACTCCTGTCGGACTGACGTAGTTGCTCCAAGGACTTCTCCTGCAGGTCCCCCTGGAGATGGGGTAAAAGAGGGACAGCAGTTAGGAAGGCTCTGCAGGAACGAGGAGTCCGCCCACATGGGGAAACAGGATGAGAAGGGAGCATGTCCCAAGTGCTGGTGGCTCCAGGCAGAAGCAGTACATCCTCTGCACATACAAGCCTCCACTATTGACTCTATTCCTGGCTGGGGGATAAGCATGCCGAGGACATAAGTGACCATCACCCCAGCACCTTCGTCTCATTTTTGGACATGGTCTGTGCCTGGGGTCTGCTCTGACCAACCTCACACCCTGACTCTGGACTCAAGCTCATAACCTGGGGATGAGCAGTCTGAAAATGCTTTTCCTTTTAAGGAAAGGCCAGTTATCTCTACAACAGACTGAGGTATAAAGGAGGGTAGAGGCATATAACTTTCCTCCCATGTGATAGAATACTGCATGCAGAACCATGCAGTATTACACTTGGTTTGTAGCAGGGTTTCCTCTCAGTCATGGGCATGTTCCCAGGTCAGCTGAAACAGAGGTAAGCTCCAAGGTAACCCAGGCCCAAGCTTACCTGCTCCTGGGCCACCTTCTGCAGTCTCTCCACCAGAGCCCTGGAGTCAGAGCCACTGAGCTGAGGCTGCAGCTCCACCATCAGCATCTCCCTCTCCTTTTCAAATGCCTCCTGGACTACCTGCAGGAATTCTCCTCTCCAGTCAAGGCAGGTGTCAGAAAGCTCCTAAAATTGGAACAAGAAGCTCAGTGATTGCAACAGATGCATCTAAGGTTAGAACAGGAGCCACTCCAACTGGAGAAGAGACACATGAGCACTCTCCAGGGCAAGAAAGGCCAATACAGCTGTCCAAGCAGAGAAGAAACCATTGAAGACGATGGTGGAAACAAGGTCAAGCAAAGTCAGCAGGCAAACCTTTTTCCAACACAAGGCCTGCGTCTGCGGTAGGCCCAAGGCCAAAAGTGACATGGGTTAAGTGCATGCCAGAGCACATGACTGCACAGGGTAGAGGCATGGGGTCATGTGTACGCACACCCAGGGTGTTGACATGCACAGGCGGCCACCCTAGGGCTACCTGCTCTAGACCGCCTTCCCTACAGGTTCAGCCTAGTGTCCTGCCCTCTATTCCCTCAAAGCCCATGGCAGGTTGGCTTCTCCTGGACATAGTTCACATCTGGCCCCACCTCTGTACTGCTCCTTCTCCTGGCCTCCCTGGCTCCTTGGTTGAGGAGTGGACACTGAGACCCTGTGGGCTAAGGCCCAGCCCCGTCACATGTGGCTGGCGTCCATGAATGTGAGTGAGAGGGTTGCTAATCAATATCAGTCTTCTTGCCACCACTGACCACCACTTGTTCCCTATTCCTGCTTACTTGGTAAAACAATCCCAAATTTTATTGACATCAAGAGGAGGCAAGTTGTCAGTTTCTTCACCATTACTGGAACTATCACTCAAACTATTTTCTAACAAGTGAGAAAATACCTTCTCTGCCTGTTGGGGTGCTGGGGTCAGGTGGCCCCTCAGAGCTGGCAATGCCTCCAACAGTCCCTGGCCACCCCTCAGGAAGTGCTTAATGGGTGTGCTTGGCTCGCCCTTGCTCAGTGCGCTGGGGTATCCATGGTATTCAGACAGGGCCAGGATGTGGTGGCTCTCATCATACACCATCTGCAGCAAAGCCTACAAGAGCACAAACATTAAAAAAAAAAAAAAAAAAAAAAGGAAAAGCAGCTTGAAAGCACTCATCCATTCATTGTTTCATTGTCCTGCCTTCACCATGAACACTCACTGGGGCCGCCTGCACAGTACTCGCATGGCCTTTATCAAAGAGCAGAACCTACTGTCTTGTTTTCCAGCTTTCCTCCCCCATAACGGTCAGAAACAGCAGGAAACTGGTTTTGAAAGAGTGAATTTCTATATAAGCTCCTCCAAGGATGACCCCCATGATGAAGCCATCCAATCTGTTCCTGCACAGTGAACATCACCCCACCCCTAAGCCTGAGAACAGCTCAGGGCAGGGCCTCGGGCCAACTTCCATGGAAGTCATGAAGACTCCAAAGACCATGTATTTTTCCTGGCTCTCCTGGGACCATAGCTGCCATATATGAGGAAGCCACATGGGAGGTGTGTACACAAGTCCCAGCTGATGGATGATACCTCAGGGGACAAGGTGCCTTCAGATGGAATGGCTAAATAATGAAGGGTGTCCCCCGTCACAGGGTGCAAAGAAACAGTCCCAACAGACTGGTCCTGACCCTGTCCACAAGGTCTGTGAGAACAGGAGAGGCCGTTTACTATAGAGCAATGGGGAACTGGGGCACACATGCTGGCCATCTATGTCCTGCCCAAAGAGGCTGAGCGAGGAGGAAGGCGGCTTCCCAGAGCTGTCCTCATGGAGAAGCTGGTGTTAGGATCAGTACACTCCTCATGAGGCATAAAGTAAGACAGAGCTGAAGCTGAGCTCTCTGAGCAGAGCATGATCTTCATGCAATACTTGGAAGCCAATGGCACAACCAGAGTGGACCAGAGATGGAGCCCATCAGCGCACCTCGCCCTGCTCTCACCACCCATTACCTTAACTTGTTTCGGGTGGACTTCCTTCTCCTTCATGGCTTCCAGTGACTGTCGGAAGCTTCCTGAGGCGGGGGACGGCACTGCAGGACTAACAGTGGGAGCTTCAAGTCCTCCTGAACCTTGGTTTAGTGTTTCTCCACACCCGAAGCCATCACCTAAATAAAACACCACCAAATCAGGGTCTAAAACTACAATTCTCTCAGGGCATTCCTGGGGATGCTCTGCAGAGTGCTGAGGGGGATCAGACCCCCCGCCCCCCCTGGCCTGTGCTATGCGAAGCTGGGCCTGGAAACACCCAGATGCCTATAGCTGCGATCTTCTCCCTGAAAAAAAAATCAATGAACCACAAAGATGGTAAAAATATTTTAATAAAAACACCAGATGAGATCTAGATACATTAAGTAAGAAAAAGTGTCTTTTGCATGTTTAAAATATTAATATCCATGATTTGAACATAAATCTTCAGATATTTCAGTCACTTTTACACAGATATTGATGTGTTTCCTTATCCCAAGAATAGAACCCACAGGACTCTGCAGAGCAAGTGCCACAGTTAAAAGACACACACAAACCCAAGGACGGGGATAAAGAGAGAGAACCCAGACAATGAGGATAGAGAGAGAGGACAGGAGGTAGAAGATGCCAACAGCAAGGACAGGTTGGGAGCAGGCGGACAAGCAGCAGACATCTGGTTAGGAAAAGCCCTAAAATCAGCCACCAGGGCTGGGGAACCCTGAACCAGGTCTGGAATTAGAGGCTCCCGGAACCTCTGTCTAATGCAGGGGTGGGGAACCTTTCTTTCTGCCAAAGGCCACTTGGATATTTATAACATTACTTGTGGTCCATATAAAACTAACAACTTAAAAATTGGCCTGCTATATTTGGTCAAACATTTAGTTAACTCACCCCTAATGCCTTGGCAGGGCAAGACCAAGTGATTTCCCATGCCTTATAAATCAGAATTCAAAATCTTTCAGAAGCTCTTAGGCCCCAGACCCATTCCAGTTCAGGAGGCTGGAAGCAAGAACTCTGGAAAATGGAGGGGCGCCGGATGGAAAAGCAGCTGCAGACCTTCTGTCTGCTCCTCCCCACAGCGCCCGGGTGGGGCCAAGGAGAATTTCGGGGCTACTGGCAAGGCCCTTTGGAACTGAGCTTCCTGAGAGCCATTCAAGCCAGCCTGCTGAGTCGTCCAGGTTCTCAAACAGGCAATGTTCAAACACAAAAGACAGAAATGGAAATAAGAGAAAGATAGGCAGTACACACAGCAAACCAGGTAAACGTGAGCACTGGGGAATCTGTGAAGGATATGCAGGAATGCTCAGTGCTTTTTGGACTCTGAAACTGTAAAAATGGGTTTTTAAAAAAGACGAAGAACTCACTGTTTTCACTTCCATTGCTTTTTCCTTCTAACCCAAGAGGAGATGATCTTGACTTTTCTTGAGAATCAAGAGACGTTATAATAAAGTCCTCAACATCTTTCTCCTGTTCAAATAGGTAGAATTTTAAATGATTATAAAATAATTTATTACATCATGGAATTAAACTTGCCTGACAGAAACATTCTAAGACCTGAATTTATCATCTTCCCACAAAGAATCCAAATAAGCCCTGGCCAGTTTTGCTCAGTGGATAGCACATCGGCCTATGGACTGAAGGGTCCCAGGTTTTTGTTTTTGTTTTAAGAAATAATTCTTTTTTTGTTTTGTTTTACTTTTTTTTTTTTTTTTTAATATATTTTATTGATTTTGTACAGAGAGGAAGAGAGAGATATAGAGAGTTAGAAACAATGATGAGAGGGAGTCATCGATCAGCTGCCTCTTGCACACCCCCTACTGGGGATCTGCCCGCAACCAAGGTACATGCCCTTGACCAGAATTGAACCCGGGACCCTTTGGTCCCCAAGCTGACACTCTATCCATTGAGCCAAACCGGCCCCGGCGGGTCCCAGGTTTGATTCTGGCCCAGGGCACATGCCCGGGTTGCGGACTCAATCCCCAGTGGGGGACGTACAAGAGGCAGCCAATCAATGATTCTCTCTCAACATTGATATTTCTCTCTCTCTCTACCTCTTCGTCTCTGAAATCAATAAAGAAATACATATTTTTTAAAAAGAACCCAAATAAAAGTGTTCAAACCTTATGGATATTTTGAGGTCACTAATGTATCCATGCTTCTAATAATGTGTGTTAATTCACCCACAGTGCTCTAGGAATATTTTAAATAAGTCATTAGCAATTATTTTAGATTAAAGTACTTTTGCATGAAATGGTAGAATATAGATACTTCAAATAAAACATATAGCCTAATTTACTTTTTATTTTATCTAACTCAAGATAAACAAAATACCAAAACTGTTATGAAAGATATAATCTAACAAAAATAATAAACTGAAGTGTTCCTGAAATTAATTAGCATTACATGTGCAACCTGTTAAAAATGCAATACAACTAAAAATAAATCTAAAAAACATTCTAAATAAAACCCATATGCAAACTACACACAAAGATGAGTTTATGACTGTACTTCTCAAAATCAGTATTAGTTAAGAAACTTAGCATGCCCCTCCCCCCAAAAAAGAAACTTAGTCCTAACGTTGCATTTCACATACTTCCAAAAATCATTTAAGTGTTTAAATGTTCACATTACAGTGGATTAGGGTTAGTCCTGTAGAAAGCTGACCGTCCCTACACATAGCTGACCAGGGGACTGTGAGGAGCTCATCCACACCCGGCCCACAGGCCTGCAGGTGAACCAACAATGGCTGCCGCTGTGACACCGCGGGCCATGAAGACACAGTCCCATGGGAACACACTGGAGCCCTGGCACATACAGACGCTGAAGCAGGACCCAGGGAAGCCAACCTACCACAACCACATGATGCACATGAGGATCGGCGGAGGGAGCCCCGTCTGCGGCCAATGAAGACTCTGCCCAGGAAGGGGCCTTTTCTGCTGCTGACCCACCAAGGGAACAAAGCAGCCCCGACTGGTCAGCCTGGAGCACTGAGGCACTCATCCTGTCCTTCAGAGAGAGATCCAGGCTGTGCTGGCTCAGGACGTCCACGCAGGGTGTCAGGGGCAGGCTGGGTGGTGGCTCGAGCATTGAGTCCTTCCTGACAACCTCGGGGGAGCTCCAGGAGGACAGGTCCATCGCACTGAGTGCATTCTTCAAGGGCTCAGCCTCCTCAATGTAGGTTAAGTCATGGGAGCTACTTGGCAAGCTCAGCTGCAAACCAAGTGACCCATCCTGCAAAGCTACCTTGTCTTCCATGGGAACATTTGGCATTTCATTTCTTTTCAATGAATCCTGATTTCCAATACTGTCAATTACATCCTGTGTAATTTTATTGATATTAAATTCATCAACAGGAGGCAATCTGTCAGTTTCTTCACCGTTACTGCAACTACCATTCAAACTGTTTTCTAAAACATGAGAAAATGCCAATGGCTGTTGAGAGTTAAAATCCTCTGTCTCGGTGTTCTGGAAGTTCATAGAATATACCAGACGGTTCAGTTTTTCTTGAAGCTGTTTCACCTGAGTTATGAGATCAACTTTCTGCAGCTTAAAACACTCCCGTCGTTTTTCTTTATCCTGCAGGTGAGATAGAACATGCATACAGTAAAATAACTGCATTACATGCTGCAACACTTGTCTGTCTGAGCCAGTTTTATGAACCAATTTCAGAGACTGAGAAATTAATTATGAGATTCCATAATGAGCCCTTTGGTCCCTCTGGACTCTTAGGATTTCAAATTTTTTTATAAGACAGAATCAGGGCTTAAAGCTTTGTGCCTAAAAGGCAACTGTTGGAGAGGATTCTGGAAAGATGGCACAGCAGAAAGTACAAGAATCTGTCTCCCCACCTGGACATCAACTGCACTGGCAGAATCTTATCTGATACAATATAGTCAAACCTCAGTTCTTAAACATCTCCTATCTCACAATTCACTTCTCAACCCAACACGCTTTTCATGCTCCTCCTTGTATGATCAGTCACACCTCTCTCAGGTGACAAAGAGAGAATGCACAAGTGAATCAGTTTACCACTAAATCTCATGTTAACATCTCAATACAGAGGAGACAACCAGTATTCAAAATCTTCCGATGAAACAAGCTGTGGAGTTGACGGCTTCACTGGTGAATTCTATCAAACATTTAAAGAACTGATATTAATCTTTCTCAAACATTCCAATAAACTGAAGAAGGAGCACCAGGCTCAGAGGCTTCACTGGTAATTCTACCAAACATTTAAGGAAGAAACTATACCAATTCTCTACAGCAGAAGCAGAGGGAATGCCTCTTAACTCATTCTATGAGGCATTACCTTGATACGAATGCCAAATAGTACAAGAAATGAAAACTATAAACCAATGTTCCTTATGAACATTTATGCAAAAAGACTCAACAAAATATTAGAAAATAGAATTCAATCACATTTTAAAGGATTATACATCTTAAGAAAGTGGTATTCATTACCAGAATGCAAGGGCAGTTCAACATAGGAAAATCAATGTAATATACCATAATAACAAAATGAATGAAAAAAATCATACAATTGATGCACAAAAAAAGCATTTGACATAATTTTAATATCCTTTTTTGATAAAATCATTCAAGATAACTAGGAATAGAAAAAAATAACCTTAACATAATAAAAACCATACATGAGAGACAGTGAAAATCACATTCAATGGTGATAGATTGAAAGCTTTACAACTAAGAACAAGGAAAGGACGTCCAGTTTCACCACTTCAACATAGTACTGAAAGTCTAGCCAGAATAATTAGGCAAGAAAAAGAAATTAAAGACATCCAAATTGGAAAGAAAGAAGCAAAACTATCTATGTTCACAGATTATATGGTCTTATATGTAGAAAACCCTGGAAGATACCACGTAAAAAACTGATAAAATTATAAAATTCAGTTGCATTTCTCTACACCAGTGGTTCTCAACCTTTCTAATGCCGCGACACTTTCATACAGTTCCTCATGTTGTGGTGACCCCCAACCATAAAATTATTTTTGTTGCTACTTCATAACTGTAATTTTGCTGCTGTTAATGAATCGGAATATAATACCTGTGTTTTCCCATGGTCTTGGGCTCTACAGCAGCAGAGGCTCTACAGGTTGAGAATCGCTAGCAGGGTCACCTAAGACCATCAGAAACCACAGATATTTACATTACAACTCATAACAGTGGCAAAATTACAGTTATGAAATAGCAACAGAGTCGCAACAGTAGGAAGGTTGAGAACCACTGCTCTACACGAACAATGAATAATCTGAAAAGGAAATTAAAAAAAACAAATCCAATCGCTTCTCGGCCTTTTGGCTAAGATCAAGTGTAAAAAAACAAATCCAGACAGGCTGATGTGTGCTCAACCTATGAACCAGATCACGGTTCAATTCCCGGTCAGGGCACATGCCCATATTGCGGGCTCAATCAACAGTAGGTGGCGTGAAGGAGGCAGCCCATTGCTAACGTTGCTCTCTCATTGATGTTTCTCTCTATCACTCTCTCTTCCTCTCTCTCTAGAGATAAATAAAAACATATTAAAAACAAACAAAAAACTAGCTCGTAGAGTGCCTAAATGAAACGTGTAGGACATTTCAAAGCAAATCTGAATAGCTATGAGAATATGATAGATTCAGAAAACATGTCACTGTCTACGGTCTACATAGTATGTGTGTCCCCTCAACAAAATGCCAGAGAGGATGCCTGTCTCTCCTGAAACGAGCCTAAGTACCTTCACTGTCCCTGATGCTTTGCCGTAGTCCTCAGCACTCAAGTGCATTTCATTTTTCACAAGGAGCAGCTCAGACTCCAGCTGCCTCTGGCAGACCGCGAGCATCGACATCATGCTGTCTTGTTTGTGGAGGCCGGTGTGGTTTCCCGTCACCAGGGCTTTGGCAGGCTGCAGATCACCTTTCACTGGGCTCTACAGTAAGAGGAAAAACACAAGGACAATGCCATCAAGATTATACTAAACACACGGAATGTCAGAAATGCAGGGAGGCCAGCTGCAGGGAGCTCTAAAGTGTGAAATCAGAACCATGCTGCAACCCTGCTGTCTGCTCATAAACCACCATGGGACAGATGTGCTGGAGGCTTAGGGCCCTGAGGGCTCTGAGGGCACAGGTGCCAGCTGTGGTAGAATGGGGTGTACTCAGCACAGAACCCCAAGCTGATTGGGGGGGGGGGGGGCAGAACTCTACTCAAACATAAACTGAAGCATGTTCCCCACCCACAAATAAACTTGAAACATTTTACACTATAATATAAAAGATAAACCATTTGATTACATGTCTAATACATGGTTGAGCTCCGTATCACTGAGTGTGCCCTAACCCTAACTCTAACCCTAATAAAAAAAAGAAGTGTTTTTAAAAGTTTTAATAACTTATAGCAATAAGTTTAAAATTATACAAAAGAGCAAGACCCAGCCTAATCTCACTGCATACATGTGGCCTAACTTAAGGTTATATGGATCCTAAATGGCAAGGGCCCCAGCCAGCACCAGTTGCATACTCACTTCTCCTCCCAGGCATGAGCCACCTACTGGAAACTACCCACCAGAGAGGAGAGTCATTAATTAAAACAGAAACAGCCCTAACCAGTTTGGCTCAGTGGACAGAGTGTCAATCTGAGAACTCAAGGGTCCCAGGTTCGATTCTGGTCAAGGGCATGTACCTAGGTTGCAGGCACATCCCCAGTAGAGGGTGTGCAAGAGGCAGCTGATTGATGTTTCTCTTTCATCAACGTTTCTAACTCTCTCCCTCTCCCTTCTTCTCTGTAAAAAATCAATAAAATATATATATATTTAAAAACAGAAGAGTAAGAAAAATAATTGTTTGCTCAGAAAACCCCCAACTTCTCTGGTCCAGCCCAGTGCTCCACCTCCAGCTGCGTGGGTCAGGGCCTCCTGCTCTCTGCACACAGACTGCACCTGTGGGGCTATAGGGGAACCAGGCCCACCTGTGGATCATCGGCTTGACCACGGGAGGCCATAGGTAGCTGCCTGTTGCCCACATTTTGTTCCGACTCTTCACCACACAAGGCCTTGTCACTCCTGGCCACCTGTCCCTGGAAGCTGCCCTTTATACGATGGAGCACGGGCGACCCACACGCCTGCTGCTTATCCAGCTCCTTCTGGCACCGCAGAAACCGCTGGTTCAGTGCCTGCAGCTGGTGGCTGAGGCGGACACACTGCACTCGGAGCCGCTGCAACTCCGGGGGCTCATGTGTGGCACCCGGGGGCTGCTGTTCCAGGGTGCGGCGGAGGGAGGTGAAGGCCTGAAGGATGGCCTCCAGTTCTGTGGAGTGGGCTGAGCGCCTTCTGTTTATAGCCTCAATTTCCAAATCCCTCTGGGCAATCTCTGCATCCTTTGCTTTGAGGGCAGCCTCAAACTCTTGAATTTGGGAGGCCAATCCCTGGACCTCCGCCTCCCGGAGGGTAGCACTGGATCTCAGCTGGGCCAGCTGCCTCTCGGCAGCCTCCTCTGCAACCCGCAGGCGCTGCTGCAGGGCCTCCAGGGCCTGGCCATGCTGGTGCTCCTGCTCAGTCAGCAGCTGGCCCAGAGCCTCCTTGGCCTCAAGAGCATTCTGGAGCTCGGCCTGCAGCGTGGCCTGGGTCTCGGCTCCCTCGGTCTGCAGGCAGTACAGCCCACGCTCTAGCTCGCTCTGGAGATCCTCAGCTTGGCTGTCACTGAGCTCATGCTTGGCAGGCTCCCCAAGGGTCAGCTCTCGCTGCAGCTTCTCGATGACCTCGTGCAGTTGCTCAATTTCCTCTGCTTTATCCTTCTGCAGCCGCTCCTGGTTCTCCTGCAAAGTCTCAATAATGGACTTCAGCTCCTCGACTTCAGAGCTTCTACTATACATAACCTGCAGAAAGAGCACGTTTCAGAGGCAAACTACATAACTGCCTTCAGAACCCCCTCTCAACTTACAGCTCTGAATTCGTTGTCAGAAGTAGACGCGTCTCACACACTGTTGATGGGAATGCAATATGGTGCTATGGAAAATAGTATGGCAGTTCCTCAAAAATAAAAATTACCATATGATCCAGAAATCCCACTTCTGAGTATTTATTCAAAAGAACTAAAATCAAGATTTCGAACAGATATTAGCACCCCAGAATCAATGCACTGCTACTGTTCACAAAAGCCAAGATTCACAAACAAACTAAATGTCCACTGGTGGATGAATTAATAAAGAAAATTTGTATGCATTTAATAGAATATTATTCAGCCTTAAAAACAGAAATACTAAAATTTATCACCATATGGATAAAACCTGAGGACATCACAGAAGAACAAATACTACATCATCCCACTGATATGAGGTATTTAAAATAGTCACACTCACAGAATCAAAGACTAGTATGTAGTTACCAGGGGCTAGGAGAGAGGGGGAAATGGAAAACTGCTTCTCAACGGGCATACACTTTCAGCTATACAAAATGGAGAAGTTCTCGAGATCTGCAGTACAACATTGTGCCTATAATTAACAATATTGTATTGTACACTTAAAAACTTGTTAAGAGGAAATAACTTGTGTTGTGTTCCTACCACAAGAAAACAAGATAAAATAAAGGTAAACATAAAAATAAAAAAATAAAAAAAAGTAGAGCCGAAACCGGTTTGGCTCAGTGGATAGAGCATCAGCCTGCGGACTGAAAGGTCCCAGGTTCGATTCCGGTCAAGGGCATGTACCTGGGTTGCGGGCACATCCCCAGTAGGAGTGCAAGAGACAGCTGATTGATGATTCTCTCTCATCGATGTTTCTGACTCTCTATCCATCTCCCTTCCTCTCTGTAAAAAAATCAGTAAAATATATTTAAAAAATAAATAAATAAAAATTAAAAAAAAAGAGTAGAGTCTTCACAGCTTGAAATACAAAACAGCTGTAAGAACTAACAATGACACCAAATAACAGTTAATATATAAAAAATTCCCAAAATGCTGTATCCCAACTACTTAACTACCTCTAAGAAAAATCCTGTTGCTGCTGGGCAGCTCATTCGGATACTCCACTTGAGGCTGCTGGGCACTGCCCCAGAGCCCAGCCCTCTTTTGTCAGAATTCTGAGGAAGATCTAAGTTGGCCACTTCCCAGTCAGTGACACCTACATACTAATATTTTTCCACCTTTTAAATGTGTATGTAGTAAATATTTAAACAACTCTGATTTGTTTGATTTTCCTAAAGGGAGAATTTAGATTTTAGGTGTCGTTCTGATTTTTTAAAAATAGATTTTTATTGATTTCAGAAAGGAAGGGAGAGGGACAGAGATAGAAACATCAATGATGAAACAGAATCATTGATTGACTGAATCCTGCACACCCCACACTGGGGATTGAGCCCACAAACTAGAGCATATGGCCTGACCAGGAATTGAACCCTGATCTCCTGTTTCATAGGTCGATGCTCAATCACTGAGACATGCCAACTGGCCTAAAAAAAAATCAATGAAAAAAATTTCTTCAAGTGGGAATTAACAAATAAATAAATACAGGCATAAATACCTAAGAAAATAACATAATTTAAAAAACCCAAAATAAACTCATGCAACCAAAACAATCTAATAAAAAAATGGGCAGAAGACCTAAATAGACACTTTCCCCCAAAAGACATACAGATGGCTAAAAGGCATATGAAAAGATGTTCTATGTCACTAATTGTAAGAGAAATGCAGATTAGAATCACAATGAGATAATCAGCTAAAACCTGTCAGAATGGCTATCATCAATAAATCTACAAATAACTGTTGGTGAGGATGTGGAGAAAAGGGAACCCTCATGCACTCTTGGTGAAAATGTAAATTGGTAAAGCCACTATAAAAAACAGTATGGAGGTTCCTAAAAAAAAAAAAATGAAAATTAGAGGTTCCATATGATCCAGCAATCCCACTTCAGGGTATTTATTTAAAAAAACACCAAAAAAAAACCACACACAAAAAAATTGTAATTCAAAAAGATATATGCTCCTGTGTGTTAATTGCAGCATTATTTACAATAGCCAACACATGGAATCAAGATATGGAAGAACTGAAGTATTGTTGTTTTTGGTTTTAAGCTGTATGAGTTTATTATTTATTTTTTGATATTAACTCCTTATTGGATGTATGATTTGTCCATCAATAGACAATTGGCTAAAGAAGATGTATTATTACTCAGCAATAAAAAAGAATGAAATTTTGCCATTTGTGACAATATGGTTGGACCTAGAGGATATGATGCTGAGTGAAGTAAGTCCGACAGAAAAAGGCAAATGGCATATAATTTCACTTATATGTGGGATTTAAAAGGCAAAACAAATGAGCAAACAGAAACAAGTTCATGGAGAACAAACTGATGGTCGCCAGGTGAGAGGGGGTTAGGTTGGAGGGCTGAGTGAAAAAAGTGAAGAAATTAAAAAGTACAAGTTTACAGAATAGTCATGGGGATATAAAGTACAGCATAAGAAATATAATCAGTAATCTATATTAATAAAAGCCTTGGTGGCCCTAGCGCCCTCACAAGATGACCGCCACAAGATGGCTGGCAGGGAAGGGTAGTGTGGGAGATCAAGCAGGCAGGGGAGGGCAACTGAGGGCGATCAGGCCAGCAGGGGAGGGCAGTTGGGGGAAACCAGGCCTGTAGGGGAAGGCAATTGGGGGGGACCAGGCCTGTAGGGGAGGGCAATTGAGGGCGATTGGGCCAGCAGGGGAGCAGTTAGGGGGCAATCAGACTGGCAGGCAGAAGCAATCAGGGGCCATTAGGCAGGCAGGAAGGCAAGTGGTTAGGAGCCAGCAGTCCCGGATTGTGAAAGAAATGTCTGATTGCTGGTGTAGACTCAATTCTAAACCAGCAGTTGGACATCCCCCAAGGGGTACCTGACTGGAGAGGGTGCAGGCTGGGCTGAGAAACACCCCCCTCCCACAACCAGCACATGAATTTCATGCACCAGGCCTCTAGTATTGCAATAACTCTGTATGGTGCCACATAGATAGTACACTTATCAAGGGGGATCACTTCAAAAGTATTGAAACGCCTAATCACTATGCTGTACACCTGAAACTAATACTGTATGTGAAATATATTTGAAAAATAAAATTTTAATAATTAGTTGCTGGTTTTAAAGGCATTCCTTAAGCTTGGCCAATAAATATAGTTCAGTGGTTGAGCATCAACCTATGAACCACGAAGTCATAGTTCATTCCCAGACAAGGCACATGTCCAGGTTGTGGGCTTGATCCCCAGTAGGGGGCAGGCAGGAGGTAGCTGATCAATGATTCTCATCATTGATGTTTCTATCTCTCTCTCCCTCTCCCTTCCTCTCTGAAACTAATAAAAATATATTAAATAAAAAATAAAGTCATTCCTCAAAGAAACACAAAATAATATTCTTAAATTTTGCCAAATATATAAGATACCAATACAGATCATAAATATCTCATTAGCCTTTGTCACAGTGAAATTTGGAGACACAAAAAACTTCAGACAAAACTTCTTTTTACTCTAGCAGCTGCCTCGGGCCTTATACCTTCTATCAAAATTCATGGGAAAAGCCATTATACACTTTATGTAGTATCACCCCAGAGGTCTCTGTTGACGCAAGGTCACACTTATAAACTACCAAGAACACGAAAGCCCAAGATGCCTTCATACCAAAAGGACCACCTACCTCGCTGAGAGTGCCACTTCCCATCCCAGCCAGCTGTGCCTCCAGCTGCTCGCTCAAACACAGTATCTCCTTTTCTTTGTTTTGCAGAAATTCCTATTGAAATGACAATAATAATAAAGCCTTACTGTGGGACTAGTCCCCAGGCCTTACAGACATAAGCTATCCTAATAAATAAGCCTGTAGTTTCAATACTAACACTCAATTTGAAAATGTTTTTCTATTAAAGTGGTTCTATTTAAAGTGACATATTAGTTTGGTTTTCTAAAATCAGTTACTACACATTTGTTTTGTTTAAAGCAAGCATGTCAAACTCATGGCCGGCAGGTCACATGACTCGTTTAAATGTGGCCCGTCAGCTGCAAGTTGGACATGTTTGGTTTGGGGCAATTGGGCCAGCAGGGGAGCAGTTAGGGGGCAATAAAGAAATCACCAAAGAGTAAGTAAAGCCCGTTCTTATATGCTCCTCACGTAGTAATTAAGGATGAGTGCCCACTGAAAAGATAAGCAGTGGTTCTAGGACCGATCTAAAACTCCTTTTCACTGAAGATATTCTAAATTGTGCAGTTGCAAGCCTTTGGGAGGATTAGGCACAAATGACACAGAGGATTTCTTTCAATGCTATCAGTTCACTAATCAAACAATTGCCAGGTTGGCATCAGAGGACACTATTCTAAACTCAATATATTTCAAGGCCATCTTTTAAGATTATGTTTTCTTTACAGCTTTATCATGTCCACTATATAAGGGCTGTTTTTCGTTTTTGCTTGAAAAGCACAATTTCATTAAGATAACAGAAGATTTAAAAACAGACTTGTTTCCATCCTGAATGGGCACCTTGGTAATGGCCAGAGCAGGGCCATCGTTCCCAAGTTATGATTTGTTTCCCTGGCAGTTAGTGAAATGCCTCTCCTACAAGCAGCCTTAAAGGCATGACTGTCATCAGTGCTGCAAATCAAAAGCAAGAGTTTGGTGCGGAGGTGAAAGCATGTCAACTTCCCCAGTCAAGGTGACTCTGGCTTTCCACTCATGATTCTGAGGCGCTGCCTCCACACTACACTTTCTTGAGCTGCCCGAGGTGCCAACCTCAGTACAGACAAGCCAGGCACTTTCTGAAATCACTTCTCTTTTCAGAAGGAAGTCTCCTGGGAAGGCCTGAGGTACCCAGATCCTGTAAATAATGGTTCTCATGTTGGGCTGCAGCACTTAACAGACAGAAAGTGGGTATGGTCACATTACCTTCAAATTCGCATTCTCTTCTTGTAGTCCTCTGATGCTGATGGCAGCATGGTTGTTCTGCAGGTCTAATTTCAAATTCAGATGTAGTACTTCTTCATTTTTATTAACTAAGTCATCTGTAACCTTTTCTAATTGTTCTTTTAAGTCTAAAACCTTTTAGTGAAACAAATGAAGATAAACATTAAAAATTACCTAATATTCTAAATGATTTAATAACTAAAATTATGCTAAAATATTTGAAAGTACATGCCAAAAAAATTACTACTATAACTCACATAAAAATGCTAAAAATTACAAAGAATATGCAGTAATTACAAGCATTTGGACGTCCTGCCCTTTACATAGCCGTGCAGAGGACACGTGTCAGGCACTGAAAAGAGGAAACCCGTCCAATCTCCCTCCCCTTACCTCGCTTTCCCGCTGCAAGAGTGCCCTCTGCACGGCCTCTAACTGGATTTCTGGGTCCTTGGGGCAGCTGTCCACAGGAGGCACAGAGCATTTGCCCTCATCTAGTTTAGACTGCAATGTGGACACCAGAAGCAAGTTATTCATCTGCTGTTGCTGTAGTGCCTCTTTATCCTATTTAAGAAAAAATGAGATGTACTTTAGGCAAGTATTTCAAGAATCAGGGGCCTCAATGTGCTGTCTATTTAAGTGTAAACCATCCCCAGCACTTCCTGCACACACCTGCACGCACCACACCTGATCCCCAGACCCAGCATGCTCCAAGGTAGAGATCTGCTTGGTGACGGATGCAATCCCAAACAGAGAGCCACTGGTGGCCCTTGATTACACTGGAGGAACTGATCCTTAGTAATCATTCAACAAGATACAAAATAGTCTCTGACTGTTAGCAAATATAAAAAACTGAAGAGACTTTGCCAAAGAACAGGGCAATAGATGAAAATATATGCATACAAAGAATTTTAACAGCCTGTTAAGAAGCTTTCAAAGAAAATTTAATATGGATAAAATAGTTACAACACATTGGTCCATCTTTGTGTAGGAAAAAAAGGCATTTCCTATACCCCTGGTATCTAATAATTCAGTAAATGTTTGCTTAGCGGGGGATGGGGGTGGTAGGAGAGCAGTTTCGAGGAATTGTCCCAAGTCAGTACTAAGCACCACTCCCCTCCAAGTGATGAAAGGAAGTGAAAAGAGGTGAAACTGGCCAGGTTGGTGTCCTGACATAAGAGCCAAGCTTGACTCCTTCAATAGCTTTCATGGGCATTTTCAAGAACCTAACACACCTGATAAAAACTAGCCTCCTTGAAGCAGAATTTATCTTAGGACAAAACCAATGATTCAAAAATAAAATTTCTCAAGGAGCATCACTTTTCATGTAACTTTTAACCTCCAGCTCATTAAATAAATGAAGTATCAGAAGTGGTTGCTTTGAGGAAATGCTGAATAATCAGAAATGCCACAAGTCTCCTACCCTCAGCACAGCCCTCCAGCCTCATCCTAGTGTTCAGATACAAACAAAAGAATCCAAACAACACCAGGAAAACTCACTGGAGGCATTTTCACTGGGGGAATTGACAGTTACTAAACTCAAAAATGAAAATAATTCTAACTAGTGCTAAGTATTTAATGAAATAACTTTCTTAAACCTAAAATCTTGAAAATTTATGAAATTATTAAGGAGTACTATAAAAATTGTTATAAAACGCTATTATAATAAATATGATATTGTAATTTATAATAAAAATAAATACTGGTATTTATCTGACTTCTAGCACGGAACTCCTAAAGCTCTTGGAATTATTTGAGTGAAAAGAGTGACAAAGGTGTTTGATATTCATTAACAAGCCCCTTCCAGCCACTCCTGAGTTTATGTTACTGAGGTGGCTTTTAGAAAGACCCAAGGTCACCTAAGGATGGATGCCAGGGAACCAACAATGTGATTACAAGGTTGGACCTTTTAGTCCATCCCTGGAGGTCAGGTAGAAGGGCTGGAGGTCGAACCAATCACCAACAACAAATGATTTAATCAATCACACCTAGGTGATGGGGCTTCCAATAAAAAACCAAAGAATGGGAGTTCAGAGTTTCCAGGTTGCCGAACATTTGAACATAAGGAGACAGGGGGCACCTGGACAGGGCACAGAAGCCGTGTGCACCTTCCCCCACACCTCACCCAGTGGGTCTCTTCCATCAACTGTCCCTGAGTTATATCCTGTATAACAAAAGGTGACTTACTAAGTAACATGTTTCTCTGAGTTCTGTGAGTGACTCTAGCAAATTAATAAAACCCAAGGAGGGACTGTGGGGACTTCTGATCTATACAACCTGGACCTGGGATGGGCATCTGATGTTTTAAGGGGTGGGAGGTTGAGCCCTTAACTTGTGGGGTCTGACGTTAACTCAGGAGGATGGTATCAGAACTAAGTTCTAAGACACCCCATTGGAATCTGCTGAGAACTGAACACTTGTTTGGTGTGGTGGAAACCCCTACACGCTTGGTGACCAGAAGTGTTACCCATGAAGTGATGTAGCAGAGGACAAATCGTGCAGGAGACGTACAAAGCATTTTTCCTTCAGAGCAAATAAAAGCCAAGAGGTCAGAGGGAACTCTGCCAACAGTTGGTCTGAGGTCCTCCCTAACAAAGTCTTCCTCGTGAAAAGGAGGGCCCACCTCGCCCACCTGCCCCAAGCAGCTCAGAGTTCTCAGTGATGAACCAACAACGGGGACCTGGACAGAATCCCACACAACATAGGGTGTTTACCTGTTGTAGCTCTTTCATAGCTTTTCTTTGCTTCTCCAGTTCTTCCTGGAGCTGGATCACTTTCCTCTTGGTATTGGCATTTGTCTCCTCCAGGTGTTTAATTTCCTCTTCCTGGATCAATACTTGTCTATCTGCTAATTCTTTCTTCATCACCAATTCATTAAGTTCATCTGTTTTTTCTCTCAATTTTTCCTGTAACAATTCAACCTAAAACAACAAAAAATGCTTAAAAAACATAATAGTTAAAAAAAAACAAAAACCAACCCGCCTGAACCGGTTTGGCTCAGTGGATAGAGCGTCGGCCTGCGGACTGAAGGGTCCCGGGTTCAATTCCGGCCAAAGGCATGTACCTTGGTTGCGGGCACATCCCAGTAGGAGGTGTGCAAGAGGCAGCTGATTGATGATTCTCTCTCATCGATGTTTCTAACTCTCTATCCCTCTCTCTTCCTCTCTGTAAAAAATCAATTAAAAAAAAAAAAAAACCCAACCCAACAATTTCCCAAATAAAAAAGTAACCAAGGCAGCCAAGATCGGTTTGGCTCAATGGATAGAGCATCGGCTTGGGGACTGAAGGGTCCCGGATTCGATTCCGGTCGGGGGCATGTACCTTGGTTGCGGGCATATCCCCAGTGGGGGGTGTGCAAGAGGCAGCTGATCGATGACTCTCTCTCATCGATGTTTCTAACTTTCTATCTCTCTCCCTTCCTCTCTGTACAAAATCAATAAAATATATTAAAAAAAAAAAAAGTAACCAAGGCAATTCAGAGAAAACTGATCTTCTACGTGGCTTTGTAGACCTAGGCTGCAGAGAGGATTGGGAATCTCTCAATAACAAAATAAAGACATAATATTTGTTATTAAAATGAGTTTTGATAGTGAGGAATAGACTGCTACTCAGCAATAAAAAACAAGAATGAAGCACAGATACAGCAGCCACCTGGATGAATCACCAGAGAATCTCTAGGCGGAGCGAAAAGCAATCCCCGAAGGCTGCCCACTGCGGTCCATTTGTATAACCACGCAGAAATAAGAAACTATTCTGGGGATCTGGTTGAGAGCCCCGTGCAGCTCTGTCTGCATTAACATCCTGACTGTGACCTTGGGCTGGCTTCTGCAAGATGTCACCACTGGGAAAACTGGGAGAAGGGCACACAGGATCTCTGTGTGTCTTGTTTCTCACACAACTGCAATTGAAACCACAGTTTTCTCAAAATAAATTTAATTTTAAAAAAGAATAAACAAATTGACTACAGCCACTCCAGGACAAGAGGAAGCAGACAGTTCCAGACTAAGCAGAATGATGCGAGAAAAAGCAACAAGACGCAGAAGCAGGTGCACCACTGCCCATATGTCACATGCACTAGCCATGCAGGTGGTCAGGGCATAGACAGAGGTCACATACCTCCTCATCCAGCTGTGCCTGCTGTCATTGCCGTGTACATGGAAGGCAAAAATATTTTTAAAGATAAAGTTTAAAAACACTGTAACAAACCGCTCCCCCACACACGCCTGTAGCCCATGGCAGACTGACTTACATCACTGTCGCGGGAGCCCCGGGCCTGCGGCTGGGCTGCCCGGTGGAGCTGCTCCTCCAGCCGCTGGATCTCCTGCTGGAACTCCTCCCGCTCATGCTCCCTCTCCACCGCCTGCTCCTGTTACGAGGCAGATTGTGGGAGCTGCTTACTGTGATGTCACTTCCCAGTCGCATCCACTCCCCCCTAAAGGGAACCACTGAACGGTACGAGATGGACAGAGAAGGCTCCAGGTCTGATGCTACAACCATTTCATACATGTGGCCACTGCCCAGGACAATAGGCCTCTTGAGTGGACATTGTGGGAAGGAGAGATAAATGGGGAGGAGGGCCTTCCCAGGGGATGAGGGAGAGGTTGAAAGGGAGAAATGTCAGAAAGAGCAAATAGTGCAGGTCCAAGCTGGCTTCAGGCACACAGGGCCTGTAACTCACTGCAGGCGACTCCTGCCCAAGCCACTACAAGGAGCGTGGCCATAAGACCATGGGTGTTTCCTCAGAATCATATATCAAACGTTGACAACGTCTGAACTATCTACCAAGAGACAAGGACACGTGAAGGTCTACTATACATTAATCTTCTCATCAGGCCACAGAAGCTTAATGACCTGAGAAGGGCCAGGCTTGGAAAGGTGACTTTCAGGGAGGCAAAGACAATTTATAGCGCTCTTACGTCCATGAACTGCCGCTGGCTGCGCAAGTGCTTGTCCAGGGACACCATCTGCTGCCGCAGGGCGCTGAGCTCCTCGGCCTGTGAGGCGCATGCTTGATGGCGGGAGAGCTGCTCTTCCAGCTCGGCCTCCAGGAGCTTCACCTGGGCATGCAGAGTCGCCTGGTCTTTCTCACATTGCTGCCTGGTCTCCAACCGCTCTGTGGTGGCAGCTTCCACTTCCCTCCGAAGGGCTACAGTGGCAGAGAACAGAAGGGGAGGCCCTCAGCACGGGGCATGGTCCTTGTGCTGCACCAGAAACACCAACATGTGCTTACTAGCAGTGACGCCGCCCGGCACAAGCCCCACATGACACCACGGCCAGCTCCCTGGCAGCTCGAGACCCAGTCTTAGCCAGGGACTGGAGCACCGGGTCCCCAAGGCTTCCAGACTCCCCACAGACACAGCACGGATCTAACCTTCGTTCCCTCTCCTGCCGCACAGCCACCTCAAAATGAGGGAACGTAGATCCTGCAAACCAGCATGGGCCTGTGTTCTGTCAGACACCGAGCTCGTGCCCCAACAACATAGCTGCAATGTAGCCAAATACCCGCCGAAAATAAACTCAAGCACATTTGCAAAAATAAATAAATAAATAAAATTTTAATATTGCAACCTTTACATGAAAATTGCCTAGTGTAACAAGAAAGCCTGAGAAGAATTCATCTTGGTGTTCCCAAATGACAGTTACCAGGTAACTTGCTAGGATATAATATATAATCCTTCACATATAATCCCCAGTAGGAAAAAATAAAATGCAACTTAGAAGTCCTGTCTGAGGCTTGGCCAGTGTGGTTCCAGATTGTGTGGACCTATGAACCAGGTGGTCATAGTTCAAGTCCATGGTTCAATGCCTGGGTTGTGGGCCTGATCCCCAGTAGGAAACATGCAGTAGCCGCCAAACAATGATTCTCTCTCATCACTGATGTTTCTCTCTCTCTCTCCTACTCCCTTCCTCTCTGAAATCGATAAAGATACTTAAAAATAATAAATAAATGAATAAATAAATAAATTCAGGGTGCAGCCCTGGCTGGTTTGATTTAGTGGTCAGCCTGCAGAACAAAAGGTCGTGGGCTCAATTCCCAGCCAAGGTCACATACCTTGGTTGCAGGCTTGGTCCCTGGCTCCAGTCAGAGTGTAAGCAAGAGGAACCCAATATATGTGTCTTTCTCATATAGATGTTTCTCTCTTTCTCTCTCCCTCCCTTTCATTCTTGCTTAAAAAAAAAAAAAAAAAAGGAAAAGGAAAAAATATCCCCGGGTGAGGATTTAAAATAAATAAATAAATAAATAAATAAATAAATAAATAAATTAATTAATTAATTAATTCAGGGTGCTGCGGCCAAGGCTGCAATTCAAGTGGGAGCTATAAATCAAGCATCTAAAAGGAGGCTTGCCTCTGTGGAACCCTAAGTGTTTAGACTAAACTGAAATACTAAATATGATTTACATTTCACCAGTCTTCAGAGTTTAATTATTCTGGTTTATAAAAATCTGTCAATTATTTATGACAAATTACTATCACCACTAACAACAGTCTCAGTAAATTTTCATGCTAGTACGTTTGCAATTACAGTAAATTAGCCTTGAACATGCAGTTAGGTCAGCGTCATTCACAGCCCTTAGAGACACAAAACAAGGCTCACATGTCACTGCTGTGACAATCAGCGATGCCTGACCGTCCACCCAGACAGAGGCCTTCAGGGCTCTGTGCTGCAGAAAAGACACTGGCTGCCGGCACACATGGCCTACATGCAAGAGACTGAGGGGAAGGGATCTGCGTGGCTGCAAAGGCAGAGAGCAAAGGAGCTCCACCGGGCCCACCCCTCTCCCAACTAGGGCCCCACAGCCCCTAGCCCTGAACAACAGCACACTGTAGCTCAGTTACTGCCGGAGGCATCACCAGAAGAAGGCATGCCCATTTATACATATGATATTGAAGATAAAAGTTATCATTTTATTTAATAGTATGCCACAAAAGCTCTGGAATATTTTTTTGCTCTTCAGTCAAACATTTGCGAAGTCTGGTGCAAACACAGCATATGGCACACAAATCACTTGTTTGTTTTCACAAACCTGAGTCCTTGTGCGCTATAGTGACAGGAACGCCTACAAATGAACACACAGCACTTTCAGAAATGAAACAGGAGAATGTGCGACCTAGAATGTGACCATTGCAAACAAGAAAGAGGACAGTGGCAACAGCAAGAAATGTCTTTGGCCCTGGACGACCTCTAAACCTCGTGCTCTTCCAAACCACCCTGCTTAGGGGTTTAAGTGTCTGTCTCCAAAAACCGTATGTTGGATCCTGACCCGCAATGTGATGGCATCAGGAGGCAGGACCCTTGGGAGGTAGAGCCTTTCTAAAAGTATCCCGAACGCACCCTGGCCTTTGGCATGTGAGGACACAGTGGGAAGATGCTGTCTGTGACCCAGAAAGGCCCCTTACCAGAAGGCCATCGTGCCAACACCCTGACCTTGGACTTCTAGCCTCCAGGACTGTGACAATAAATATCTGCTGTTTATGAGCAACCCATCTGTTTTGTCACAGCAGCTGAATGGACTGAGACAGGACTGTTTGCTCAGGTGTCAGAGCAGGTTCTGGATCCTAAAGGCTTTTAAAGGGACAAACAGAAGAGCTGAATTTCCCCAGGAGATGCCAGGACCTCCCAAAACTCTTGAAGAGCTGACAAGCACATCAAACAGCTCACACAGGAGGGCCAGCACTTTTGGTTTGACAAGCCAAGTCCCTAGCTGGGATCACACAACTGTGTGGCAGAGTGAGGGGAAGGGACAGAGATCAAGTGAGAAATTAAGCGGGGTTAACAATGTGAAAATGAAAGCAAACCCAGAAGATCCCAAATAAAATATACGAATTTCCTGGTAACAAAACAAAGCAAAGGAGAGACTGGTCTGGGCCCCGGAGAAAGTTCCATAGCTGTCCCTCCCTGGCCCAGCTCCCTCTTCTCCGAGGCACTGCGGGCACCCAGGTGGGACAGGCCTCTCTGCAAGATGGGGCACAGCCTTGGGAAGAGCCAGGGAGGAGCCAAGCCAGGGAGGATCCAAGCCAGGTGGGGGCAGAGATGATGCCACAGAAGGGCTGACCGGGGGGCAGCCAGGTCCAGGCCAACCTGAGCCAGAGCCACTTGGGTTGTGTGGCCCCTGAGATAGTCCCGCATCTGTGTATCCCACAAGGTCCTGAACCTGAAGGAGGAGGAGGAGGAGGAGGAGACCGGGCTGGAAGTACCAGTGCTCACGGGTAACCATGAGTCTGAACGGACAGGGTGTGGGACCAGTCACCCCTGAGAGGAGGAGGGGCCATCACACGGACTTGCAGGCTGAGACATAATGGGTCCCTGCACAAGGAAGGTCTGTCCCTCTGCAAAGTACGCCCTATGAGGAGCTCCAGAGGGACAGAAAAGGATGAAAACAAAAGAGAAAAAAAGTCTGAAAAACAATGAGTGACAAATCCCCAGATTTAAGAAAAAAATGTGAGACAGAACAGGAAAGATGTGAAAAACCCGCCCTAGTGACATGTAAGAACATCAAAGAGTTATTTCTAAAAAATCACCTGCAAATAAACAAGATAAAAACATCTCAGCAGAAATTCTAGATGTAAAGAAAAATTGGGTTATAGCCTCACATTTTAAAGGAAAATAAAATCAAATCTAGAATTATATCTTTCCGACTACAACTTCACTTAAGGATGATGATAAGGTAAAAGTCAGGTACTCAAGGTTTTCCTTCTTTGAAACCACTGAGTTGAGGAGAAAATAACCCACAACTTATTGCTGTTAGATGGCAATTTGCACATGACACAGAATACACAGAGCTCATGTGTACATGTGTGCAAAACATACACACAAATGTGGGCAAAAGCTTTGCTTGACAGTAGTGTGGCATAGCTGGGGTCGGAGCGAAATGGTTGAAACAAGACAGGTCTCAATGTTGGGGAACGAGGGACCATGAGGCAGAAGGAGCCCTGGACACATAGCATTAGTCAGCAGAAGGCTATCTGTGTATGTATGGAGTGGGGAATCGGGGTGGAGGAGGGAGGGTGGTGACAGCACCCACAGGAAGTGCGGAAAACAGAAAAGAAGGCCACAGACCCAAACAGCCATGGACACAGGAATAAAACCTGGCTAAACAGAGTAAAAGAGATGCCCACAGCTGTACTTTTTACACAGTCGTTAATATGAGACAAATGTAAGAAAAAAGTGAATATAAAGGGGTTAAAAACTGACACATAAGGGGGGAAATGAGAAAGCTAGACTAATTTTTTAATACCAAAACTTTAATCTAAAATGAAAAAGGGACAAAAAGTGTGCACACACACAAGAGAAAGCTGAGCAAGAGGTCTGGAAATGATTACAAATACAGTTTAAAGTTTTGCTCATGAGTGGGAACCAAGAACAGCCTAAAAATCACTATTTGCTGAAAGAAATGGCAGGCCTGTGGGACCTGAATGCCTTCCTAGAGCAAGGGAGGAGCACCTTTTTTTTCTGCTGAGGACCATTTTTGATATTTGTAACATCACTCGAGAGCCATACAAAATTATCAACTTAAAAATTAGCATGCTATATTTGGTCAAAAATTTAATTAACTCACCCCTAATGCCTTGGCAGGGCCAGACCAAATAAATTATTGGGCCTTATATGGCCCACAGGTGGGATGTTCTGACCCTAGAGCCATAGGTCAGCATGAGCTGAGTACCCATTGGCAGGGCTCACAGAATTAAGGCAACAAACAGGAGAGATGAGGGCGCAGTCCGTAATAGAGAAGACAAGGAAAATAGAAATGATGAGCAAAACCAAAAGCTGATTATTTATTGAGAAAAGTTTTAAAAAAACAATTTAGGGAAGAAAAGTTTCTGTACAGGTGAGTAGCCTACCAATGACCAAGGCTCAGAGCACAGGCATGGAGCTGCAACCAGAGTGAAGGTAAAGACCTTGTGGACAAGGAGAGGCAGGGAGCTCCGCCCACCCCGACTCAGCCAGTAGCTACACAACCTCAACTGGGAGCAGGCAGGCACAGGGACAGACTGGGTCCTGAAGTCAGCACGGGGAACAGCTCTGGGAAAGCTGGACGGGCACAGGATTATTACAAATCTGCTACTGAGGATATGGCTACCTGCAAACTCAACATTTTACACTTTTTACGTTTTGACTGTTTATAAATATTTGAAAGTCTGAAATATCTTTCATTAAAGTTTTTTTGTAGTTAAGGTTAACATTTTTTGCATCACCTGCATTTTTTCATGGTTTGGCTGTTTATCTCAAACAAGTTGCCAACATTTTCCGTGACCTAATTGCCAGAGGTTACTCTGACCTCACAGAGACATGAGAACCAGGATGATAGGTGGACGCTAATCTAACCTCACACCCCTCTCAAAGTCACACACTCCCAGGTTCCCTCTGAAAAGTCCCGCCATCTTTCCTCTCCACCCTCTAGAAATGGCACACTTCGCTTCCAGAAAAGCCCTCTGTGCTGTTGCCCGTGCTCTGCCCTCCAGCCCTGGAGACAGCCTTCCTTACCAGCCTCTCGCTCTTCCGCTTCTGTGGCCGCCACCTCCTTTTGGTGACACAGGACAGCATTCTCCTCCTTCAGCTCTGCCTGCTGCCGAGTCACCCGCTGAAGCTGCTGTTTCAGGCTCTCCAGCTCAGCCACGAGGCCCTGCTCAGACGTCTCCTTCTGGACTAGTGCCTCCTGCAAGCTGGCCTTCTCCACTTTGAATCCCTCAATGAGGCCTGGGAAGACAGGAGAGACATGGTTGCTGAGGGCCCCTGGAGAAGCGAATAGAGCAGCCACAAAGGTAAGGGCTGCCACGCACCAGCATGAGCTACGTGGTCACAACTGTGTCCAGATCTTAGATGGATGGCACAGGGCCGACTCCAGCCCCAGGCAGGTGTGGGAATTGCCAGACAAGGAAATATATCTGTGAGCTCACACACACACCGTGGTGCCAAGTACCCAGAACACATGGCCACTGTGAGCACCAGACACCAGGGTCTCGGGGGTGACTTCTCAGGGCACTCACTGCCCATAGCCCGTGATGGGAAGACACAGTTCCCATCTCGCCACAACACTGTGACGTTGTCACCCTAAACAGGAGGTAAGTGCCAAGGGACAGAACCACCCCATGAGCCTGTCTGTTGCAACCGTGATCCCCAAGCTACTGCATGTAGTTCTGCAATGATGATTCATTCCACTGAGAAAAGTCAGCAATGTCTCAAAACTGACTGCTTTATTTTACTTTTACATTTGCTTTAAATATTCTGTGTTAATACTTGCCCTTAGCAACGCGATGCCTGGGTTCCAGCCCATCCTTGCCAGCCCACTGGCTGCTCACCTTCTGCCTTGTGCAGTTCTAGCATCAGCCGAGTCTTGGCCGAGTTCTCCTCCTCCAGGCGTTCCAGCAACTCTTGGTGTTTTCTAACAACCTGAGCTGTCTCCTCATTTTTAGAGCTAAATTCTTTTTCAAAACGAGTGTGAATTTGACGTGCTTCCTCCAGCTGAAAATTTGAAAAATTGGAACTATATATCAAGAATAATAAAAGCTTACATTAATCCCAATTACAATTCTACTTGCTTAGAATTCTATTGAAATCATCAATATTCCATAAGAAACAAGTTTCCATGCTTGCTGTTATGATTAATTAATTACTAAAAAAAGTTGCTCATTAAACAATTTTCAACAATGAACAGTTCTGCACACACAGCACCACACAAATATGCACTTAAGAAGCATGGAGTCCTAGCCAGTTTGGCTCAGTGGATAGAGCGTTGACCTGCGGACCAAAGGGTCCCAGGTTCAATTCCAGTCAAAAGCACATATGCCCAGGATGTGGGCTCAATCCCCAGTAGGGGGTGTCCAGGAGGCAGCCGATCAATGATTCTCTCTCATCATTGATGTTTCAATCTCTCTTTCCCTCCCTCTTCCTCTCTGAAATCAATAAAAATACATTAAAAAAGAACCATGGATACAGGTGTCTGCAAGGCAACATTAAGGACACATGACAGGAAGCTGATACCGAGAACCTGGCACCTGGGAAGGAAAGTGCCACCAGCTCCACAGCTGGAAAAGGAGATGGGAAAGGTCTCAGGGCTGGGAAAAGCAGGCTTATGGGGCCAGTCATCACACTGGGCAGGAAGCCTGACAGTCTCCACCTCCCTGACGAGTCACCACAAGGCCCCTCCCTGGCTTCCTTGGATGCCTCCACTTCCCGGCTTAGCCCTGGACCCCAATCTTCCTTGCCTCCCGTTTCCCTGGCAGTATGTCCATTCTGAGGCTCCCAGGCCATCTACAGGTGAATGGCCCTGGTTAATCTTTGAATTCAGAACAACTAGTCCCTGCTGTCCTGATTCCTCAGAACCTAGCCTGGGCCTTCCATGTACTTGATGCAACTCAGCTGCTAAGTAAATCTACTGGTTTTATCTTAAAAACGCCCCGAAGACCACCTCTTTTCATGCCCTGCAATGGGCCACCTCCCAGAGTTTCTGTCCTTTGGAGACACTTGCCCAAGCCAATCAGCCCCTGGGCAGCCCCACCACTGACCCTGGCCCAAACAGGGGCCCTCACCACTCTTCAGCCACTGCCCTTCCCACCTCCCACAAGACTCTACTCCACTAACCCCTTCCCTTAAACCTGCCCTGCTTTCTCTCCCACACAACCTACTTCTCCCTGCTGTGGGGATGGAACACACTCAATGGGATAAATTTCTAGGGAGCAGAACCCAGGAAAAGCAAGTGTGGGCCCACATCAGACTAGGGCACCTAGGTGGGTGACACCTGCAGATGCCAGATGCTCATAGGATGGCATTTGTTTCTGTGAAATGACATTGGGGAGGAGGTGGGTACAATCAAAAGCACCTGATGACTTGTTTGCTGCTGCACAAACCTGTCCAGGTTTTGAGAGAAGACTAGAGGTGAGGGAGGGAGGGAAGGCAGCTAAGAGGATGAAAAAGAGACACCTCAGGTCTCAACACTGTTGCTCTGCCCGCATGCCCTGAGGAGGAAAAATTACTCAAGTATTTCTGCAATGTGAACAGTAAAACTCCACATAAGAATGCTTATTGGGGGGCTGGAGGAGGGATGTAAAAGATCAATCAAAGGACTTGTATGCATGCATATTAGCATAACCAATAGACACAGACACTGGGGCGGTGGGGGCTTATCCTGGGGGTGGGAGTGGCCAGGAAAGGGTCAATGGGGGAAAAAGGAGACATATGTAATACTTTAAACAATAAAAAAATAAGTTAATAAAAAAGAGTGCTTATTATTTTTTTAGAGAGGCAAGGGAGAGGGAGAGAGAAACATTAATGTGAGAGCAAAATATCATTGGCCTCTTGCAAACCCCCCTATTTGGGATCGAGCCCACAACCTGGGCATATCCCCTGACTGAGAATCAAACTGGCAACCTTTTTGGTGCATGGAATAATGCCCAACCAACTGAGCCATTCTGGCCAGGACTAGAGCACTTACTTTTTAACTGGGCAAACTTTGGGGAAAAGAATCCCTTTATTGCTTTCAGTTATTCCTACTTAAGGTCTTTCCTGATTGTCTAAAATGTTCTAAAAGGGTTAGCAAAAGTAATTCCCCTTTTCCAGTGGTAATCTTTGAATATAAATAACTGAATGTGAAATTAAGGTTCCTGTGGGAGCTGGGAAGGGCAGCACATAAAGAAAAGTAGAAGTGGGCTAAATTACATGTCATCTAAGGATGCTGAGGTTTTATTTTTCATTCACAGCAAGTCCACTATCTCAAGGATTTTGGTTCAGAAAAGACTCCTCAAGAGGAGCCTGGGAGGAAGACAAAGCTGGTAGTGACCTGAGGGGAGGGAGGGGGTGTGAGCAACAGAATCAACAGTTTCAGTCCCCAAATGTCAAGTGCTGGAAAAGACCTGAGAGATCACGTTCACCTGGACAATCAAAGCGTCCATCCCCACCCTGCAGGGCTGGTGAGAATCAGAAATGCCCAGTGAAGAAGGTTTATCAATCTATCCGACCTACTTATTCATTCACCCACAGCCCTTCTCTGCGGCAGAGCATCAGCACAGGGGCCAGAAGGGAGCCACAGAGCAAAGAATGGTTGGAGTCTGATGCTAAGTGGGCCAAGGCTCACCTGCCTAGAGGAGTCCAGAACCATCTCCAGGAGGCCATCCACTGCCAGGCCAAGGCTCCGGTAGATGCTCCTGACGGGCTGCTCACACTCCAGTGTACTTTCTGGGCTTAGGAAAAAGCTTTCACAGATGTGGCTGCTGATCTCAGCCATGGAAGACACCTCAGTGCATTCTGTCAAAGTTCTATCCAGGTCCGGCAGTGCCACATCAAGCCCGGGCCACGTCTCATCCAGCGCTGGTGCTACAAAGTGAGAAAACACAAAAGTCTGCACCTAGGCATCAGGGACAAGCATGCCCACGTCCCTAAGGACAGCACCCCATCTCAATAAGGAGTGGGCTCCAGCGCCAGCAGCAGAAGGGATGCAGCCCAGAGGCACTTGAGCCTGGGGGGTTGCACATGGCCCGGCCAATGCTCACCTACAGATGAGACCTGGCCCTCCAGCCTCGTGTCGGGTGAATTCTCATCCTCCAGGCAAAGCCCCACGCGCTCACTGATCCGGCTCTTCAGGGAGACGGCAGCCTTCACTGTCTCTCCAAATAGGCCCAGCAGCCTCCGAAGGGCATCCTGGAGAGCGATCCTGGGAAGGGAAGCACAGCGGACGCAGCCTTCAGCCTGGACCCCAGCAGAGTGGCTCTGCGACGGGAGCAGAGCAAACCTTGTTGCTGCTGCTCTTCGTTTTTAAAAGATGCCATTATTGTTTATTCAAGCATGTTTCTCTAGAATCAGCCTCCAGCCAACCAGCAAAGGGCAAGGGCTTCGTGTAGAACCATCCCCACATCTGTGGAATGGTTTGAGGAACACACAAACCTCACCCATCCCCATGGCACAGACTCTATGACCCTCAGGGCCCTGCCCTTCTTGAGACAGGTGATCACACCTGACCCACAACCCAAGGACACGGAGGTTTTCCCGGGCTTGTCCCTGGGGCTGCACATACTGCGGAGGTTAGTGTGATTTGTTCTTCACAGCACCAGGGCTCAGCTGCACCCTGTCTCTAAGCTGTACCCTTCCAGCAGGGGAGCCTCAATCACATGACTCTGCCTAGGCTATAACTATGGGCAAACTAATAAAGCTGTATGCAAGCCAGACAAGCCACATGCAGCCAAAGTGGGCAGGACACGGGCTTGCCCACCCCAACCTGTTCACGTACACACTCCTTACCAATGGACCCACACAGGGGCTGCTTCCCGGACAGGAAGAGACACCACTGAGCAAAACAGACAAACAGCCACACTTTGCAGAGCTAACATTCCCAATGACGGACACAAGCAGGAAGTGCAAGGAGAGAAGAGGAGACAGTGGGATGACTGCATGAAGCACAAAAACCTGGAGGGGAGTTGGGGGCCTGACAGCTCCCTGGCTGCTGCCCTGGCCCCTGCAGGTTGCTACTAAGGACACAGGGAAGATGAGCAGAGCATGTGCAAAAGCCCTGGGCTTAGTGTACAGGAGGAGAGAGGATGATCACAGAGATGGTGGGTCAGGGAGGGCAACTAGGAGTCCGCATCAAACCACAACCACAGCTACAAACAAGTGCCAGAGAAACATGCACGTCTTCACAGAGAATTACAAAGTTTTCAAAAGAGTGAAAGGAGATCTGGCTCAGGACCGTGTGCAGTAAGAAAGTCATGGATCCCGCACATTGAGCTCAGGAATAAGCCAGGCCTGCCTGCCTCACCTAGTCTCTCATTCATTCATTCACTCATTCATTCATTTATATTCATTCATTCAATGTACAGCCTGCATACAATTGAATTTTATTATCAGGATTCCACATTTATATAGCTTAAAATGCTCTGGTAAAGGTGCAAGCTTATCACATTTTTTAAGGAAATGAAACAAGTATTTGCTTTATTGATATATTACTAGGCTTAGACCTGTGTTTAACAAGCCAGCCAAAAATAGCACCAAGGTTAGACTATAGCCTACTTTTCAAAGCCTTCATTTTACAACTTATTAATAAGCAAACAAGGGATCAATTACCTTTCATCCACCTGATGTGATCTTTTTATACACATCCTGCTAAGTCCCATTTGAAACAGCTGAAAATGTTTTTTAAAAGCTTTGCAGATGAACTCATGAATACAAATTTCACCAGTTAGTTCGAACAGAAGGAACTCAAAACAAGTTGTTGCCCAATCAGAATTCATTATTTGTAAATCATCAGCTTGCTCCCCACTCCCTCTGGTCTCTCTTGACCCTTGAGGTCAGCACAGGACCCTGGGCAGACACGCTGGTGGGCACAGCACAAACAGAGGGGTCCAGAGAAAGGCCTGCTTACAGGGATGCCGAAGAACTAATCAGACAGACAAAAACAAATTTCCTGACATCAGATGCAAATAAACGAAGAATGCACTCCAGACCTATATACAGGAAAAGAAAAACTAAAACCAAGACAAAATATGGGGGGGAAGGGGGATCTGTGTGGCGTTAGAGTTAAAACCTTTTTCTAAAATGAAACCCCCAAGCAAACAGGACAAAGGGGTAGATTACTAATGGTACCTGCATTATAACATCAAAATTCTGTAATTTGGCAAATATGAGGCTTTTGGCCTAGCAAAATGGTGGATATGCAGGTGTCTGAACATTACTAAGTACTTTTCTCAATGTTTAAAATAGCTTTAAATATAAGAATCATGCAACATGAGGGCCCCCTTTCCCCAGACATCATCGTGCTCAGGCAGCAGTGACCGAGGACGCTGACCTTTCACTGTGAGAAAGATCCACATCAGACTTGAGCATCGAGATGAGGTTCGTGCCTTCCTGGTTCTCCCTGTCCCGCCTTTGCTGTAGTGTCTCCAGTTCTGAACGGTGCTCTTGTATCTCACGACGTAAGGATAAAATTTGGTCTTCTAGCTGTTCAGAAAAAATTGTTAAAGCTTTAGTTAAAACTATGTGGTTAAAAATAAAACTTCTAGGCTGGATGAAGTGGCTCAGTGGTTGAGCATCGACCTATAAACCAGGAGGTCATAGTTCAATTCTTGGTTAGGGCAATCCCTGTGTTGTGGGCTCAATCCCCAGTGGGGGAAGTGCAGAAGGCAGCCGATCAATGATTATTCTCTCTTATCATTGACTAGTGGCCCGATGCACGAAAGTCATGATATTTATCATTTTAATGCTTCTATCTATGATATTTATAATTTTAATGCTCCTATCTATTCATCAGTTAAAATAAACATCAAAGACTGGGTTTATAAATAAAGTCCTCTATTACATCTCACTCCTAATGTACTTAGATCACCTTCATAGCAATTGTGTGACTAAGCTTTATATTAACATGCAATTACTAATTTTTCTTTCATTATTCAACTAGAGGCCCTGTGCATGAAATTCGTGCATGGGGATGTGTGTCCGTCAGCCCGGCCTGCACCCTCCCCAATCTTGGACCCCTTGGGGGATGTTCGATTGCCTGTTTAAGTGGGATAGGGCCTAAACCGGCAGTTGGACATCCCTCTCACAATCCGGAACCGCTGGCTCCTAACCATTCACCTGCCTACCTGCCTGATCATCCCTAACTACTCTGCCTGCAGGCCTTCTAACCTCCGCTTGCTCCCCCTTGCCAACTTGATGGCCCCCAACTGCCCTCTCCCCCCACTTCTTCTGTAAGGTGCTTTCACCATAACTTTCATCATCCCACTTAACATGGCAAAAGATAAACAAAAGTGAAAGGTAGTGATTAAAGATGAAAATTACTAATAAGGCCTTTGCTCTATTACTCTCTGCCTACAAAAATAAAACATATAAACCTCCCAGGCTGTCAGTTCGGGAGAGAGATCAATTCAGAATAAAAATCAGTTGCCAGGCAAGTGAACATCCCTCTTACAAATTTCTTTCTAAAAACAAAAGTCAATGATGGCAGAGTCTCAATGGGCTCAGTGGGTGGCGGCATCAGCTACCAGAAGCTCCTGGGCCAACTGAGCAGCTTAGAGAAGTGACTAGTGTTTTCCAGCAGCAGAGCAACCTGAACACCTGAGCCTTCTCCCTTGAGCTCATTGCCAGCAGTGACGGTTTCTTGGTCTCAGTCCAGTTTACCAATGAGAACATGGGTGTCCTCCCAGAGGATAAAAGAACAGAGGACACAAGAGACCACACACGTGCCCAGTGGGGCCACCAGCGCCCTAGTCCCACCTCTCTGGAAGATAACTGGACACAGTTTGGTTGTGATGACTTAAAAATGGCTAAAGTGGGAATTTCATGTTATGCATATTTTACCACACAGACTAGTACTAAGCAGCAAAGACTATCCACACACCTGCAGAACCTGGTTGCTTTTCTCCTGAAGCTGCAGGGACAGAGACTCCTTCTCTTTTTGGTGAAGAGACTGCACCTGCTCCCACTCCAATCTGTGCATCTCCTTGTTTTCATGCAAAGCAGCCTCCTTTCCACGTTCAAATTCACCCTGTACAAAGACATAATTAAAAACAAAAAATGCTGTCAGGGCACATACCAGAATTAACCAATGTGAAGCAATGGAACACAAGAGACCCTCAGCAGATGAATACCCAGCTGAATTCTCATAATAAGGCAGAGGTCAACAGGCAGTGAGGTGACACATTCAAAGAGCTGAAAGAGTAAGACTGTCAGCCAAGAATTCTAATCCAGGAAACTCTGTTTCCAAAATGAATGAGAGCCGAAACCGGTTTGGCTCAGCGGTAGAGCGTCGGTCTGCGGACTGAAAGGTCCCAGGTTCGATTCCAGTCAAGGGCATGTACATTGGTTGCAGGCACATCCCCGGTAGGGGGTGTGCAGGAGGCGGCTGGTTGATGTTTCTCTCTCATCGTCGTTTCTAGCTCTCTATCTCTCTCCCTTCCACTCTGCGAAAAATCAATAAAATATATTAAAAATATTTTTTTTAAAAATGAATGAGAAATTAAGCTATTCCCAGATAAATACAAACTAAGAGAATTCATCACTAATGAGTCTGCTCTGAAGAAATACTAAAGGGAGTTCTTCAGACTAAAATGAAAGGATATTGGACAGCAACTTGAATCCAGATGAAGAAATAAAGAACATTGGCATAGGTAACTATTTAGATAAATATAAAAGACAAAATAAATGTAGTTTTTATTGGTAACTCTTTTTTACTCTTATCTGATTTCTTTATTTTTGTTCAGCTTAACCAGAGGATATTTTTCCCACTGACTTTTAGAGAGAGGGAAGGGGAGGAAGAGAGGGGGAGAGAAACATTGATGTAAGACACATCGATTGGTTGCCACCCACATGCACCCCAACTGGGGCTGGAGATGGAACCTGTAACCCAAGTATGTGCCCTCCGGGATAGAACCCGTGACCCTTCAGTACATAGACCAACACTCAAGTCACTAAGCACACTGGCCAGGGCTCTCCTATCTAATTTTAAAAACAACTGCGTAGAGCAATGAGTATAAAAATGTATACAGATGTGCTTTGCACAACAACATTAGCACAATGGAGAGAGGAAGGAATGAAGTTATATATGTTGAATGATTTTTTAAACTATTAACATTAAGTTGGCAAAAAAAACAACAAAAAACAAAAACAAAGAACCAGCCCCCAATGATGTTAAGCCCCTTCCTGTCTCACCTTGCAACACAGAACTGCAATTCCTAAAAGCAGTTGGAAGCTAAGCATATCACTTAACCTTCACTTTGTTTCAGGAAGGGTTTTAAGGCAGTTGACAGACAGACACAAAGTCTAACAAGACACACAAACTTGGCAGAGAGCAGCAAACTCAAAGCCCGGTGCCAACTATCCACTTAGGAGCAGTGTGCCTGTCCTGCCTAGTGTGCCAAGCCTGGCACAGGACTTGGCAGAAGTGCAGCACGAAGGAGGCCAAGATCAGATGTGGCAGCATTCTGGAGAACATCCATGAGAGTCATGTAGGAGCCACGAGAGGCAGTTCTGAGGGTGGGAAAGAGGGGCCCTTCCAACCCGTGCAGGAGGGTAGACAAGGTACACTCAGGAAAGGGTGCAGAAAGCATTCAATGTGCAAACTCGAAAGCCCATGCCGGGGCTTTGGATACTAAGCAGGGAGTGCACGTCCTTAGGCCACCCCTAGCGTCAATGAACAGAATCAAAGAAGGTTTGACTCACAAGACTATCCACTCATCAGATCCCTTACAGACAATCGCTTTTCAAATTTACCACAGAATCTTGGGTAAAATTCTGCTTAATTTGCCATGTTTTAATGTTAAGGCCAATATAAGAAAAATATGTTCTTGAGTTTTTCTAAAAATATACAGAATTATAGAGAAAAATATCATATATATATATTTTTTATATCATATTATATATTTCCTATATATTATATATAGGAAAACACAATAGAGCCTTGGCCAGATTATTGTGCTGAACACTGAAGGTTCGTGGGTTTGATCGCGGGTTGGGACACATGGGAGGCAACTGAACAACATTTCTCTCTCTCCCTCCTCCTTCCTCTCTCTTTAAAATCAATAATAAATAAGACCGGTTTGGCTCAATGGATAGAGAAGGGACCCGGGTTCGATTCCGGTCAAGGGCATGTACCTTGGTTGCGAGCATATCCCCAGTACGGGGTGTGCAAGAGGCAGCTGATCGATGACTCTCTCTCATCGATGTTTCTAGCTTTCTATCTCTCACCCTTCCTCTCTGTACAAAATCAATAAAATATATTTTTTTTTAAAAAAAATTTAAAAAAAATAAAATCAATAATAAATAAGAATCCTCAGGTAAGGATTAAAAAATATAAAACAATGTCTGGAGACGATAAAAAGTAAATAGTACTGCACAAAGAATATCAACATAGTAATAAAGATATTCAAACTATATCTAAACTGACCACAGGTTCTCTTAATATTTTCAAAATTTATCATATAAATAGATTTGTCTTTTTTTTACCAAGAAAAGATGAAATTGCCTTGAGCGCTCAGTTCTGGTCACACTATGGTTTACTTCTCTTTCCAGACCCTGCTTAGTTTTACCACCCAAGGAAGGGTCCTTCATGGAGGCACATCCCCAAGAAAAGGAAACTAAGCTTACGTTCAGAGCACTTTTCTTACAACCACACCCAAAGAAAGAAAACCTGGAAAGTGATCCAATCACTTCACACACACATTAAGTCTTCTGATAAGTGACACAGCTTTTCAACAGGTGCAAGATATTTGTAGCTCAGATAAAACCTATTCGCAGAGGAAGAACAGTGTGTCCCAGCTATTTTGGGGACAACGATCCTGGCATCCCAAGAAATGCCCAGCAAGGCTTTATGTAATATCTGTTTGCAGCAAAGCCTGAGGGAAGGCCGCAGGAGGAACATGCCAATACCTACACGAGTTGGAATCAAGTCATGGACCTGACTCCAACCATACGTAAGGGTAAGTCATAGGAAAAGGTAGCTCGTGGCCATGAGAACAAGCAGACGTACAGGAGACAGGGGCAAAGGGCACATGCGGTCAGAGTTTGTGGGGAGCCATATCCCTGATCCGGCCACAGGCCCTGGAGTTTTAAGGTATGCTATGGGGTACATGAGGCAGGGACCACTCCGCAGAGAAGAGACTATTGAGGGGCTGGTGGCCAGGCTCCTAATAGATCCTGGGTTCTCTTTGCATGCTCAAGGGTCACCAGCAAGCAGCCCCACAGGCTTCACCAATGCCCTGTACCATCTATAAGCAGTGTGCATTCCAATGAGAAGCTCCAGGAGGCCTGGCAGTCTGTAAAGCCGGAGTCCACCCGCTGGAGATCCCGCATTCCTCCTCTACCCAAGAAGTGGCAGCAATGCACACTCGGAGCAGCTCACCTGCATAGCCCTCTCCTGCAATGCCTGCTGCTCTGCCCGCTGCCTCTGCATCTCAGCTGCATGCATGTCACCAAGCCCCTGCAGAGCGGCCTGGTGCTGCTGCTCCAGGAGGAGGACCTCAGCTTGCACCCGGTCCAGGGCCATGCTCTTTTCCTCCTCCAGCAGGCGCCTCTGATTCAGCAGGGCTCCAGCCAGCTCCTCCTGCCAGGAGAGTCCGCAGGATACTGCACCCCACCCACCCTGTCTCAGTACCACCCTGCAGTCGGCCCCTGGAGGCCTGACATGCCCAGGTGCCCCACAAACTGGGCACTGCAGCCCCATTTACTGGGACTATAGCTTTAGGCCAAATACACGTCCTGTTCATGATACTCAGATGCAGGTTACAAAGGGGAGGCGGGGATGCCAGCCCAGAGCACCTGGGCTTTCTCCAGAAATTCCCTTTCGTCCAAACTTAAAGTCACTGCTCTTGACACATGACAGAGGGTTAATTTTATGAAGCATACACAAAGGAAAGCCAAGGGTACATAAGCACAAGAGGAAAACAAAGCTGAGGCCCTGGAATGCCAGGCCTACAGAGAGGGCCAGCACAGACACGAGGAGCACTCTGAGCTGGTGAGGTCCTATGCACACTTCCCTAGGATTGCAGAGCCAAAGCCTTCCCAAAAAGTCTTTGATCATGTGATCAAAGAAACCCTTAAAACTCACTGTTCTAGACCTACCTCATGAGGAAATCAAAGTCACCGCTGAAAGGAACAGTGAGACACACAGACACAGGGTTGCACACATACTGACCCACTCGTGTAGGTGCACACTCATGGACACACAAGAGTGCAATGAACCACACAGGCCACTGGAAGACACCTGTCCTGAGACAGGGAAGGGCCCAGTCCTCACCTGGTGAGCCCCTCGAAGCTCTGCAGCCAGGGCCCTCAAACTCTCAGTGTGTTCAGTGCTCAGTTCAGCTCTCCAGCTGCCCTTTGCAGACTCAAGCTCTTCATCATGTTTCCGCTGCAGTTTCTCTAACTCCTGAGTCAAAATCACTTGGTGAGAAGAGTCCTTTTTCTGCAGTTGTTCCTCAAGGTCCCCTCGCAACTGCTCTAGGGCCCGCTCATGCTCATCCCGGAGGGCCTGGATTTCAGACAGGTAACATGACTCCACAGAATCCAGCTGTGACAAATGTCTCGTCTCCAGAGCATGGATTTCAGCAGCATGTTTCGTCTGCAGTTCAGCCACACGAGCTTCTGAAAGAGCCCACTGCTCTCTCTGGAACACGGCCTTTAGCTCCTCGACACTGGCCTGGTGCTTGGCCTCGAGTTCTGCTGTCAGGGACAGAACGTGCTGCTGGTGTCTCTCCTGCAGGAGCTGGAGCTCGCTGGCGTGCTTCCCCTGGGCCTTCCGCAGGAGGGCATCTTGCTCTGCAGTGAATGTCTCTGTGATTTCTTTACGTTGCTCTAAAAACCTGAGATGACATGCAAAGTGAACAGACGGCAAAAAAATGCAGTCGTAAAAGCAGCAACCTCTTCCCATTTCCCACAGGAAACACCTCAATTGACAAGTCGGCATTCATGGGTCTAACTGTCCTTACTCCTTCCTCTGCCACGAGGGCCGGAGAGCACACCACCGGCAGTCAGCGGAGTGAAGGGGCCATATGAAGCCAGAGGACTCAGAGGCCAGAGCCCCGGCCTCCTCTCCCAGCCTGAAGTGGAGGATACAGGACCCACAGCAAGAAGCCACATGTATGCTCACAACAGACACCACGGAAAAGCAGGCATGACTGTTACAAGGAAAGGATCTCAACAGGGAAAGAGGGGCAAGACCACTCACAGGAGCCCACCCGGCCACCAAGAGCATTCAAAAGACCTCAGAAAAACACTCTTCAGTTGTGAATTAATGGATGTGAATTAGGAGAACCGCAGGAGGCGCTGGCTGGCAAAGCAGAAGCAGGAAGATGTCTTCTTATTAAAGCGCCCAGAATCTCACAAAAAACAGGGAGGAGCCTGGAACCTCTACTGGTCCAGGTTATGCTAGTGGCACGGCTTGGTGAGTTCACAAAAACATCAAGAGCTGTGACTAGTTTTTCATACTGTCTACCAGATTCGAAAAAGGCATTGCCATGGATTACCCCACTTAACCTTTACTTGAGAGCACTCAGGTTTCGTGCCCACATGATGCATCGGGATTGAACTCAAGTTCTCAGACCCCAGAGCAGAAGCTCTTGCACCTCACTCATGATGCTGGGGAGCAGCTGACACACAAGAAGCAGCAGAACCAACAGCATATCCACAGACCTCAAAACTCACAAAAACCTGACATGACAGGCCAAGTTTACAGAAAGAGTTGGCACCAACAGAGTCAAAAAACCAAATCACATTGTAAATCTATTTAAAACCTGGAGATGTATATATTTTAGTAAATAATAATAATAATAATAATAATAAATACATATATATATATATATATATATCAATATATATTTAAAAGAAAACTTGTGTGAATGAACTACATATCCTTAAAATAAATGAGGTCTACAGTTGTGCTACTGAAATTTTAAAATGCGCAAACAGAAGAAAAATGGCATATCAGCACATCTTTGTTTACATAGCCCAGTGGTAGGCAAACTCATTAGTCAACAGAGCCAAATATCAACAGTACAACGATTGAAATTTCTTTTGAGAGCCAAATTTTTTAAACTTAAACTTCTAACGCCAATTCTTCAAAATAGGCTGGTATTTTGTGGTATTTTGTGGAAGAGCCACACTCAAGGGGCCAAAGAGCCGCATGTGGCTCATGAGCCGCAGTTTACCGATCACGGAGCCAAATGTCCCGTTCTCATTTTAGGAAGAAGAACAAGTGTCCAGGACTTAGGACATCACTGAGAGCGCATAGAATGTCTTCCCAGATCTGCCTCCCACCCTCTACCAGGTGTCCTGGGTTAGGTCTCACGTAGAACCTGGCAGATGGCGCCATATTAATGACGTGCTACAAGAATGTCACCCACCTGTTCTGGGCCTGCATCAGCTGAAGGGCACAGTCCTCCTTCAGATTGAGGGGAGCAAGCTCCAGGTCTTGGTTCTGGTCCACTGGGGCCAGTCCACTGCTCGACTCCTGGTCGCTCTGTAGAGACTCGTCCCCAGCAAGGCCAACCTCCAGTTGCCTCAGGCGGCCCTGCTGCTCCTTCAGGGACCCCTCCAAGTCCAGGATCTGGGCAGCCTGCTGATCCTGGAGTTGCTTCATTTCAATTTCTCGAAGCTCAAACTCATTTATTATCGACCGTTTCTCCAATTCAGCCTGTTCTCTCAGTTCAAGGAGCATCAGGGTTAACTTTTCTTCAGCTTCTCTCCTTAGGGCTTCACTTGTATCTTTCCACTCTGCTTTTCTTTCTTTGAGTTCTTGTTTCATTAGTTGAATCTGCTCCTTAGCTTTCCTCAGTTCTTCCTGATGATCTTCAACTAAATTATGTTTTCCCTATAGATAATTTTAATTAAGAGGAAAGAAGTTAAAGGAAAAGATTATTGGTAGCAAAACCCCAAATCCATCTCTGAAGACAGAGAAGCTTCCACAACATATAGGCATTGTGCTGAGCATAGCAATGGGACTGCTTTGTGTGTTGATGAGAACAGAATAAATGTGAAAGGAACAAACTTAAACTACTTGCTTAAGTAAAAGGTGTTCACATGGAACCAATAGCTCTGTCTGGAGCTGGCAAGCCTGGACAAAAACTAACTGAACTGAACCCAAAGGCGGGCTGAAGGCCTATCACGGTCATCTACTAAAAAAAAGGCCAACTGGACCCCTATCAGAGCTGAAGCACCACCAGCCAGGAGATTAAAAGTCTGAGGGAGATGAGCACAACAGTGTCAGGAGTTCAAGTCTTTGGACTTGCACAATTTATATTCCAGGATATACAGGATCCTCGGCAAGAGGCTGATGAGCTAAAAGTTAATTTTAAAAGAGGTAACTTGTGAAGGAGAGGATGAATCAGAAAGCTGAAGGTGGGCAAATACCCTGGTTTTGTTTTGTTTTTAAGAAAGGTCAACAAACTACTGAACATAATAAAGAAGAAAGTAAACAAAACATATGAAAAACTGACTTCAACTCCTTGTTTAAAGTTATTCAAAAATTAAGTTTAGTCAAAACCAGTTTGACTCAGTGGATAGAGCATCAGTCTGTGGACTGAGGGTCCCAGGTTCAATTCCAGTCAAGGGCATGTACATTGGTTGCGGGCACATCCCCAGTGGGGAGGTGTGCAGGAGGCAGCTGGTTGATGTTTCTCTCCAAACGATGTTTCTAGCTCTCTATCCCTCTCCCTTCCTCTCTGTAAAAAATCAATAATATATATATATATATATATATATATATATATATATATATATATATATATATATATATATATTTTTTTTTTTTTTTTTTTTTTTTAAATGAAGTTTAGGGGTTCTGTTTCTGTTGATGGTTGAGAAGTCCTAATGAGACCCAACTTCCAGAGATAACTATAAACTCTGGAAAAAATATAATAAACTATCTGAAGGCCCAGAGAGCATCCAAAAGAAATGGTACTAGGTGATTTACTGAATGTGCTGTGCTCACAGGAATTCCATAATCTTACTTATTTGAACAGAGGGGCTGGAACGTGCATTAGAACAGAGTCAGAGACCAAGAGCAAAATCTGGAATAAACCAAGCCCTAAAGGTTGGTTCATGCCTGACCCCCCATGTGTGCAGGCAGATTCCAAGGGCAAGCTGGCAAAACTAGATGAACTGAACCGTACACTTCAATCCAGAAAAGAAGTAGTGTGTGACGCTGAATATAGCCAGGTTAATTGCCTACTGAAACATAGAATCATTACTCTTAAGAGGAATATAACAGAATCCAAACTCTCAACAAGGTCCAGGATCCAATCCAAATCAGTTAATATACAAAATAAAGAGGAAATATGACCCATTCAAGGGTCCCCAGCTATCTTTCTTCTCATTAACATATAAGACCCTTAGTACAGATGCCAACGGTTTTAGCAGCTATGTGAGTAGTTGGAAGAAAAGAGCACATATTTATTACATTATATTATATTACATTATATTATATTATATTATATTATACATATGGACAGCATATAATTGGGTATTTTAAAAACCCATTCTGACAAACGTTGCCTTTTAATTGGAGTGTGCAGTCTGTTGCCTTTTCATGATGTTATTGACAAGGTTACACTGAGGGCTGCCGTTTTACTAGTTTCCACATGTGAAAAAGACTTAAAAGTTCTAGTCACCTTAATTACAATATTCCTACAAAGTGATAAAACTGTGCTGCTGTATAATGAGGCCCTTCAATAACTCAGCGAGTCTATGTGTGTTTTTCAGCATGCACAATGATGTAGCAGCAAGCTCATCACTCAGGGTCCCACAGTGGTTGCCAAGCTGCACAGCTGACAAGAAGAGCTTGGGGGTTCGCGACACCACCACTGGAGGCACTGGGGACAAGGCTTAAAGCCAGCTGTGGCTCAAGCCCCTTCCTGCATCCTCTGACGACACTCAGCTGCTTCCTCAGCCCCTGAGCTCTGGACTCAGCTGGGGAGCAGGCTCACTACCAATGAGGGACACACCAAACCCACTCTGGCCTGCACATGTGTGGCCTGACATCCTATCCACCCTCTGGCCCAGGCCACTGCTCCCACAAGGTCACAGAGGGAGTGGCAGTCGTGCCTCGCCATCAGGACTCACAACTCACTTTCTCCAAGTCCTCTTTCAGACGGATTTCCCTCTGCAGCTTCTCGTGTAAGTTTCGGTTTTCTATTTTTAACAGATTGATTTCTTCCTGGAGCTCTGTCTGAAGCATTGGGAGTTTAACCTCCGTTTCCAAACCCAAGGTTGCTGTTGGCACTTTGGTTTCCTCCTCCACGGCTGGGCCCTGCACACCCTGAAGATGTATGCAAGCAAGTTCTATGAGGAAGGAGACAGAAAAGACAGGCGTGACCCATGAGAACAACCACGTGACAAGGACAGGACACTTGCATTCAGATGCCTCAGACAACAGAAATTCAGATTTTTAAATCTCCTGTGTGGACTTGGTGTCAGGAGTGGACACGACTGGCGACCCAGCAGTCAATGTGCAGAACCATACCCGGTGCTGCCCCTGCACAAAGCCTGTGCACCCACCCACTCTGCTCCTTCAGGCTAGGTAGCAGGTGGCTGTAATCAGGGATGTCCGCCATGCCCAATGACCGTAATGTGCTGAATGGTGGCCATGGGGCACTTCTCACGCAGGAAGGAGAACCAAGTGGAGTAGATGTCAAGTGCGACGTGACCTTGACTGTCAGAGTCCTGCCCCCTCTCATCTGCCCCACCAGCTCTGAGGGAGCTGAGCCAAGATGGGTACTTGTGCCAGAATACCCAGAGTGGAATATGAACCCTACTATATGGGACTCTCTGCCTCGCCTCCTGAGCTCTATGCAGAACACAATAGTGCCCACACACAAGGCTGTCCCAAGCTAGCACACCAGGCATCTAGGCTGCTCCAGTCCTTCTGGAATCTGTGTCTGTCCGTACATCCACTCTCATTGCAGCAAGGCCACTACCTGTTCCCACCAGCCACACCGTGGGATGACCACAGCTCTCCCACCTTCTGGCTACCACAGCCTGTTAGCCCTGGTGATACTGCACAGTCAGGCCCTCTCCTGATACACCCGGGCCCTGCCCAACCCCGGACTCAAGGACCCGTGTGGGGACACCCTGAGCCGACCTCCAGCACCAGCTCTGCAGAGTAAAGGGACAGCACACCCAGATGACTCAGACAGTTGATCATGGTGAGGCTCGCAACCTCCCCACAAATCACACCTGAGCTGCTGAGGGACACCCACCTGGGCCAGGCTCTTCCAAGAGCCCCACACGCTGTACCAACACCTGGGTCCCCACAAGGTCCGCCTCCTGTTGGGCTGCCACTTGGTGCTGTGGGCTTTCTTCTAACTGAGTTTGCAAACACAGGCCCTCCTTTGGGGAAGTCACACAAAAGAAACGTTTCAGTGAGTCACTGCCCCCAGATGTGCCCCATGAGCGATGCCGGCTCATGCAGTCTTCTTATGCTGCCTGTCCTGTCCAGAGGGAAATAGCTGGCTGTAGCCCTGAGGAGGGCTCTGCTAAAGCCCACAGTCAGGGAGTCCTACTCATGCTTATAGAGCCAACACAGAACACCAGCCATAGGAGCACCAGGCTGACCCTGCCCACCAGGCCTCCTGCCGTTACCTCCCCTTCCCAGGGTCAAGCCTCACTTGTTCACTCCCTTCCGTCCTTCACAGGCCACTCAGCCTCCCTGACCAGCCTCATAGGCCAGGGCCTCAGCTGAAGGGGACCTATTCTGATGTGGGGCTCCCAGGCTTCTGTACCCACTTATTCCTGAGCCTCCTCACTCCCTCTTCTGCTCTCCGTGCCCTGCACTTTCTCATCTAGAGCCAGCGCAAGGTCTGGTGCTGGGCCTGCTCAGGAGTTTCCGGGGCATGTGGGAGGCAGGGTAGGGGGGTGGGGAGAGAGTCTCTGGTTACTGCTGTGAGCAGCACTGACAATAAACCCAGCTAAGCATCCTTTGGAGAAAAGAAAAGCAGGCTCAATGCTTTCATACTTCCTTTTCCCCTCACAATACAACTAGTAAGCTCGTTTTCCTTTAAAAAAAAAAAAAAAATCACTGAGGAGTCACATCAACCTAAATTTCAAGATTCCTGTCTCTGTGACAATTGAACACACAAAAGAGCCAAGTCCCAAACTGGAGGGACAAATTCAATGAGTTTGTCAGAATGGCTATCATCAATAAATTAACAAACAACAAGTGTTGGAAAGGATGTGGAAAAAAGGGAACCCTCATGCACCATTGGTGGGAATGCAGATTGGTGCAGCCACTATGGAAAAGAGCCAGGAGTTTCCTCAAAAAATTAAAAATGGAACTGCCTTCGGACCTAGCAATTCCACTTCTGCATATTAAAAACACTAACTTGAAAAGATATATGCACAACTATGTTCATTACAGCGTTTTTTTACTATAGCTAAAATATGGAAGCAACCTAAGTTGCTATCAATAGATGAATAAACAAAACGTGATATATGAGTGCACATATATATGCAAATATTATTCAGCCATAAAAAATAATCAAATCTTGCCATTTGTGACAGCTTGGATGGATCTGGAGGCTATTATGATAAGTAAAACAAGTCAGAGAAAGACAAATAAGATATGATCTTCTAAAAAAAAAAAAAAAAAAAGATATGATCTTCCTTATATGTGGAATCTGAAAAAAACAAACAAACAAACAAAAAAAACTGAACTCATGGATACAGAGAATAGATAGGTGGTTGCCAGAGGGCATGGGTGAGAGAAATGAAGTGGGTCAAAAGGTACAAAATTCATTATAAGTTAAGTCCTGGGATGTATCATACAGCATGGTGGCTTATGGGAAAAGTTGCTGAGAATAAATCGTAAAAGGTCTCATCACAAGAAGAAATATCTGTAACTGTGTGGTGATGCTAACTAGACTTACTGCAGTGATCATTTCACAATATGGACAAACAGCAAATCATTACATTGTCACCTTGGAATAATACAATATTACATTGTCAATTATACGTCAATAAAACAAAACTGGCCTGTCACCTCATGCTGCTCCAGATGAAAGCTGAGCTGGTCAAGGTCATCTCTTCTTTCTTTTTCAGAAGTCTCTTCTAAAAGCACACTTGATGAACTAGGAGAAAACACATCCTGAAAACCTTACACATGGCACTTTCACATCGGACCTCTGCTCCATCCCTGGGATCTGACCACATGAAAGAAGAAAACCCTTCCTGCTCCTTCCACCACATTCTACTTGCATCAAGAACAGGACACAACTGAACGAAATATGTGTCAGTGACCACAGCTGGAGTTTTATGGCAAGGACCCTGAGGCAACACAGATCCCCAATGCCTGAGCCCACCTCCTCCAGTCGCACATCATCTGCAGCCTCTCCTGAGTCAGATTCAGCTCTTAGCTCATTTAATGTTCTCTAGTTTTGGGTCCCAAGCATAAAAATGTGTTTCTAGAATACCAGGTATTCATTTCCATTGGCATCAAATCAAAAGCAAAATTAGATTTCAGGTGTGGTGAACACACAATACAACATACAGACAATGTATCATAGAATTGTACACCTGAAACTTATATAATTCTATTAACCAATAACATCCCAATAAATTCAATAAAAAATTTTTTTAATTTGCTTAAACATATAGGGATAGTATCCTGTCCTATATAATAAAAAGGTAATATACAAATTATTTATACTTTAAACAACAATATAATAAAATTTTAAAAAGTTAATATACAGCCGAGACCGGTTTGGCTCAATGGATAGAGCGTCGGCTTGGGGACTGAAAGGTCCCGGGTTCGATTCCGGTCAAGGGCATGTACCTTGGTTGCGGGCATATCCCCAGTAGGTGGTGTGCAAGAGGCAGCTGATCGATGACTCTCTCTCATCGATGTTTCTAATTCTCTATCTCTCTCCCTTCTTCTCTGTACAAAATCAATAAAATATATTAAAAAAAAAAAAAAAAGTTAATATACAAATTGGCCCTAAAAGCGGAACAACTAGTTGCTATGACCACCACCAGGGGGCAGATGCTCACTGCAGGAACTGCCCCCTGGTGATCAGTGTGCTCCCACAGGGGGAGCTCTGCTCAGCCACAAGCCCGGCTGATGGGTGGCGGGAGCCTCTCCCATCTCCTCAGCAGCACTAAGGGTGTCCAGGGGAGCGGGCCTAAGCAGGCAGGTGGACATTTCCCGAGGACTCCCAGGCTGCCATAGGGATGTCTGACTGCTAGCTTAGGCCTGATCCCCCAAGGAGTGGGCCTAAGTTGGCAGGTAGACATCCCCCGAGAGATCCTGGACTGCCAGAGGGCAGCCAGGCTGAGGAACTCCCCCTGAGTGCACGAATTTTCGTGCACTGGGCCTCTAGTTGAAGAATAAAAGAAGATAAAACTGTGGAAATATTAAAACTAGACTATCAGAGAGACAAATTCTTGTGCCTTTTCTTTGGGAAAAGCAATGTCTCTCAAGTGTAAGGTCAAAGAAGCTGTAATCAACTTTCATGACACATATAGCCTTCTTGTATTTTGGTGTTTGAAAGGAAGCTCAAAAAAGAACACACACCCATACACTAGATTTCAGTTCAGCTCAAGGTTCCCATATTTCAAATACATATTCAAGGTAAAAACTGGTTTATTTACCTGATCTCCGCAGACTCCAGAAGAGAGTCTTCCCTCACCTCCTGCAGCCGCTGCTGTAACAGAGTCAGGTCTTCCTGGTAATTTTTTTCCGCATCCCTTAATTTCTTTTCAAAGTAAAGTCTCAGCTGCTCCAGTTCTGACTCATGCTCAGTTTTCTCCCGTTGCTGCTGCTGCTCAAAGTCTCGCTGCAGATGTTCTAATTCTTCCACATGAGATGCTCGAGCCAGAAGCTGCTCACGTAAGTCTTTAATAGGATGAAATTACATGATCACCTTAAACAGAAACACTTGGGAAAACCCGGGAGCTATTGAAGGTCCTGGTGCAGGGGGCCAAATTCTAAAAGCCACCAATCCCAGAACCTGTGACTGGCTAATGTGACACAGGAGGATGACCTGTGCCCAGAGAGATGATCAGCTACCTCAGTGTCCTCAGGCTGGAGGGAGAAGCCAGAGACTAAATGTGTGAGAAGCATCCCATGTGCTGCTGAGCTCTGAAGATGGAGGGGCTGTGCAAAGAGAAATATGGGCAGCCTTTGGGAGCTGCGAGCTGTTGGCTGACAGTCAGCAACAACACAGGACCTGTCCTACAACCACAGGGACTAGATTCTGCCATGCCTGAGTGAGCCAGGTCAAAGGGCAGCCCAGCAACTCAATTCGGGTGTGGGTGACCCTGGACAGAAAGCCCAGCCACAACTGCTGGAGATCTTTGACCCACAAATCTTCAAGCTAATAACCATGACTGGTTTTGAGCCAACAAGTCTGTGATATTTTGTTAACGACAACAGTAACACAGACCAGAAGAGAATGTGTCACTGTTGTTTTGATCAAGAGAAAGCTACGAGCTGGTCAACAATAAGTAATCAGCTTTCAAATAACATAGCATAAATAATTCACTATCCCAGAGATTTCAAAATCAGGGTTCGCTGTGAGGGTCCTTACATGCAAGAGTAAAGACTTCCAATAAACATGTTAGAACCAGAACACGTATGTGAAAGCATGCATGAAGTCAGGTAAACATTAAGTTCACCAGTGCCACCTGTAGGCTCCGTCAGTGACACACAGACCAGAAGGAAAGACGGAGTGATGGGTTGACAGAGTGGGGGTGACAGAGACATAGCCTTATTCACCGCCATGCAGCAGACAGGGTGTTTCTAATCCTTTCTCCTCTGGTCTTTGCTCCCAACACCACGCACCCAATAAGGACAATCACCAGTTGAAAAGGCTCACTCTGGAGATAAGCAGCAGAAAAGCACACGTCTGTGTTTCTCCCATTGTATCTCATGACCTCCCCCATCTGAAAGTGCTGCTAGGGAGCAGAGGCCGCTCTGACAGGATTCTGTAAGAGGACCCAAGTGAGCTACCCTCGGTAATGGTGGCTGCAATTACAGGCCTGGAGACTCAGGATCACCACCCTCCAACACCAGAGGATGGGGCAGTGGGAGCCTAAGCCAGGTGGGCTCATGCAACAGAAGGCACACCTGCAGCCCCAGATGCCAGCAGCTTCTAAACAGAAGCACGCACATTCAACAGGTGCCTGACATCAACATAAGCAAACACTCAGGATTAGCATGAAACCAAGGCTCTCACCAACAAGCAAACTCCACACACCCATCTTTAGGAAGTACACAAATCAAATCACTCTTTGCACTCGCTACAATGGCTACATCCTCATTTCAGGGTCCCACAATTAAAAACCCACAGCTTCAGCTTTTGAGACTCTGAATCCTCAGCACGAAACTCCTCACCACTCAGTTCCTGTCTGTCAGTCCTCGTGGACTCAAGCTGGGACCACAGGCGCCTGACTTCCTCTTGTGAACGAGCCTTCAGCTCTTCGTAAGATGCTTGAAGGTTCTCCAACTAGAAAAGGAAGGCGACAGTGAGACACTGACCGAGAGTGAGCCCCGAGACTGACAGGCATGAGAGAGCACATGAGTACAAGCTCAAATCCCAAACATCCAGCCTAGAGAACACCAGAAATGGCAGCACCAGAGAAAAACTATCATCCGTAGTGTTTAAAGGTGCCATTTCCCAATCGCAGTCCTATGAGCGCCGAATATTTTTCTCACAGATCACTTGCTCAGGCCCTTGGCCTTGTTCCCTGCAGAGACCACCACTTCTCACTGACCAAGGACAAGAACTTGCTCTGTTGCCCTCTAAGTCAGGGGAGGCCAATTGGTGGGTGATCAGGAACTGGGCCCTATGAGGTGGACGCACAGGCTCCCTCCCAGGCTGCCAACTGGCACTGACCACATGACTTCTAAGACGTCCCCCTATTGTTGACTTTAACGTGTTCTGCACAGGGACCTATCCTTCTCATTAGTGATCACAGACCTCCCTCATCCTTTGGTGTGTTTGGGTGTTGTCTGCATTTCTTGTTCAACCTTCCTGGAAAGCAGCTTCTTTCAGGGGCGAAGAAAGTGAGAAAGAGAGAGAGCGAGAGAGCGAGAGAGAGAGAACACCAACAAAACTGGGAACAGCTCCAACCTGCTTATGCACGAGGCTCAGGGTCAGCATGATCAGTCAGCCTGAGAGGGCAGCGCTGGCCCAGAGGCCCCTGTCGCCTTTTCTCATCCAGGGCACAAGACAGAAGGTACCCTCCTGTCATCTCTTTCTCATTAAGAAAGTGATTTGTACACCAGCCCGGCCCTGGCTCTGCCTGGCCATCACAGCCTCAGTCTGGAGGAGAGTTGGGGGGAGTGGGTGTGAGAGCTGCAGGGGACAGAGATGCGGGCTCCTCCTGGGCTTGACTCCTCCCCCTCCTCATCCGTAAACCCACGCACAGGCCATGACTGACTCCATCCCTGGCTTACTTTCTAATTTCCTGAACCAATGTTTGAGGGAATTGCTTGCTTCTTGGGTTTGGTGACAGAAATACTTCAGGTCTCAGTAGTTCGGGCTACATCGCCCCCATCCTGATATGCAGTGTTTCACTGGAAAGAGTTTTGAACACATTAGCAGCAGGAATGTTTCTGCTCTTTTCTTAGAAATTTCTTCATTGAATTGTGGTCACAGCATATAGCCCTCCACCCCTATTACCTGAAGTCTGTAAGCATCTCGGGGGGACTTGTAAAGAATGTGAATTATCTATATCTAAGGCTGAACATACAACTGTCAAATCAACTTTACAGACTCCGCACCTCACCTACCAGCTCCAGCAAATACTGACAGTTGTCTTAAATTGGTACTTAAGCAAAAAACAGAATATGAGACGACCTCCATCTTAAACCTTCTAAGTAATTAAAAAATCGCCCACCTCCAGCTGTTTTTCTCTTTCCTTCTCTCTGACTCTCAGGTCCAGGTCCTCCGCGTGTCGGCAGCGCTCACACTGCAGGTCTTCCTGGAGCTTCTTCACAGCAGCGTCATGTTGAGCCTGCAGAGCCTGGAGGGACGCTGAAGAGCAGAGGCGCTCAGTTTATAACAGCACCGTCTTCTTCCTCGGCGTACTATTAGCCAGCCCGTCACAGTAGTAATGCCAGTTAGCACTAAGAGGGCCACCTCCCACTCAAGGCCCCCAGGCTCCTTGCAGGTCCCTTCTCAGCATCACTGCTCTCCTCAGGAGGGAGAGAGGGGTACAGGTCAGCTGACCAGCAGACAGCTGTTCTGACAGGTTGGGCAATAGGCAACAATTCCATAAAAAGTGAACAATCGCATTACTACTTTTGGGTAGCAATTTAATAATGGAATATGAAAAAACTATCTCTGAAATGTAAGTTTCAGGGAACTTGTAGTCAATAAGGGGAGACCCCACGGCTGACTGTCCTGAGGCAGCCCTGCACCTCTGTTGTCAGCGGGGGTATCACAAGCACTGTTATCTGACATTTGAACACACGAGCAGTTCATATTCACCACAAATCTGGCAAATCATGGTTTATTCCAGAATTACACAGGAAAATTTAGTCCGCCGTAAGACCTGCTCATCTTAATACTCACATTCTGCCTGGTTTTTGGCTTGAAAAATCTTCTCCAGCTCAGTTTTCTGTTCTGCCAATTCTTTCTTAAACTGGCTTTGTAAATTCTCCAGTTCTGACTGATGCTTTGCAGATAGTTCTTTGCGCAGGCTTTCTAAACATAAATCTCTTTCAGACTCCCAGTCTTGCTTCAGGGTCTAATTTAAACAAGGAAAAAAAAGAGAGTATGATCAATAATTACCTGTCATAAAAAATTTTAAATCATATACTTGAAAACTAGGAAGTCACTCCCTGCCTAGACCAGACTGTCACCATAGGAAACCAGCTCTGAATGTACAGGACCAAAATATCCACAAGGCCCACCTGCCCAGAAACAGAACACACAGCACAGGTGAGTGGTCACTCTGAGATTCACGTGTCTGCCTCCACAAAGACCTGGGGGCAGGGTGCTACAATGATGTGACTGACATCTGTGGGAAGGCCAGGCTACGTGCCAGGCGCCCTGAGGAACAACCCTGAGGTGTCCTGGGTTGGAGGCCAAACATATTCTGGGGTGCCTGACCTGAGCAACCAACACAGAAATGCCCACATGCCCCAATGTCATACATCTAACATCACCCACGTTCCCTGTCACCCATTTCCTCTTCTGTCATCAGTGGCCCTTCCACAAATGTAACTTTCAGAAGGGGACACATTAAGAGAATCAGAAATTCCAGTGAGAGACTGCCTCAGAAAAGAGCTAATTCTGTTATACTCTAAAACATAACTCTTTCCCAAAAAATGGGTTGTGAGTTGGGAACAGCAGGACAGTAATGGCCAAGCCATGGTAATGGTGAGCACTGTGAACAGAGCCAATCATGATGCACGCAAGGTAGACACCCATGACTAAGAGCTTTGCCCTTGGGGCACAGCTCTTCCCTGCGGATCCCTGCAGCATCCCAGAACCCACAGTGCCCACATCTCAACTGCCGCAGTCCACACCTCCCTGCGTGAGGACAGAGGTCTGGGTCCAAAACACAGCAAGGGCCAGACAGCAACCACTCAGAAAACCAAACTTGGGGTGGAAGAGGCTCATGTTACACAAGTTGTTCTGACAAAATCAACCTGTAAAAATAAAAGACCGCTTTATCTCTGAAAGAAAACACAATACACTTCTACCAACACAGCCCACTAAAGCTCTGACTGGGTTTGTTTAATATCAAGGTGAGGGGGTGTATTTCTGTGGGGATTTTGAGTGGAGGGGTCAACCTGGTGGGATGGACAGAAAAGGGAAATCATGCATAACCAGAATACAGATACCTCTATTATCTGGACATTTCTCTCCATTTCTGATTGTAACTTCTCCTTCAGCTCAGCTGCAAGAAAAACATAAAAAGTCGTTCAGATCACTGAGCCTCAGTTTTTCCACAATCTGATCACCCAGGAGATAAGGGGCTCCTGGCTCCTGCTGGCTGCTCCACAGGCAACCATCAACGTCAACAGAAGGGGAGGCATCTGTGAGGGAGTAAGAGTATGATGCTGTCTGCTCTAATGAACAAATCATATACATGCCCAAACCAAGGAGGATGAGAGTTACACCAGCAGGACAGTCTGAAGTGAGCGGGCAAGGCTGGCTCCAGACTGCATGCTCACTGAGAGCCTTGAACCCACCTCTTCCCCTGGTAATGAGACCTGTCTGCTCCACACCAAGCCAGACTCCAGGCGAGGTGCTGGAGGGAAGATAAAGATGTCCTAGGACCCAACAACTCCCAACCCGGAAAGGGAAGAAGCACAAGAAAAGAGGAGTAAGTGTTGGGAGGTGAAGGAGGAAGACAGGACTGGACCAATGGGCACAGCCAAGTTAGCATGGAGATGTGGGTGCCCAGCTGGAGATCAGGGTGCCAGGTAGAGATGACAGGAGCCTCAGGAAAGGGCCAGGGTAGAACTGGGGAGAGGGGTGCCATGTGTGCACAGTGAGGGTGGCCTGAGCAAGTCCATTTTACTTCCACATGCATATACATACATATGGGAGTAAAATAAGGTATTTGCATTTGTTTGAATCTAGATGAAGACACAGAAATAGCACTACAAGAACCTGAGAAGAGCCTGGTCCGTGTGGCTCAGCGGTTGAGCACAGACTAGGTACCAGAAGGTCACAGTTTGATTCCAGTCAGGGAACGTACCCAGAAGGGAGTGTGCAGGAGGCAGCCAATCCGTGATTCTCTCTCATCACTGATGTTTCTCTCTCTCTCCCTCTCCCTTCCTCTCTGAAATCAATTAAAATATATATTTAAAAAGGAACCTGAGAAGAGACCAAGAAAGAAAAGGACTTCTCCACACACTTAGAGCCAGCATGCTGCTTTTTTTTTTCCAAATGAAAAACTCAGCAAAAGGGCAGATAATCAGATGCTCACATAGCAAGAAAGTGGGATGACTGCCAGGGGTGTGAGATTCCTTTCTGGGTGATGAATGTTCTAATCGCAGTCTGTTAGATGTCTATATGACTCTGACACACTCAAAGCCACTGACATGTACACTTTCAATGGGTGAATTGTGTGGTATGAGAATTACTGCTCAGTAAAGCTATTATTTAAAACACGTTTACAAAAAGTTGTGACTAACAAAAAAAATTAAAATTAAATAATAAAAGTATATTTTAGACATAAGCTCAGTCTAGGCTAGAGAATCAGAAGATAAAGTGGCTCCTGGGCTTCCCATCAGGAGCACCGGGGCCCCACTGGGCACAGAAGAGCCTGTAGGATGAGGGAGTCTGTGTCCAGGAGCATCCGGTCGGGCTGGATAAAACATGGCCACAGACACAGTCCTATCAACGACGCAGATATAGAAACCTCAGTATGTAAGCAAAACACCTCCAAAGACATCATTTCAAAAGTTGACACAAGCCCGTTGAAAAACTAGAAAGAGGCAAGATAATGTCAGAGAACAGGATAAGGATATGCAGAGCTGGATGCACCACTGCCAGCCAGGAGGTAAACAGGGCCCAGAGATGGTCAGGGACAGGTGCACCACTCAGCTCCCGCATGGACAGGGAGATAAGAGCATGAATGCCTCACCTTGGAGGCGCCTCCGATGGGGCCACCTGCTTTCCCAAATACCAGAAATGAAAGTCCATGCCTGCCCACACACATACCTGTCTCACGGCTGCACCGCAGTGCCGCCTCCTCCCGCTCACGTGCATGCTGCTCCCTAACAAGCTCCAGCTCCAGCAGCTGGCGGTTCTGCAGCAGGGCCAGCTCCTGGGCGTGCCGGCCATTAAGCATGTCCCGCAGTTCCATCAGTGCTGTCTCCTTCTCCCTCTGCAGGTTGGCCTGCGTCAGCTCCAGCTGAGCTGTGTGCATGTTGCTCAGACTCAAGCGCAACGCCTCCAGCTCCAGGGGTGGCACTGGCTGCAAGGAGAGAGGCGGTGCTGCAGTGGCACTGGGGAAGCAGCGCCAGCTTAAGATGTGGTTGGACAGTTGCTCAGGAGAGTCGGGTGTTCCTGACTGACCAGGGCTTCTTGCCCTCAATGCCCAACACTGCTGTGTATAAGGAGTAGGACTGGCCACTGATAGGGAAGTACAGGCTGTGCAATGAGTGTGTCCCTGGCACCTGACCCAAATTGCTGCCACCAAATGCCCACGTGTGTTCCTCTACTTTCAATGGCTCCGCATAAGATGTGAAAACAAAACAAACCAGAAAAGTAGACACAGTAAGCCTGCAGTGCACATCCATCCACTGTGACAAATCTCTCCTACCCGCCAACCTCCCAGATTCCCAAACCCACTGGGTCCTGGTCTGAGTGACAGCATCTGAGTCACCTGGGTCTGCAGCTGTACCTGCTGCATCTCTGCGGGCAGCCCCATTGACCACTGCTCCCTGTCAGTCTCGTCTTCATGTCGGCTCATCAATGCAGCAATTTCAGGTTTACATTCTTGTTCATACTCCTGAGGAAGGAGAGCAAGAGATGTGACCCAGAGAATTCAGTTACAAAAAATGATATGCCAAGAGAATGAAAAGTACATATCCTCGTTAAAACCTGCCCATGAGTGTTTGCAGCAACACTATTCACAACCACCAAAAGGTGGGAACAACTCAGTGTCCACTGGTGGATGACCTGATAAACAAATGTGGTGCACCCACACACGGATGTCACCAGGCACAAAAAGCAGTGACGTAGGACACGTTACATCACTGTTAAATTGAGAAACACATTCCATAAAAAAAGCCAGACACACTCACAGGTCCATTTGCAGGAAAAGTCCAGAACAAAGCAATCCACAGACAGAAAGTAGACTGGTGGTTGCCAAGGGCTGGGGGAAGAAGTAGGGAGTGATGGATAAGGGGAAAAGGTTTCCTTTTGGGGTAACAAAAATGTTCTGGAATTAACTGCGATGGATCCACAAGCTACTAAAAGTAATAAAGGCCACTAAAAATTGTGAATGTTATGTTATGCAAATTACACCTCAATAAAAAAACCATAAAAGAATATACAACCTGTTGGAGTAGCTCAGTATAAAGTTGAAACCTTGGAAAGAGAGGCTGCAGGCATTATTACTGGGTGAGCAGAGCCTGTGTGCGCCTCGGTCATTGTGGCAGAAACTAGGACATTAAGACTGATCGCAAGCCCACCCTCCCGACACACTCTGAGTCCAAGACTGCCGCATAGGGCCGTGCTGGAGACCAGATACACACAGCTGACTATGTGAGACAAGAGAAGCACTCTGCGGGGAAAAATCAGACTGTTATCGCTATCCTCCATGCAAGAAAGACGAATTTTTCTCTTTAACATTTAGAGAAAAGGCAAAGGTCACAAGGAGGGCCAAACTGGGCTCAAACAGAAAAGTCTAGAGAGACCTTCTATGCAGGCGCAGCATTAAAAACCTGAGGCCTGCCCTACCCGGTTTGGCTCAGTGGACAGAGCATTGAAGGGTCCTGGGTTTGATTCCGGTCAAGGGCACATGCCTGGGTTGCAGATCGATCCCCAGTAGAGGGCATGCAGAAGGCAGCCAATCAATGACTCTCTCTCATCACTGATGTTTCTCTCCCTTTCCCTTCCTCTCTGAAATCAATAAAAATACATTATAAAAAATAAAAGGAACTGAGTCCTGCAGGGGCAGCTCTGTCTCAAGCCTCTGTGCCCCAGTTTCCACTTTGAGAGAGAGGGTTATTAAAAGACTGAGTTTTCTCTCTGATTTAGATTTCTACAACAGAAAAGTCCTCTGACAAGAAACACACCTTAACAAGAGAACCCCGAAGAGGCATACCTTTGTGAGGACCACAGGCTGTTCTGAACCGTCACCATCCAGCTTCTGCCAGGGCTGCTCCGAGTCCTCCGTACTTGCTCCATCAGGGTTCTCTAGCTAAGAGGGGAAGGGCCAGAGAAAACAGTTACTCTAACGACCAATACCATGATTGCAGCCTCAGGCCCTCTCGGCCCCTCCACCTGCCAGCCATACTAACTCGATCCCATCTGCTCAGAATCTGCATTCTCCTCCTAAACCATTCTCAAGTCTCAATACTTTTTATGCAACTCATTTACCTAATGCTGCTGCTGCCCCTCTCTTTAATGAATTTTGCTTCTTTAAATATTTTCACTGTGTACTTAAAATCTAAATTACTAAATTTTAGTTTCTCAACAAATTCTAGTCTTTCAGACCCATGCACTTAATTTTAATTTTAATTTCCAAGCTCTTAATTTTATATAAGTACAAATGTTTTTATCTTTAAGATCTCCCCTTTTTACATAGAATTTTCCCTTAATAATTTGAAAATAATAATTGAAGGTAGCTGAAATCAGTTTGGCTCAATGGATAGATGGTCGGCCTTTGGACTGAAAGGTCCCAGGTTCGATTCCAGTTAAGGGCATGTACCTTGGTTGCGGGCACATCCCTAGTGGAGGGTGTGCAGGAGGCAGCTGATAGATGTTTCTCTCTCATCAATGTTTCTAACTCTCTATCCTTCTCCATTCCTCTCTGTAAAAAAATCAATAAAATATATTTAAAAAAATAAAAATAAATGAAGGTAAAAATAGAAAACTGTTTTAAAATATTAATTTATGTCTTTAAGTAATAAATCCAGTCCTAGCTGGTTTGGCTCAGTGGATAGAGCGTCATCAGCCTATGGACTGAAGGATCCCAGATTCAATTCCAGCCAAGGGCACATGCGGGGGTTGCCAGCTCAATCCCCAGGCATGCAGAAGGCAGCCAACCATTCTCTTTCATCATTGATGTTTCTATCTTTCTCTCCCTCTCCCTTCCTCTCTGAAATCAATAAAAATATATTAAAATAATAAATCCATTAAATAATAACATGTTTATGAACATTTCCCCAAAAATATAAGACAGAATTTTAGAAAAAATATAAAACTTTTCATTTAAAGTAAGACTTTGAGTCTTTGCCTGATGTAATTAGTCAGAAACAGCCTTTAACACTGTCCTGCACTAGAGATTGAGAAGTATAGAGGGGCTCTCCATCTAAAAAGCGGATATGACAGAGTCTCCCACACGATGGCTGTAAGGGACAGAAGAAATATATGAAGAAACAAAGACCAAAAATTTTCCAAAAATAATGACACATATCAAGTTAGAGCTTTAAGGAGTGGAAAGAACCTCAAGTAGGATAAATACCATACACATAGACACATCCCATGTCCCTGTACACATTATTTCCACACTGCTGAAAATCGAAAGAAAAATGTAGAAACAGCCAGAAAAGAAAGACAGTTTACATAAAGAGGAATACAATTCCCCAAATATACTTCAACACCTCTTCAACCTAAATATGTTGAAGAGCAGCCTAGTAATTCACAAATGGGCTTTGCCTCCATCTGCATTACAACTGGTCGTTATATTGACTGTTGCAAGGGTATTTATGTCTTTGTGAAAAATGGGATAATGGATACAGTTCAATTTGGAAAAGATGCATATGTTTATCTGAAGAATCCACCATGAGATTTTCTTCTGAAAACTGGAGTGATTACAGCTTCAGGATTAGTAGGCTTGGTTTCAGCAAGAAAAGGTAGTATTGCTGAAACCGGTTTGGCTCAGTGGTAGAGCATCGGTCTGCGGACTGAAAGGTCCCAGGTTCAATTCCAGTCAAGGGCATGTACCCGAGTTGCTGGCACATCTCCAGTAGGGGGTGTGCAAGAGGCAGCTGGTCGATGTTTCTCTCTCATTGGCGTTTCTAGCTCTCTATATCTCTCCCTTCCTCTCTGTAAAAAATCAATAAAACATATAAAAGAAAGAAAGAAAGAAAGAAAGAAAGAAAGGAGGGAGGGAGGGAGGGAGGGAGGGAGGGAGGGAGGGAGGGAGGGAGGGAGGGAAGGAAGGAAGGAAGGAAGGAAGGAAGGAAGGAAGGAAGGAAGGAAGGAAGGAAAGGTAGTATTAAAATGCATTTGATAGCTGAAACCAGTTTGGCTCAGCGGATAGAGCTTCAGCCTGCGGACTGAAGGGTCCCGGGTTCAATTCCGGTCAAGGGCATGTACCTTGGTTGCGGGCACATCCCCAGTAGGGGGTGTGCAAGAGGCAGCTGGTCAATGATTCTCTCTCATGGATGTTTCTAACTCTCTATCCCTCTCTCTTCCTCTCTGTAAAAAATTAAATAAAATATATTTTTTTTAAAAAGAAAAAAGATATAGTAACTATGAAAAGAGAACAGTCTGAGATAAAGAATGATATAACACAAATAAAGAACATATTGGAAGGAATACACAGCAGATTAGGGAAAGCTGAAGATCATATCAGTGAATTAGAAGACAGAATTGAAAATATCACTCAATCAGAGAACCAAAAAGAAAAAACAGGAGCACAGCTTAAGGGAGCTGTGGGACAACGTGAAATGTAACAATATTAGAACAGCAGGTGCACCAGCAGAAGCAGAAAGGGACAAAGGCATAGCGAAGGTATTTAAAGAAATAATGGCAGAAACATCATCATTCACAGATGATATGATATTGTACATAAAAAAAAACAAAAAACTAAAAACTCCATCAAAAAACTACTAGACTTAATAAATGAATTTGGCAATGTAGCAGGATACAAAATTAACACCCAGAAATTTATGGCTTTTAATACACCAATAATGAACTCACAGAAAGAGAAACTAAGAAAACAATCCCATTTACTATTACAACAAAAAAATTAAGATAACTAGGAATAAACTTAACTAAAGAGGTACAAGTCCTGTACTCGGAAAACAACAGGACATTGAAAAAAAGAGAGAAAGACATAAATGGAAGAACATACCATGTTCACTGACTGGTAGAACCAATGTCATTAAAATGTCCACACTACCCAAAGCAATCTATAGATTCAATGCAATCCCCATTAAGATACCAACATATTTCACAGACCCAGAAAAAAATCTCCAAAAATTCATCTGGAATAAAAAAAGATCCTGAATAGCCACAGCAATCCTGAGAAAGAAGAACCAAGTTTTACCAAACATTCAAAAAATGTAGATCACGATACCAGCTATCAAGCTATATTACAAAGCCAATGTTCTAAAAACTGTCTGGTTTTTAGACATATAGACCAACGGAACAGAACAGAGAACCCAGAAGTCTACCCAAACCATTATGTTCAATTAATATTTGACAAAGGAGGCAAGAGCAGTCTCTTCAATAAAATGGTGTTGAGAAAATTGAACAGATGCATGCAAAAAAATGAAACTAGGCCACCAACTTAAACCATACACAAAAATAAACTCAAAATGTATGAAGGACTTAAATGTAAGATAGGAAACCATAAAAATCTTAGAAAAATCCAGAGGCAGCAAAATAGCAGACATATGTCATAGCAATATCGTTACCAACACAGCTCCTAGGACACTGGAAACTTAGGAGAAAATAAACAAATGGGACTACATCAAAACAAAAAACTTCACCCTAGCCGGTTTAGCTCAGTGGATAGAGCATCAGGCTGCAGACTGAAGGATCCCAGATTCGGTTCTGGTCAAGGGCACATGCCCAGGTAGCGGGCTCAAGCCCCGCAGGAGGCAGCCAATCAATGATTCTCTCTCATCATTGATGTTTCTCTCCCTCTCTCCCTCTCCCTTCCTCTCTAAAATCAATTTTAAAATATTGAAAAAATAAAGATAAAAAGCTTCTGCACAGCAAAAGAAACCATCAACAAAACAAGAAAGCCCACTGCATGGGAGAACATATTTGCCAACATTATCTCCTATAAAGGTTTGGTCTCCAAAATTTACAGGGAACTTAACAAAAATTCTCATGATTTTGAGTCAAATTCTGCCCTTATCTGCCAGCTTTCCAGCTAATTCTAGCAATTAGGGAATACTCACAATTATTTTTTTAAATATATTTTATTGATTTTTTACGGAGAGGAAGGAGAGGGATAGAGAGTCAGAAACATCGATGAGAGAGAATCATCGATCAGCTGCCTCTTGCACACCCCCTACTGGGGATGTGCCCACAACTAAGGAACATGCCCTTGACCGGAATCAAACCCAGGACCCTTTAGTCTGCAGGCCGATGCTCCATTCACTGAGCCAAACCGGTTTCACAATTATTTTGAAAGATAAACAATCCAATCAAAATGTGGGCAAAAGAGCCCTGACCGGTTTGGCTCAGTGGATAAAGCATCGGCCTGCGGACTCAGGGCTCTCAGGTTCGATTCTGGTCAAGGGCATTTACCTTGGTTGGAGGCACATACCTAGTGGGGAGTGTGCAGGAGGCGGCTGATTGATGTTTCTCTTTCATCAATGTTTCTAACTCTCTATTCCTCTCCCTTTCTCTCTGTGAAAAATCACTAAAATACACATTTTTTAAAAATGGGCAAAGTACTTAAATAGGCACTTTTCGAAAGAGAATACATAGAAGGCCAAGAGACATATGAAAACAGGCTCAAAGTCACTAATGATCCAAGAGATGCAAATCAAAATGACAATGAGGTACCATCTCACACCTGTCAGAATGGCTATCATCAATGAATCAACAAACAACAAGTGCTGGCAAGGACGCAGAGGAAAAGGAACCCTCTCGCATTGCTGGTGGGAATGCAATCCCAGTGGAAAACAGTATGGCATTTCCTCAAAAAATTAAAAATGCAACTGCCATTTGATCCAGTAATACCACTTCTAGGAATATATCCCAAGAAAACATAAACACCAATCAGAAATGATATATGCACCCCTACATTCATAGCAGCGCAATTTACCATAGCTAAGATTTGGAAACAGCCTAAATGCTCATCAACAAATGAGTGGATTAAAAAACTGTGGTACTTCTACACAATGGAATACTATGCTGCTGTAAAAAAGAAGCAAAATTCTAGATTTGTAGGTGGTATAGGTGATAATCATTTTTTTCCCGTAAGGCATGCTAGATACATCAGGATTTTGAGTCAAATTCTGCCCTTAGCCGGGACCGGTTTGGCTCAATGGATAGAGCGTCGGCTTGGGGACTGAAGGGTCCTGCGTTCGATTCCGGTGAAGGGCATGTACCTTGGTTGTGGGCATATCCCCAGTAGGGGGTGTGCAAGAGGCAGCTGATCGATGACTCTCTCTCATCAATGTTTCTAACTCTATCTCTCTCCCTTCCTCTCTGTATAAAATCAATAATATATATATAAAACAAATTCTGCCCTTATCTGCCAGCTTTTCAGCTAATTCTAGCAAACACCTAAATCTGCACCTGCCCAGTTGCACACAGTAGGGAATACCCACATTTCAAGGCCCCTTATCTATAAGGCCCACAGGAAGAAACTCCAAGGAGAACCCACTCACAGTTGACGCAAGGCCTAGGAAAGCCACACAGGGTCAGCATCCTAAGTACTCTCAATGCCCTAGTCTGCTTCCACTCACCTCCTATACCCGACCTTTGCAGTTCTCAGGACCTTAAGCAACAGAATGTGGTGCCTCCTCCAGCAATACCACCTTTCCACACCTTCACCCCCTTCCCTCCTCTTCCCATGTCCAGCAAGAAGGGAAAGGACAAAGAATGCCAGTAGGTGGATTTGAAAACAGGTGACGGAGTGTCATAGTTTAAGTATCCAAAGAAAACACCTGTTGGAGGGGATGATGCACACAGCCACACCCGATGAACTCATACTTATAAAACTCCGTCACCAAAGCAAGCACCAACACTGACACTGCCTTCAAACAGACAATCCAAAATTTCTCACAATCATACAAAGATAAAACATTAGGGAAAAACAAAACACAAAAATATACTCCCTTTTTGTAAACTAAACTAAACTAAAACAAAACCCTCTTTCCCCCTATTTGAGATGCAAAAACAAACTAAAGACCACCTTTTGTAAATTACACTAACAATAACTAAAAGATGAGCAAAATATGAAAACATAATGCTGAGAAAACTTACCTGAGCTGCTGCTGCCCCATCAGGGGTGTCACTGCATGATGTGGCTTTGCAAACGTCCCCTCCTCCCAGGAGCCCACGGTCCTCACTGGCTACCGGACTCTCCTCCTGGACAGGCGCATCGACAGTCGCGCTCTTCCTCTTCGCCGTCTTTTTCTTCGAATGCGCACAGTCACCTTTTGCTTTTCTCTGTCGGAAGTGAGCAAGCTGTGCAAAAATGTAGAGAAGTAGTAAAGACAAAGGTAAGTGAGGAAAATGTAGCAGCACCACAAAGTCAGCAGGCTTGTGGGGGACATGAGGCTCTGGGGCTGGCTCGGTCCACTTGGCCACACCTGGCCAGATTCACATTAACCAGCAGATCTCTCTCCCCCACACACTGCCTTCATTAATTCCTATGATGCCAGGATCTAAGCTCAGAATTATATCCAAAGAGTCTAGATTGAAGACTGTTAATTATGCCTGTATACAGACAAAAGAAAGCAAGACAGCCAAGTGACAGAACAGCTTTTCTAGCCATGGAAAATTTACAGAAAAATAGTATTTTAAAAAGAACAGCTACTTAAAAAACTGATTGCTCAATCAAGGCATGTTTAAGGTTTAAAACCATGATATAGCTAAATCTCTCCCTTTTATCCCCATTTCCCCCTAATTAAGAAAATATATAGCCTAGCCAAAATTTCCTAGGCATGGATTCTGAAACCAGTACAGAAATAGCAAATAATTAATTAAGCCAGGTCAATCTAGCATCCTCCTTTATGGAATCAGATGTTCTAGTTTTCATGACACAGCTCACCAAAGCACCAGGGACTTTACAGAATGTCGCCCATCATAAGGCACAACCCAGCTCATTCCGTACTCAAGTCTGGGGGTTTCAGACTCTGATCACACACACTCTCTCCCACTAACACATTATTTAAAAGGTATAAGATCTAACATCGGTTTTTCACTGATGTCACAAAAGAGGACATCTGTTCCTTCAAATGACAACTGTGGTCATAAAAGCAAATGCATTTAACAAATGTTTGTCCACAATTCCATGGACACAGGAAATTACACTAGGCATTCATGTGAGAAAAGCTATCAAGGACAGACAGTGCCCTCAGAACCAGCCTCATCTATTTAATTTAATTTTAATTCATTTGTTTTATGCCACACTCCATCCAAATTGCCTTCCTGCATCACAGTCCTTGTTTCTGGCCTGTGTTTGCCCAACAAGAGGCATATTGTTTCTCTCCAGATGAGGTTAATCACCACCCTCAATGCTCCTTCAAGCACATTTACTCACATTCACAAACCACGGCAAGCTCAGGAATACAGTGTTTAAAGTAGGCTCACTTTGATCTCCTGTGTGTAACAAGCAAGAGCAAAGGGAGCAAAAAACAGGCCACAGAACTCCCTATTCAAATCCTACTCAGTAGTTTCACCTTCACAGGAAGCATGAATTGGGCCACTCTGTCCTATTCCTTATCCTGCCATTAGACACTGCTGTCCTGTCACTGCCTCACACCAATCACTGTGTTCTGAATGGTTTCTTTAATGCAGTGGCCCTTGGTTTTCTCAAGGGAAGGAACTAGCAATGAATACCTCCTCCTAGCTAACCCATATGAAATCGCCACAGTTTGGCCATATCTGACCTCAAACACAGCAACTTCATGTAGCTCTCCTTACTACTAGCTGGCACTGTACAGGCTCTCATTCTTTCATTCCTGACAGAGCAGGTCACTTCCAACAGCCAGAATGGGGTGGGGCCGGAGTCACAGCCAACATGCCCAAGCCTGTTCCACTCTAACTCTGGAGCCCAGGTCTATTCAGCAGGTCTTGTAATCCCCACAACATGCCCCCCAAGACAGTAAATACCAGAAGGCATTTCTGTGAAAACGTTGGCAGAAGAGAAGTGATAAAAGCAAGCCTGCAAACACATGACTCCAGGACCAGTGAATTCACTTGGGCATCATCCACAACCTTAGGATAAAGCACTGCCTCCAGGAGGCTCGGCAGGGTGTCTATAGCTTCCCTGGGAATCCATCATTGTGGGCGGGCCCCAGGCACCTCCATCACTTCACCTGCTCAAGACCGTCCACCTGGGCCCCAACAGCAATGAAGCAAGGACAGGAGCTTCTGGCCCTAGCTGGTTTAGCTCAGTGGATAGAGTGTCAGCTTGCAGACTGAAGGGTCCCAGGTTGGATTCGGATCAAGGGCACACGCCTGGGTTGCGGGCTTGATCCCCAGTAGGGGGTGTGCAGAGGGCAGCCGATGAATGATTCTCTCTCACTGATGTTTCTACCTCTCTCTCCCTCCCTCTTTCTCTCTGAAATCAGTAAAAACATATTAAATTTAAAAAGAACAGGAACTTCTGGACCCCGGAAATAAACAGTAGGTCAGCGGGAGGTGGTATTCTGCAATGTAAAATGTCTCCTGGAACAACAATCGGGAAACCTTTTTTCCATTTAAATAATACCGCAGAATTCCAAGTAACATGAAAATCTGCGTGTAGTTTTAAATGGATGGAAGCAGGCTTGAGCCCTAAGAATTGATCCTGTGTCCCCCAGGACTGCAAGGAAGTCACAGGTCCTAGAAGTCCTCCAGGAAGCCTGAGCCGTGCCGAGGTGGAGCCGCAACAGGTGCAGCTGTGCACAGGTGTGCAGGGGTGCCCCGTATTGGCTGTGCAGGAGAACAAGGGCACAGGAGGTAGCGAGAGCGCCCTTCCCTTCACTACCTGCCTGCCCTTCACTTTCTGTTGGGGTCAGGATGTGAGTGGGCAGTGAGGGACGCGGCGCGTTCCTAAGCCACACCAGTCCGTTAGGGCGACTAGAAACCTGGCGGAGACTACACCGCGAATCCAAGAAACAACGCCACGCCAGGCTCCCGGGAAACAAGGGAGGGGGGCCGGGCAGAGCCCCCCACCCACCTGCACCCGCCCTCCCGGGCCAACCACAGCCGCCACGCCCCTCGAGTCCCGGCGTGCCCTGCGCGCGGCATCTCAGAGAGACGCCAAGCGTCCCCCGCCGCTGATTGGTGGCACCGCGGCAGGGGCGGGGCTGGGCAGAGGGCGGCGGATTCAAGATGGCGGCGGCCAGTAGGTGGCTACCATCCGAGTGGACAGAGAGGGCAAGAGTGCGGCGGCAGCCTCCGCCTGACCGCATTCGCTCCTGGCTGGGTTGGTGGCGGGCCCTGGAAACCCCCCCCCCTTAGGAGCCCGCACCAGGGTAGCAGGAGGAGTCGGCGCTGTCGTTTACCTTCGCTCTTCCGGCCTCCACCTTTCTGCGCCGCTGCTCCTGTTCATCTTCTTCCATCTCCCTCCGGGCCTCCCTCGCGGGCCTCCCGGGAGGTGACGGAGCCGACACGGTGCTGCCTTCGCTCTATTTACACTCCCTCCCCCTCGCCCGGGCTCTCCCTCCCCCGCGACAACTGTCACGCAGACGTAAGCCCGCCCCTCCCCGGGCCGGCTTCGCCGCCAATCAGGGGGTCACGTTCCTGCCCTCGCGCACGCGCGCTCAGAATGGCGCGGCCGGCGTGGAGCTCCGCCCCTGCCTCTTGCGCGCCACCGATTGGCGCGGTGACGCCCCAATCAGCGGAGCGCGGGGGCCTCGACCTGGCTGTGGTTGGTCGATTTTAAAAGGGGCCGGGGCACCGCCTTGTCTGCGCAGTGGGCTGGGATGCTGAGTATTCATGTTCCGCGAATCCTGAGTCAGCTCCTATGCCAAAGCCTTTGGACCGAGCGTAGCCATCACTTTCATCCGGTTGTTAGACGTGGACCCCTGGGGAGTTGAGACCTACCCCTAAAGGAGCCGGGGCGCTGGCAGAACCCACTCCACCTTCCTCTTCAAGGAAGGACTTCAAGGCCGGCTTCTACCCCACGATCACCCAGGGAGCAGTTCCTAGAACCCGCCTCCTTTGTCTGGGAAACAGCGACTACTTCTGTGCTTCTGGCTGTGGTCTGAGCTGCAGTGGGCATCTCACGTCTCGTTCCTGCTGTCCTAGATACCCTCACCCTCGTTCCTCGGGACTGAGCCCTGGTCACTGAGCCCTCCTTCGCTGGAATGCTTTTTTTTGTTGTTGTTCATTTCACAGACAGCAAAATTATTTGGGTCCCTTCCTATATCGTATGTCCCTTCCCTATTGTAAGACTTCGCTTCTACCTCCTTGCCTACGGGCATCTGGACTGAAGGTAGCCCACGTGCCAGGGCAGCCAGTTAGGAATTCGGTGGGGATCTGGGTTAGGACCTTTAATCACAGCCCAGAGTTACAGGTACAGGTTGCCATTGGGACTGGCGCCACTCGTGGACCAGTGTATTCTTACTGGAGACAGTCCCAAATTGAGGTCGGAGTTCATGTGTCTACCCCCAGCTTGTAGCTCCTGAGTGATGCAGCATAGGATTTGATTAGAGCGTCCCCAGTCATGGTCTACTCCAGCATCTCTGCCATAAAACAGTCCCCTGGATCAAAGAATGTTAGTGAAACAGGCCAGTAAGCCAGGACTAGCAGAATAGGGAAACAGACCAGATAGTTATACAGCAGTTTGCAGCCCTTTAGAAAAATCAAGATGGCAAGTAGTTACAGCCATCTAGTAAATCCTACTTTCCCTAAACCAGGACACATAAGAGTAAATGGTTTGCACTTCTCCCCAACCAGAGAATAAATAGCTTAAATCAGCGGTCGCCAACTGGTGAGGTTGGCAACTGCTGGCTTAAATCACCCTACTCAGGGAGACAGCAGAAGTCCGATTCTGTAGCCCATGGTGTGTAGTAGGGAGGACAGTGCCATGGAACAGAAGTTTTGCCAACCACACCCAAGAGCAGATGAAGTTAAGAGAATAAATCTCATTTGGGTACATCAGCATAAAGCTGATGGATGTTCTATTGAAATTCTCCCTCAAGACCAACCCTGAACTCCCAGCCTTTAAAACCCCTCAAAGGGCCAAAGCCGGTTGGGCTCAGTGAATAGAGCTTTGGCCTGCGGATTGAAAGGTCCCAGGTTCGATTCCAGTCAAGGGCATGTACCTTGGTTACGGGCACATCCCCAGTGGAGAGTGTGCAGGAGGCAGCCGATCAATGTTTCTCTCTAACTCTCTATCCCTCTCCCTTCCTCTCTGTGAAAAATCAATAATATATATTTATTAAATAAATAAATAAAACCCTTCAAAGGTCCCAGTGCTTTGTGCTCTCTCCCAGGTCCAAGCCTATGCCTCTCCCCCATCATTCCCCCACAGGGTGCATCTCCTAAACTCTAAGGGATCCCACTAGGCTTGCAACCAGGGCAGCAATGGGCAGTGGTAGTTCATTCCAGATAAACCTGCTGAGCCTGTCCCTAAGGCTTCCCTTTTTTTTTACTTAGTGAGGCAAAGCAGACCTGCCCAGGTGCATTTCCCCAGCCCTTCTTCGTTTCATTGTCCACAGCTTTGATAAATGTCCTCTAAAATTCAGTGGACTCGTGAAATTTTCCCTGCATGAATTCAAGAACCCACACACTACAGGCTAGTCCTAGGCAGACCTCTTCAATAACATTAGGAAGAACCCAACCTCCCCCCCCCCTCCCATGCTAATGGGGAGTTCTGTAGAGAGGGGTATGCTGAGGCTCTGCAGACAGGAAAGGAAAACCCATACCTGCATTGCTGTTAGGACAATCTTTGGGATGAGAAACATCTTTGGATGAGAAACTGATGTTTCTCTCTCGCTCTCTCGCTCGCTCTCTCTCTCTTCCTCCCCCGTCTAAAAAGAGCAATGGGGAAAAAAATCCTCAGGTGAGAATTAAAAAAAAAAAAAAAAAAAAAAAAAAAAAAAAAAAAAAAAAAAAAAAAAGAAGAAGAAAATGAAGTATAGACATTTAGTTAATGATAATGTATCAATATAGGTTCATTAATTATACCAAATGTGCCATACCAATATAAGATGTTAATAATTGGGGAGCCGTGTGTGGAACCTCTCTGTACTATCTTCTCAATTTTTCTGTGAATCTAAAACTGTTCTTAAAAAATAAAATTTGGCCCTGGCAGGTCTTGCTCAGTGGTTATAGCTTCAGCCTGTGGACTGAGGGGTCTCGGGTTCGATTCTGGTCAGGGTTGTGGGCTCAACCAGTGATGGTTCTCTCTTATCATTGGTGTTCCTATCTCTCCTTATCCCTTCCTCTCTGAAACCAATAAAAAAAACTTTTTTTTTAAAGAAAAGGTTTGTTTTATTGTAAACTGCCAAACAAGTTCACACTCCCTAGGGTGTATATATACCTACAGTCACCTCCTTAGCTGCCTTGAGTTACTAAGTTAACTAGTTTTTGTACACACTCAGACCTGTTAGAACTTTGGGGTATGATACATATAAAATCTAAAGACTGAAGGGCAACTTAAGGGATTTTAGCCCAATTTTAGCCACCTGATGCAAGTTCTGGGTTGGCTGCATTGAGGAGAGGGCTGTAAGGTGCGGAGCCCTGCTCCTACCCCCGCCCTGGACTTCGGTCATCGCTCCATGTCAAACCTGTTCTATCTCTTCATCAGTTCGGTTGACCCATTTGTAAACCTGGAATGGAAAGCCAAGGGAACAAACAACCATGCCCTCTGTTCCGTGGAGCCCTGCCCTTCCTACCACACCACCGACCACTAAGGCCTTCCCTGCTGGTCGGAGCCTCCCACTCACACCTGCCCCAGATGTCCCCTCCACATAGCTGCCAGGACGCCCATCACTGCCATGGCAGGGGCCGCTCCTGGCCGTCCCAGCACTAGACTCATGTCCTGCCCAGTGGGGTGGGGGCCCAACCTGTGTCCCTTGAGGGGCCAGCACCCTGGTGCCACCCAGAATTTCCTGAAACCCTCAGATAGCTGGTGCCCATGCTTTGTCTTGCTCGGAGGGTGCCTAGGAGCAGCCAGGGGCCTGCTGGCCTCCTGGAGGTCATAATGCAGAGTGCAGGCTCCTGAACCCTCCCCACAGCCTCACCCTCTTCTGGGCTCTGTCACGGCGGGGACCGTGTATGGTGGGGCTGGCACTGTCCTCCCGCCAGGACACTGCTCTGCCCCTCTGGCCCTAGCTGCTGCCCGTGTTTGCCCTCCCAAGGAGCATGCCTGGCCACACCTGGGAATGGTAGTGTTTGCAGGCAACCCCTGGGTAAGGAGTGGGCGGGGCCTGGGAAAGACTCTGCGAAAACCTGGCAACCTGGGGCCTCCCTGTGGGCTGCGTCTAGCAACTGCCTTGGCGATGCCAGTGTTGGCTGCAGACACTGCAATCCAGGGAGATGTGGGGCCCTGCCGCGCCCTGGCAGAGGCCGGTCTCCACACTCCTTCATCTCCTTCATCGACAGCAGGGCTGAGGCCGCTTCTCTGCAGATAACTGGCAACCAGGGAGGGAGGGGCCTGCCGCGCCCCCTCTCCCCACGTCCTGGGATGCTGGATTCCACTGTGGCCGATCAAATGGCCCGGCTGACCCTGAAACTCTTGGAGAAGGTAAGATGGACGGGCAGTCGTGTTTTTAATACCTGCTTAGCTTATAGGAGTGCAGCTTTAAAGGGTAAGATATTCTTGTGAGTGCTACCGCTTCCCAGCAAAACCCTCTCCTATGGATTTTATTTATTTTTCTTTTTTTGTCTCCCCCCCCCCCCCAGTGGATTTTAGCCTTGTAATGGACTGTGGTTTCTTGAGTTTTCTTCTTTGCGTTCATACAGAACAAGTAGGTTCTTCTGGCAGTTTCCACAGCCAGGACACAGGCACACACCTGCGGCCAACACTTCCAGGGCCCCACCAAGGTCCCCTGAGGATCCTCTGGGCTTCAGTGTTTAAGGCAGCGGTGGGGAACCTTTTATCTGCTAAGGGCCATTTGGATATTTGTAACATAATTCGCTTCATATGAGTTTATGTTGCTATGAGAAAAGCTCCTATATTTATTGAATTTCAAGTCTCAACTTGTGGTTGCCTTGGCAGGGCCAGACCGCTTGATTTCACAGGCCTGTTGTAGGACCCACAACCCCTGGCCTGGGCCTGGGCAGAGGGACTGGGGGACCTGTCATCACACCAGACTTCTTACCTCTGAGAGTCCACATGAGCCTCAGAGACCACCGAGCACAGCAGCTCCTCATGTCCCCGCCTGCTTTGTTCCTCTCCTGCTGACCCTGCAGCCCTGCACGCGCACACACACACACACACACACACACACGCCCGATCTGCTGGCCCACGGGCCCCTTTGCAGGGGCTAGCAGGGGTTACCCCAGGACTGGCCCAGGTCGCAGTCAGGATGGTCAGGGACACAGAGCTAGCCTGGGTCTGGCTCTTCAGAAAGCTGTCTGGAGGGGACCGCACAGATCAGAGCGCCACCCTCAGAGTCTAAGGAGGAATATGTGTGTGTGTGGAGAAAGTGACACCGGTCCCACCCTCTAGCACCCAGCACTCCCTGCCCTGTCCCCTTCATCTGGGGCATCGGCGACACAGGCAGGTGCCCCCCGCCAGCCTGTGCTCCCCGCTCACACTGAGCCTGTGCCGGGAACCGGCCCCTGCCCCGGTCTCTTCCCCACAGAAACTGGAGCAGGAAAGAGAGGATGTGGAAGGGGATTCTGAGGACCCCCACCTTGTGCCAGGTAAGGGTACCAGACCCACCTTCTGCTCAGGTCCCTCCCTCTTCTGTCACTAGCAAGGCTGTGCGTAATCTGTTCCTTACATCCAGGGTTGAAGGTTTGTTTTATCTTTACAACACTCTCACCCACCCACACACACATGTACACACACACATACCACACTCATATGCACTTACACACGCATGCACACAGGCAGGCACAATTATATACACACACACACGCGTGCGTGTGCGCAAAGGCTCACACACACACACACACCAGGTGCTCTGCTGAGTGCTCCCTCACATCCCACCCTATCACCTTTACCTGTAAGCCCCAGGACAGGGACATCCCTCAGCCCCACTTTCCAAATGAGAAAATGGGGCCAGGTCTTGGCGGATGCGGCCGAGGTGTCCTGACAGGTCTGCACATTCTCTCCAGGACACGAGGACAGGCCGGATGCAGCCCTGCAGAGTGCCCTAAGGAGGAGGAAGGACCTTCAGCAGAGACTCTGGGTAGGCTGCAGCAGCCTGGGCCCGAGCTGTCTGTGGCTGAAACAGCTGGCCACCACACTCAGACCCGGGTGGGGAGCGGGAATGGGGGAAGTAGGGTGAAGACTGGAGGATGGGAGTGGGGTGTGTGAGGTGGAATGGGGGTTGTCATGTCTTTCTGGACTCAGTGCCAGTACTCTGAGTTTTGTGATTCGTGGACAGGCAGCTGGTGAACTGCGAGCAGCTGAGATTTCACGCCTGGGGCGCTGGGAACATGCTCTGTCTGTGGCCCGGGCTCTGACAGGCATGCGATTGGCCGGGCCACCTGCCCTGGTGGCACATTGTCCAAGCAGGAAATGCTGAGTAAAGGGCTCACTTCCTACAGGAAGTGGAAGCCCGGAGGCTGGTCCCACAGCAGCAGGAAGGAGCACCCCAAGTCCACACAAATAGTCCCGATAAATGTAGCACTTGTAGCAAAGGGGATGCCGAGGCAGCCAGAACCAGAAAGTAGTTCATATAATTTGGTAAATTTTAAAAGAAGCGGTAGTCTTAGGCCCTGCTTTCAGGCCTGGCTCCGGTCCTAGGGCAGTGATGGAGACTCCAGGTGTCCCACTCGGGCCAGCCACCAGGGAAGAGCCCAGGGCACACCTCCCACCCCAGATTTGGTGGCTGCCCCTCTGAGCAGAGTCTCTCTCTCTCTCTCTCTCTCTCTCTCTCTCTCTCTCTCTCTCTCGCTCTCAATTTATTTTTATTGATTTTTTACAGAGAGGAAGGGAGAGAGATAGAGAGCTAGAAACGTCAATGAGGGAAACACTGACCAGCTGCCTCTTGCACTCCCCCTACCGGGGATGTGCCCGCAACCAATGTACATGCCCCTGACCGGAATCGAACCTGGGACCTTTCAGTCCGCAGACCGACACTCTACCACTGAGCCAAACCGGTTTCGGCGAGTCTCTCTCTTTTATTTTAATATATATTTTATTGATTTTTTTACAGAGAGGAAGGGAGAGAGATAGAGAGCTAGAAAAGCCGATGACAGAGAAACATCGACCAGCTGCCTCCTGCACACCCCCCCACCGGGGATGTGCCCACAGCCAACGTACATGCCCCTGACTGGAATCGAACCTGGGACCTTTCAGTCCGCAGACCGACGCTCTACCACTGAGCCAAACAAGTTTTGGCCAGAGTCTCTCTTGGCATTGCAGGAACAACACCTCCTGGAAGAGCTCTCCCGCGCCCACGCCCGCTCCTGGACAGGGCCCAGCAGTGGAGCCCGTGGGTCAGCGCTGCCAACAGAGGTGCCCCCTGGCATCTACCATGACGCCTCCCCACCCCCGCCACCCCTGGAGCTGCCTCGGGTCATCCAACACTTGGTAGGTCTTCCTCCCGGTGAACCCAGGGGCAGAAGCACTGTGGGAAGACTCTGTGCCCACGGAGACCACCCATCTGCAGCAAGCTCAGCAGCCCTGTGAGTGCTCTGAAGAGGTCGTTTGGCTAAGAGTCCATAGTGGTGCACTTGCCACATCCAGGCACACACAAGGACACCAGGGTCCTCATCTCAGTCATCCTCACAGGTGCCCTAAGACAGAGCTTTGGGGATTGTGGTCTTGTCCCCTTATAATAGACTAGAGGCCCGGTACACAAAATTCGTGCACTCGGGGAGAGGGGTTGTCCCTCAGCCTGGCCTGCTCCCTCTCACAGTCTGGGAGCCATCAGTCGGACATCCTTCGTGCTGCCACCAAGGCAGGAGAGGGTCCTGTCACCGCCTCTGCGTTCACCAGCCGTAAGCCCAGCTTCTGGCTGAGTGGCACTCCTCCTGTGGGGGCGCACTGATCACCAGGGGGCAGTTCCTGTGTTGAGCATTTGAGTCCCCTGGTTGTCAGTGCATATCATAGCGGCTGGTTGTTCCACAGTTCAATTAATTTGCATAATAGCCTTTTGTTATATAGGATGAGAGGCAGGGGTTCCAGGTCCTAACTTGTGCTCTAGGGTAGAAGTATTAGGGAAATTCAGCATTAGGAGAACCCTGAATTAGGGGAAGAAGTGTTTTAACTCTTTTTCAAAACTTCATAATGACCAGGAGAAGCTTCAGACCTAATTTCAACACATAAGTTGCAGGGAGGGTGTGTTTTATGCAAACATTCAATCCCTAAGATACAATGTCATAAGCTAATGCTCAGACTCACATAATTATCTGTTCAGCCATCAAGTCAACCTCTAGGTTTAATCATCAAAGTTCCCTGTGGTTGAATGGATAGATAAGTAGATGGACAGGTTGGTGGATGGTTGGATGACTAGGTAGATGCATGGGTGAGTGGATGAGTGGGTAGGTGAGAGAGTGCATGGGTGAGGAACGGATGGGTGGATGTGTGGTTTGTTGGGTTGATGGATGGGTGGGTAGGTTGGTGGGTAGGTAGATGCATGGGTGAGTGGGTGAGTGGATAGGTGAAAGAGTGGATGGGTGAGGGATGGATGTGTGGATGGGTGGGTGTGTGTGTTGTTGGGTTTATGGGTGGGTAGGTAGATGCATGGGTGAGTGGGTGAGTGGGTAGATTGGAGAGTGAATGGGTGAGGGATGGATGTGTGGAAGGGTGGATGTGTGGTTTGTTGGGTTGATGGGTGGGTGGGTGGGTTGGTGGGTAGGTAGATGCATGGGTGAGTGTGTGGATAGGTTGGTGCGGTAGCACACTCTCTCCAAAGACGCATTCAGTAGCTAGTCACCTGGTTCTTCCTAGGTCCCCCAGGCTCCTCCCACCATCATTCAGCAGCTACCTCAGCAGCCACTCATCGCACAGATTCCCCCTCCCCAGGCCTTCCCAGCTCAAAGGTCTGGAAGTATTAAAGAAGGTAAGTGTTCGATATTAATATTGATATGGGTTTATGAAATTCTCTACTGAAAGGAAAAAATATTTTATAAGAATGTAGTCATTTAGAGTCAGCTTCTGGCTATTCAACATTTTTATCAACATAAAAATGGCTTTGACTTTGAGAAATGTTTCTATGATGGATATTGCTGAGTGAAGAAAAGATATAAAAGAAAGAGAACTTTCCTGGCTGGTGTGGGTTAGTGGTTGAGTGTTGACCCATGTACCAAGAGGTCACTGATTCTATTTCCAGTCAGAGCACATGCTCAGGTTGCAGGCTTGATTCTCAGCAAGGGGCGTGCAGGAGGCAGCCAATTAATGTTATTGTTTCTCTTTCATTTATGATTCTTCTCCCTCTCTCTTCCTCTCTGAAATCAATAAAAAATATATTTATATATAAAAGCTTAAGCTACCATTATGACCAAATGACTAGAATGACCAGTTGCTATGACATGCACTAACCACTAGGGTGCAGATGCTCAACACAGGAGCTCCCCCTCGTGGTCAGTGTGCTCCCGCAGCCAACCTCCCATAGTCTCTCTCTCCTCCCACCCCGGCCAGCAGTTCCCGATCGCCTGATTTGGGCTGGGCCCAGGGCTGGGACAGGGCACCAGGGGTGGGTGGTAGTGGACAGGGCCCCTTTCCCAAGGGGTCAAGGGCTGGCTCCCTCCTTGGGGCCAGCGGCCAACCTCCTGCACCCTGTCCCTCCCCATCGTGGGTAGGTCTCAATCTGCCCACCACCCACTTGCTGCAGTGGTGGTACAGTAGGAAGGGAAGGAGGAGGGGGGAGGCAGGGAATCACACAGTGGCAGCATCAGATGTTCGTTTCTTCTGTGCCGGTGTCCCGTCATCTACTCTCCCGGCCCTGCCAGGACCTTTGGGCCCCAATCGGCCAAGCCCTGATCACATTCCAGGCCTAGGGACCCCAATCATGCATGAGTTTTGTGCACCAGGCCTCTAGTATTTTTAATAAATAAATAAACAAATATTGTGCTAAAAAACACAAAGCATAAATTTTACCATCTTAACCAAGTTTAAGTGGTGTGAACGATGTTAATTGTTATGCAACAGATCCTTAGAACTTTCTCATCTTCCCAAACTAAAACTCTGTCCCATTAAATACTAACTCACATTGCTCTCCCCCAGCCTCTGACACCCACCATCTAGTTTCTGTGTCTATGAATCTAACTCCTGTAGGAACCTTATGTAAAATGGAATCACACAGCAAGTGTACTTTTGTGACTGGCTTCTGTCACTGGCATAGTCCTCAAGGTTTATCTGTGCTGTCATGCATGTCAGAATATCCTTCCTTTTTAAGGCAGAATAAAACCAGAATGAGCTACTACTCTTGTCCACATTTTGCTCATCCCTTCATCCATCCGTGGACACTTGGGTTACTTTCACTCTATCTCAAGAGTTTTAAGTTAATCACATCTGCAAGGTTGTTTTTGCCCTGTAACGAAACATAGTCACAGGTTCTGGGGATTAAGATGTGGACATTGCTGGGGCCATTATTCAGACACTGCACTAACCAATCACATTATCTTACAAATTGTGATGTATTATCCTTTTATTTTATTTATTTACTGGAGGCTCAGTGGACAAAATTGGTGCACAGGGTGCGGGGAGTGGTGTGTGTATCCCTCAGCCCAGCCTGCACCCTCTCCAATCTGAGACATCCCTTTCACAATCCAGAACTGCTGGCTCCCAACTGCTTGCCTGCCTGCCTTCCTGATTGCCCCTGACTGCTTCTGCCTGCCAGCCTGATCACCCCTTAACCCACTCCCCTGCCAGCCTGATCGATGCCTAAATGCTCCCCTGCTGGCCTGATTGCCCCTAACTGCCCTCACCTGCCAGCCTGGTCACCTCTAAGTGATCTCCCTTGCCAGCTTGGTCACCCCTAACCTAACTGCCTGCCTGGTCACCCCCAACTGCCCTCCCCTGCTGGCCATCTTGTGTCCACATGGGGGCGGCCATTTTGTGTGTTGGAGTGACAGCAATTTGCATATCACCTCTTTGTTATATAGGATTATTATTTTAAAATATATTTTTATTGATTTCAGAGAGGGAGAAAGAGGGAGAGATGGAAACATCAATGATGAGAGAATCATTGATTGACTGCCTCCTGCATGCCCCCTACTGGGGATCAAGCCCACAACCTAGGTATGCGCCTTTGACTGGAATCAAACCCAGGACCTTTCAGTCCACAGTCCAATGCTCTATCCACTGATCCAAACTGGCTAGGGCTGCATTTAAAAAAAAAAAAAAAAAAAAAAAAAGATTTTAAAATTGATTTTTAGAGAGAGAGGAAAGGAGCAGGGGATAGAGAGAAACCTTGTTTCCTGCAGGCCCCCTACCGAGGGTTGGGGCATGTGCCCTGACCGGGAATCGAACCGCCAACCTTTCTGTACATGGAACGACACCCAGTCAAGTCACACTGGCAAGGACCAGTGCATTCTTTTTGGGGTTGGATGTTCCAGTTCTTCCCTGCGGGGGTCCTACAGCAGTGCTGCTCTGGACGTAGCCATCTCTGGTGACGGGACGTGCGTGGGGAGCACGTGCTGGGGAAGGAGATGGCCCGGTCAGGAAACACTGCCAGGCAGTCTTCCCGAGTGGTGGTTCCCATGTCGAACTTGCCACCAAAAGGAAGGAGAGTCTCAGTTGCTCACAGCAGTTCACCAACACTTTGTTTTCAGATTTTTTCCCATGTTTGCCAATCTGGTGGGCATGAGTAGTAGATCAGGCTGGCTTTAATTTACGTTTTACCTTTTATATACAAGGTGTCCCCCAAAAATGTATACACACTTTAACTGCTCAATTTTGCAAGTGAAATGTACTTTAATAAACATCGCCTTCATAATTACTCAAAGTGTGTACATACATTTTTTGGGACACTCCATAGTTATTGGCCATTTGATACCCATTTGTGTGACGTGCCTGTTTAAGTATGTTGCCCATTTTTCTTTCAGATTGCTTGCCTCTCATTAATTTGTAGGAATTCTTTATATTCTACAACGGGTCCTTTTTGGACATACATATTACAAATATTAAGTTTTTTTTTTGTGGCCTGCTCTTTCACTCTTAATGTCTTTAAGTGAAATTCTTATCTTCACTAATAGGTTTTTGGGCTCTTTCCTTTATGGTTAGTGCCTTGGGTGTCCGGTTTGAAGTTTTGACCTGCTCAAGGTCATATGGTCTCACATGGCTCTTTACATTTCACGTTCAGATTCACCGTCCATCTGGAGCGGATGTGTGTGTGCAGAGTTAGGGATCCATGCTATTTTCTTTTTGCTGTGGCATCAGTTTGATCTGGGGCCATTGACTGAAGGCTCTCCCATTGCATTATCGTGTCCCTCAGTCAGGAAGCGTCCCTGTAGCGAACAGGATGTCATCTTTTCACTCCTGACTCTCTCAGTGGGAGTCCTGGGGGCCTGATGGGAAGTGTCCCCTCAGAGCCTCCCACTGCTGCTGGTAGGCGGGGTCTGCCCCAGCCCAGGCACACACACAAGTCTCCTCCAGGGCCTGTCCCAGATGGGGCCGCCAGACAGCCCTCCAGCTGCTTATCATGCAGGGTCAGAGTTCCCTCAGCTGTGCTGCTGCAGGGAGCTGGCTCTGGGTCTGCACCTCCCATCGTGCCCCAGCCCTGTGGCAAAACCTGTGTTAGTCAGGGCTCTGGAGAAACAGAACAGCCGAAGCCTGTTTGGCTCAGTGGATAGAGCATCCGCTTGCGGACTGAAGGGTCCCAGGTTCGACTCCGGTAAGGATCATTTACCTTGGTGGCGGGCACATCGCCAGTGGAAGGTGTGCAAGAGGCAGCTGATCAATGTTTCTCTCTCTTCCTCTCTGTAAAAAGTCAATATATATATATATATATATATATATATTTTTAAAGAGAAAAAGAAACAGAACAATAGGATGTGTATACAGAGAGAAAGGTGCGTTTTAAGGAATTGGTCCGTGCAATTATGGAGGCCTGGTTAGTCCAAAATCTGCAGGGCGGGCTGGCCCACTGGGGACCTGGGGCAGAGTCTCCGTTGGAGAGGGGAGGCTGTTGGCTGGGGTCCTGTGTCCTGCTGAGCCCCTGTTCGTGTGCCTGGGAGTGTGAATGGTCCTAGCGGACCTGCCTTCCTCTGGGAGCCTGACAGAGCCTGGAGGAAATGCCTAATTTCCTGGACCTCGCTGCTGTGGAAACAGGTCATGTTTACCTCTCACACTGGTAAAATTCACACATTTCATAGTATCCAGAGTTGGTGAGCATAACCTGAGCATATCCTGTTGGTGAGGTGGCTGGAAATCACAGAAAGCCACTCTGTCACAGTGGAGGCAGAACCCAGGTGTCCCAGGACCATTCCCCCTCCAGGGAGAGTCCTCCTGCCTCTTTCAGTGGTGGCTCCAGGTGTCCTCGGCTATAGCTCAATGGCTTGTCTCTGTCCATGTCTGTGTTCCCCTTTGGTCCCCGTCTCCCTCTGCCTGTCTCTTATAAACACATTTGCCCTGGGACTTGGGCCTCTTCTGGATAAGCCAGAGGGATCTCATCTCAAGATCCTCCATTACATCTGCAAAGACCCTTTTTCCGAAGAAGGCCATGTTCTGAGGTCAGGGGCCACCACGCAGTCCCCCGATGGCCTTGAGGAATCTGCTACAGTAAGGCAGGAGGAGCCACCTCCTAGGAGCCCAACTGGACACCGTCCACACACTCTATAGCACACACACACCCTCTGACCTAGAAATTTCAGCTCTGAGAATGTGACCCTGCCCCACACCCCACACACACCCACTCAAGAGGAACAGATACCTGTAACACCCTACACCTGTTCAACAAATAGGCTGCTCTAAAGCTCTGTTCTCAGGTGAGAACCCGGACGGGCGAGCCCTGTGTGTGTGACCGAGCCCCTCCTCCCTCCCCACCCTTTTAGACATGGTGGAGATGATGCTGCTGCAGAACGCACAGATGCACCAGATCATCATGCAGAACCTGATGCTCCAAGCTGTGCCCCCAATGGCCCCTGCTCCCTCCAGGGGGACGCAAGCCACACCCCTGCCCCCCACCCTGCAGGTAGGCCCAGCCTGGAGCAGACGCCAGGTAAAGGAGGCCACCCAAGCAAACACTTCTGGAAACTGAAAGCTGCTTCCTTGGGATGAGTGTTCCCTCCTGACCCCCCATGTCCTCCCCCCACCTCCCTGCCCTTCCTGGGCTCTGAGGCCACCCGAAGTCAGGAAGGGGAGTGAGGGTGGGGGAAAGAGGGGTGCCTGCAGCAGCAGGTCACTGTGGGAATGAGCTGGTGTCTGTGCTGTGCCAGGGCCTGCAGTGGCCTCACCCCGCTGGGCTGCGAGCTGAGAGGCAGAAGCAGCCGTCCTCGGTGCACCATCACCACCACTATGCGCCCCCAGCCCCGCTGCAGGCGGCCCCTGGCGCACCCGTGGCTTACTCCACGTGGCCCTCGGTGGTCTCCGCCACCGCCCTCCCACCGGCCGCCAGCTTCCTGCCCACCGTGCGCCACGTGGCCGCCCCCTCTGCCGCTGCCCTTAGCACGTAAGGATCCGGGGACCCCGTTGCCCTTCCTCACCTCTACTGAGAGGCCAGTGGACGTAGGTCTCTGTCAGGTCCCCAGGCTGCAGAGGGAATTGGGAAAGGGGACTGGAAAGGCCTTGTCATCTCCTGAGGGACACAGGTGGGACCATAGAGGCCCCCACCCAACACCCATCACCACAGCTGGGGACCCCCCCGGCAAACTCCTGGGGAAGCTATGTGCAGCTTGGGCCATTTGTCTAACCCAGATGACCCTGGGCATGTCCAGTCCAAGCGTGGCTGCGAGGGCCCCTCCTGATCCCCAGAGCAGAGCTCACCTGCCCATGCGGGGCAGTAATCACACCCAGACTCTTGTCTTCCCTCTAGGACTGTGCCTGAAGGTTTCCTGCCTGCAGCCGCTCCGGCTCCAGGCCAGTGAGCCCCACGGTCCCTCTTCCCTCAGAGATGTGGCCAGAAAAACCAGGTGGAAGCCTGACAGTGGTCCCTGGCCGCTGAGATCAACAGGGATGTTGTCAGAAAAGATGCCCAGCAGCCACAGGAAGAAGATCCACAGCATAGATGTAGCCGAGTAATAGAAACCTTCCCATGGGAGACAGCCCCGAGGCGAGGGAGGAAAGCAGGCGCTGAGACTGTGATGTGCCGCCCGCCCTGGGAGGAAGCACTGGTGACAGGCAGATCCACCCCCTCGCCCGGCCTTTCTCTTGTGAATAAACCCGCAGAGCTGCACGCGACTCCTGAAGAGGCTCCTCTGGTTCTGTTGGGTTTCTCACCGGAAGAATCTGTTACCTTTACTCTTTTTTTAAAAAAATGTTTTTATTGATTTTAGGGAGAAAGGGAGTGGGATGCAGAGACAGAAACATCCCGTGGCTGCCTCCTGCACAGCCTGCGCCCAGGCATGTGCCCTGACTGGGAATCAAACTGGTGGCCTCTGGGTTCATCGGCTGATGCTCACCCACTGACCCACACCGCTGGGCTGTTACCTTGACTCTCTCTGTACTTCCTGTTACTCTTTTCCTTTAGTGGGGTTATGTTCTCCTGCTTTTTATATGGTTTTCCTATAAATGTCATTTTTCAGTCGTAGCATGCTTCCAAGGCTCCTTTTGGGGTACATCAGCTGGTCCCCTAAGTCCCTCAGGAGCAGGAGCACTGTCTTTGCACCCTCGGGTTCTCCAGGAGGAGTTGGAGGAGGCACGATGCCCGCTTCACTTCACCTCTGGGCTGCCGTCAGGGCCGAACCGTCCCACAGCCCAGGCTCTTGTTAAAGGCACCAATTAAAAGTCTGGCCATAGTTCCATTGTCACATTAATGTTCTCTAACATGGCTTCGGTTTTATTTCTCCACGTTATTAACAGAGGGAAGGCATCTGACAAGTCCACTGTCTTTGGATAATCTGGTACACTGGAAAAACTCAGCTCCGTGCACCACCTGAGCAGGGGGAGTCACATGGGAGTCACGTGGAGAGCCTCTTGGGGGTGCCTGGTGCTCATGAGGGCACATAGAGGGACGAGACCAGCAGGTCTCAGGACCCCGTCAGTCTCTCAAAAAGGATTTCAGAGCCAAGAGCTGTGTGATCACAAGCAGGCCATGCGCAGCCAACGGTGACTCAGGAATGTCACAGGCTCAAGCCCTTACCCCCGAGAGCTGGGGAAGTGCAGACGGAGACAGGCCACAAATCCAGTGGGAAATGTGTTTGCAACACCCTGGTTTTCATGTTTGTAACACAGACTCAGAGGGGAAACCAAATTCTCAGGATTGCAGCAGCCCTGGTTGTCGGGGCCAAGAAGGATCTGAGAGGCTGTGTTACTGCCGTGACCTCCTGGAACTCCCTGTGTTGTGGTCACATCCTGACCTGACAGGTTCAGGTGACAGCCGGCTGGCTAGGTGCCTGTCCCTCCATCATCTGCTCCCACATATATGCCCCCAGGCCGCTTGTTTCATCCTCCTGGGTAGCTGGCTGCAAAGGGGGGAGAGAGAAAGGTTTCATTACCAAAGGCAGAAACCCCGGGAGGGGCAGGTTAGATGCCCTAAGAGTTTAGAACTGTTTTGTGCTTTTAAAAATATATATATTTTATTGATTTTTCACAGAGAGAAAGGGAGAGGGATAGAGAGCTAGAAACATCGACGAGAGAGAGAGACATGGATCAGCTGCCCCCTGTACACCCCCCACTGGGGACATGCCTGCAACCAAGGCACATGCCCCCAACCAGAATCGAACCCGGGACCCCCCCAGTCCGCAGACCGATGCTCTATCCACTGAGCCAAATGGGTTTCGGCAGTTTAGAACTGTTTTATCAAAATACTGAAAATAACATGTCCGCTGTGTTCTAAGTAAAGACATGGAGATTCACCTGTACTTTAGAAAAGAGTTCCACTCATGGAATTTAGCCCCCGCCTGGGCATTGACCAGCCCTCCGTGTGGGGAATCCTCTGATCCTCAGGACCCACGGGGAGGGGTCAACTCCCGCCCACATGGTGTCCCTGTGTCCTGCGGCGTCCCTCAGGTACTACCTGCGTCGTGGGCCGTGCTCCTCAGAAGAGGTCCCTGCTCAGGGGCTGGAGCGTGGCCCCCGTGCGCCGGCTCAGCTCCTCGAGAATCTGCTTCTCCTTCTGGTACATCTGCAACGAAGGAACGAAAACCAGCCCTGGACTTGCCCAGCTGGCCTGGCTGCTCGGGCCCTGGGGAGTCCCTAGCTCGGCCCAGGGTCCCCTCCTCGGCATATCCCCTCGCTGAGGCCCGTGTCCCCGAGGCTATGGCATGGGGAGCCTTGGCCATGGGCTTCCCTCAAGGACCTGCTCATGGGTGCCCAGCACCTGTGCACAGGGAGTGCCAAAATGCTGCCCGCAGGGTGAACGATGGAGAAGGCAGGAGAGGCTGTGGGCTGGGGCAGAGGAGGTGATCTTGGTAGGAAAGAGGAGAGTCTACTTGGGGTCACAGGAGAACAGGTGCAGGACACAGGGGAGGGAGGGTGCAGATGGCTCCTGGGGGGGGGGCAGGGCGGTTAGGGCTCAGAGGGCTGGGGTCCCTGGCAGACTGCACACACTGAGACTTAGACCTGTTAGATGTAGAGGTGGAGGGCTGAGGAGGAAGGGGCGAAGGGGCCACAGTAGGGCCGGCCACAGAAGGGGAGGTGGAGCCAGGGTATGGACCTAGGATGACCGGAATACAGGACAAGTGCACCAGGGACTTCTTTTGTGAATGAAAAAGTTTCTTAGGCCTTTCAGAGGATCTGACTAAGACTTGACTACAAATACAGTTTGAGTTTATTAAACACAATATGGTTTGTATACCAACATGGACCTTAAAACACAGGTAAACATTGCACCCTTCGAGGAAGCCAACTGCTCCAGAACTTATCAGACACCTGCATTTTAAATCTTGTTCGAAACTAATAAATAGCATCACAGTTTCTCTCGCGAAGATGTTGTAACTTTAAGCCATCAGAATTTCTTTCTTTTTTTTTTATGATATACAGTGAAGATTTTTATTATTTATTTTTTCATTTTTTTATTAAGGTATGTATGTGTACATATCTTACCATTGCCCCAAAGCCATCAGAATTTCATGGAATTTTTATAATTCAGCCTCTCTGTTCGGACTTTCAGTAGTGCGTGAATAATACAGTTCACAACATTTGGGGGCCCACCGTTTAAAACAAACATTGTAAAACTTTTAAGAAATAAACATGTATAAAATTCTTTATTTTACTGTTTTTTCCAGTTTTGGTTTTCATCGACTGCAAGGGGCAGGTTGGGCAGCCCTGGCTTGTGTGTGTGTGTGGGGGTGGGGGGGGGGCACCTACCTCCTGCCATGTGGCCTCTGTGTTGTGTGTGAAGCCCAGTAGATGACAGAGCCCATGAGTGGCAGTCACCTGTGGGAACAAGCAAAAAGATGCCTCAGGGCTGACCATGGGGAGGAGGAGGGCAGGGAGAGCTTAGCCCACATCTGGTGGGCGGTCAGGAGCCCTCCTCTGGGCCCAGGCAGGGCTTCCAGAGTCGGTGGCAGCAGCACCAAAGGGGTGAGTGGGCAATGAGAACATGGGCGGGGCTCAGAACACATCAGGTAGACCAGGGCCTCATCAGGGATGCGAAGACAGGATCTCTGGGGTAGGGAGGGTCAGTGGTTATTTCCTGAGGGGACACCTGCTTCTCAGGGCAGAGGGAAGGGTCAGAGGAGTGGTGAGACGTGGAGGATAAGGGGGTAGTTGGAGGGTACTGAGGGCTATGAGAAGGTGCCTACGTGCAGTTGGCAGCCAGGGGGGTGGAGAGTGGCTGGCTGGTCCTGTGACGGGGGATGAGGGTCACAGAAGTCGGGGGCTGACCCTCTACTTCGATACAGAACCCTCAGGAGGTGCTGAGAGGGCAGGGCAGGGCCAACTCCTGACTCCATTTTGTACTGTGTCATAATTTATATAACTATGTCGCTATGTAACTGGACCCTAACCCTCACCCAACCAATCAGGGTCAGCCAAAGCAGTGACCTCACCACCCCTATAAATCCTTTGTTCTAGAGCACATGTGTCAAACACAAGGCCCGCAGGCCAAATCCGTCCCGCCAGGCCTTGCAATGTGGCCCGCACCGCGCTGTCATCACTGCACTCCGCTGCGTTTCCATCACAATGACAGTTTATGACTGTTCAGTAAACCATTTGGCCCACGATTTAGGCTGGATTTTAGATTTTGGCCCCTTCTCTGATTGAGTTCGACACCCCTATTCTAGAGAGACCCGCTCTCTTTCTCCACCTTGCTGCTGCCTTGGTATGTGGGGGGTGAGCTCAGGCTAGCTAAAAATAAAAAGACTCTTTTGCTTTTGCATCAGACTCGCTCCCTGGTGGTCTTTGGGGATCACGAAATCTGGGCATAACAGTGCCGGGAAGTGAAATCAGATATCCACAACTGCACCCTCGATCATGCCCCTCGCTCCCTGGGGTGCACCCTCACTGGCCACAGAGATCTCAGAGCTGGACCATGCTGACCAGTCCTGACTACACTGGGCTTCCTGCTGCCCAGGAAGAAAGGGAAACCTCCTCCTCCCCCCAAAACCTGCTCACTCTGAGTCTCAAGTGGAAGCATTAGGATACCCCCCAAAACCCTGCAACCTATTTCAGGATGTGGCTATTTGGCCAAAGGAAGACCCCTCCATTGAATCCTTGGGGAAGTTAAAATATGACTCTATCACACTCAGTACTTTCAGAACTCCCCCCCCCCTTTTTTTTTTAAATATAATAAGCTGAGGACAGATCTGGAAGGCCCTGGATGCTAGAAATTTGTCCACTTTGGGCAGTTTCCTAAGAAGCATATTCAGCAAACCTGTGTTAACTACCCAGCCTGCTGAGCTCAGAGGTAAAAGCTAAATCAAGGTCACTACTGGGAGTTTCCCTTATCTCATATCTCAGTTATGGAGAAACTGCCTGTCCTCTTCCTGTCCTTGGCACTGCCACAGGGCATGCAGATCCCACTCCGCCATCTTCTTTGCTGCGGATCTCCCTCTCTGTGGGTCTCCCTCAATAACCCTTGTTCTTCCCGTGGGCATAGTGTGGACACAGGTGGCCCGTCGCCAACCTCTTTATGGCCTGGATGAAGGACACGGTATTTCTTTGCTAAGCAGACCGTCATTGGAGCATTCCTACTTACAGTCAGTATGTCATAGTAATCTTCATTTTCTTTGCATTGCTGGAAGATATACTCCACTCCTAGGAAAATGTCCCCCAGGTTATAGTCATCTGGAAAATCAGGCTGGGGAATTTCACCCGCTTTCAGATTCTGCAAAGGAGGGAACAGATTGTGAGAACAGGGCCTCAGGAACACTAACCGGACGGCAGGCCTACAGACTTCATCCTGGAAGGCATTGTCCTGACTAGTCCGGAGTGGGG